ATGTTACTTGGGTGAAATGAAATTTCTTTCTAATCTGCAATAATTCTTTGAATTTACAGATAAAATTATTTAAAAATCACCGCCCCTAAATTTGATGTATCTCCCTTGTTCCATCTGTCTGGCAGCACTGTTGAATTTAACAGCTCCAATGCAACTGAAACTGTAATCGCTATTAAATCTCTCTGTTTAATAAACATGTATACATTTATATTGTGATTATTTTGCAAAGATTTGTGCATTTATTACATATATATATGTACGATATATACGATATTACATATACATATACTTTTCGGGATATTTTGACGTCTAAATTGATTTCAAGGTATATTTTGGTAATAACGGTATATATAATTAATTTCATCCATCTTTTATACATATGTATATAATTTTTACCGTTCATTAAGGAAGCTTACTTCCTTAGAAAAATAATTTTAAGGCTGTCTCAATGAATATGAATATAAATCGGGATCGAGATATATATGGATGAATCTAATCCAATGCATGTGTTGAGCTACTGAGCTTCTTCAGTAGCGTTGTATTGCGATATTATTAAAAAGGCGATGATTGTTCAGTTAATGTATTCACAGTTTATTGTACTTAAGTTAATATATATGTTTTATCCAAAACTAGCGAAAGGTGTGCGGATTTGATAACGAGAGTTAACGATGGGTCGATTGAAGACACCGAGGGGCCGGTTCAAGACTGTTGAAGTTGTTAGATTTATGTAAGGTTTAGTTTAGAACTATGTGGCAGGCAGGTCACTGTGCCAAACAGCAAAACGTTTAACTACGGAGATGATCGAATCTGAAGTGTCTTCTGCTTTCTCTGACGAGCCTCCACCACAGCGGCTGTCGAACGCCGACAGAGAGCAAAGCACCAGACAGAGCATAAGCAAAGCAAACAAAACAGTAATAAAGAGAGACGTTACTTTTAAGAGATGTTACATATGGTCTCTTTGCTCATTGTGCTGCCATGGGCCGGCGCTTAGCCGAACAGCATGAATGGGAAAAAAACATGTCAATTTGAGAAAAAGACATTATTACTTAGGTTTCAAAGCAGTTTGTAAAACAGAATATTAACATACACATTCACATACACCACAAATGTGTAATATGTAGTTACCATGTAAAAAAATACGTTTTTATAATCTTCTTTATTTAAACCGTATTTTATAATTAATTTTATAAGGAGTCCTTAAAATTAAATGCTCAGTGATTTGAGTTATATTTAGTTTGTGAACTATTTATATTTCCATATATATACATTTGAAAATGACCGCCAAACTCATTTAGCGCACAAAAAATACTGACATTTTTCGAACAAACATATGCATTAAGAAGTAAAAAACATGTCAATCTATGATAAAATCATAAATAATGTTTTAATGGAGCTTGGAACAAAACATTTAACACCAATTAAAAGAAATAAGGTATGGTATACAAAAGTACATACGCATAGAAGAAACTTGGTTGATCAGCAACACTGACGTCACATTTAGTCAAAATTTACGTTTTATACTTTGGCCGCTTTTGTTTGAACCTTATTATGTAAAAAATCCAATGAAAAAGAGTTCTGAAAACTAGCCAATCCTGAACAAAATTCATTGAAGAATTGGATAAAATTATTTGTTCAGGGCTGAGAGGGCCAACTATCAAGTAATATTAAAATTGACGAATTTCATATTACAAAATATCATGGTATGGCAGCCCGCAGCAACTGTGAATTGCACGAGTCTGGCAATGCCACAAAACGACGTCACATTCGTTTTATGTTATTTCTGTTTGAACCTTAATATGTAAATAATGCAATAAAAAGGACTCCTGAAAACTTGCCAATCTTGTAGAAAATTTATGTATCTATCGGATAAAATTATTTGTTTAGGGCTGAGAGGGCCAACTATCTAGTAATAGTAAACTGAATATTAGGAATATCTTGTCGTGTCCTTCTGAATACTTACGGTATATTATTTAATCAAGTTCCAATTTATTTGTTTATATATTAAGATACGCTTCAAAATGACCGCCAGACTCCATTTATCGCATAAAAATATCGATATTATTCACTCTCAATTCGTGGAGAGTTTTCAAAATTTGCTCTCAATTCGTGGAGAGTTTGCTAAATTTGCTCTCAATTCGTGGAGAGTGCTCTCTTTTCAGTGGAGAATAGAGTGTTTTTGTGGAGACTTTCCCCTCATTTTCGTGGTGTGGCAGCATGTTGCTGAAATTTTTCCCATACAAATCAAATGTATCTTACGGGAACGCGTATGGAATAAAGATTCATTGTTGCGTCATTCCATACGCGTTCCCGTAAGATACATTTGATTTGTATGGGAAAAATTTCAGCAACATGGGGAAATGAATTAGCAGCATTGCTGTGCAACTTTGGCACGGAATGAGCAACAATCTGCATACCTTGGGAAAATGGATATTATGGACTTGAGGTATTGTTTGTAATTTCAGGCTCCAATTAATGCAGAAACTACTCAGTCTCTGTTTTCAAGATATTAACGAAATTTGGCAGCTCACGGGTTCCAATAATAGGTATCAGAACCGGGATAAATGCATTTATACAACACAAAACATATACATTAAGAGGTAAAAAACATGTCAATCTAGGATAACATCATAAATAATGTTTCACTGGAGCTTGGAACAAAACTTTTCACACCCATTGAAAGAAATAAGGTATACAAAAGTACATTCGCATAGAAGACACTTGGTTGACCAGCAACACTGACGTCACATTTAGTCAACATTTACGTTTTATGCTTTGGCCGGTTTTGTTTGAACCTTAATATGTAAACAATCCAATGAAAAAGAGTTCTAAAAACTAACCAATCCTGAAGGAAATTTATTAAGCAATTGGATAAAATTATTTGTTTACGGCTGAGAGGGCCAACTATCTAGTAATATTAAACTGAATATCAAAATAGACGAATTTCATATCACAAAATATCACGGTATGGCAGCCCGCATCAACTACGAATTGCACGAGTCTGGCAGCGCCACAAAACGACGACAAATTTGTTTTATGCTGTTTTTGTTTGAACCTTAATATGTAAATAATCCAATAAAAAGGACTTCTGAAAACTTGCCAATCTCTTAAAAAATGTATGTATCTATCGGATAAAATTATTTGTTTAGGGCTGAGAGTCCCAGCTAGCTGGTAATATTAACCGGAATATCAATATCGAGGAATATCAACGTCGAATGTTTTGAAAAAACAATCGATACTATCGTGATAGCTCTAATAATTATTAAAAAACCATTGAAACCTTTTAGGAACTTGTCCATTGTAAAAATAAGATGCCACCTGTCGATTTGCTTACAAATGTGTCTTCGTATTTTATAGCAGCCAATCCAAACATATCAAAAGTGCAACGACTGTAGCTCGATAATATCATGATAGTCGCAAAACCGTCGATAGTATAGGCTAGCAGTAAAATATCGATACTATTGATAGTGCCTTCCATGGTTTGACACCTCTAGTCCATCTCTTTTTCTTTCTTTCGCCAACCGCAACGTACGTAAAAATTTCCGCTTTTGCAAGGTTAAGAAAATATACTGTAAAATAGGTGAAAATATGTAAAATATTGTTAGCCAAGACTGTGTACAGCATCAACCAGCACCTAAATAGATATAGCGGAGCAAAAACTATTGGGATGTTTGAAATTGAACGAGATTGAATCTAACCTTACATTTGCTTTGCAGACGGTTGAATTGTTGGAATCATGGTAAACGGCCGCATACCGTCGGTCTTCTCGAAGACCTATGTGACTCCCCGTCGCCCCTATGAGAAGGCGCGTCTGGATCAGGAGTTGAAGATCATTGGCGAATATGGTCTTCGCAACAAGCGTGAGGTGTGGCGCGTCAAGTACGCCCTGGCCAAGATCCGTAAGGCTGCCCGTGAGCTGCTGACCCTTGATGAGAAGGACGAGAAGCGTCTTTTCCAGGGTAAGTAATGGAGATGGAATATTTCGCCTGTGTCCTGTGTCATGATGAGCTGTATTAAATATATAATTTCTGACACTTCTTGTCTGAACAAATCATTGACGTTAACAAATACACACTGAAGATGCTCCTACACATGCCATGCCTTTAGATGAGAGTCAAGAATTCGTATTAAATGTATTCCTCTTTGCACAGGTAATGCCCTTCTGCGTCGTCTGGTGCGCATTGGTGTCTTGGACGAGTCTCGCATGAAGCTCGATTACGTGCTCGGCCTGAAGATTGAGGATTTCTTGGAGCGTCGTCTGCAGACCCAGGTCTTCAAGCTTGGATTGGCCAAGTCCATCCATCATGCCCGTGTGCTGATCCGCCAGCGTCACATTCGGTAAATATCGCTTGGACAGCGACGGCAAACGTCGCTAGGCAATTTTCACAAGAAATATGTGTTGTTCAGTAAGACCACTTGGGAGTCGAACAGGCGAATGCCTGCACCGGCTCTCAACGTCTTTTGATTGCGTAGATGACTCTGTTCACTCCAATCTTAATGCAAATCCCGCATTGCGTAAGTTGCACTGAACGCCTTGCCAAAACCTCGCAGCCACCACGTGCTGGACTTGTGAGCAGCCAGGACTAATTGAAATTATCTTTCGTTTCTCCCCGTCCAGTGTGCGCAAGCAAGTGGTCAACATCCCATCGTTCGTTGTGCGCCTGGACTCCCAGAAGCACATCGACTTCTCTCTGAAGTCGCCCTTCGGTGGCGGCCGTCCTGGTCGCGTCAAGCGCAAGAACCTGAAGAAGAACCTGGGTGGTGGTGCCGCCGCTCCCGAAGAGGATGAGGACTAAGCTATGGTAGCCTGCCAATTCGACCATATGGCGCAAAATTTGATACCGTTTAAACTTTGTTTTACAAAATAAATCTAAAGTAGCCAGAAGTTGACGCGGCTTTAATAAGATGAAATAGAGACTACACATATGCTTTAATCTTCAGTTATAGGCCAAGTTCGAGTCGGTTGGTACATGTGGCGTGCTTTACTTGGGGGAGGTACTTGGCTTCCCATTTTAAATTAAGTTGGCGCCTTGGATTAAATGTATATTTTTGTCTCCCAGTTTTCGTTCCAGTGCTGCAGTTGTCAGAAGCAACATAACATATATACTCTGCTTTGCTCATGTCAACAAAAATAATCAACAAATAAAAATTAAAATTGTACCCAAAGTAGTTACAATAATAACACTAAAGAAAATATTGTACATCGATAGCCTCATTCGTAACTCCGATAGTACTATCGATGTTCTTGCAGCTCTGTCGTGCGGCTGTGTTTTGATTCGCAGTTTTGCGGCACTTGCTTGTTATTTTGGAAATTAGAAACGAAAATTGGCAGCGAAGAAAAACGGACAAAATGTCGAAGAACGGCGATAAGGTGAAAGTTAAGGATCGCGTTCAGGATGAGACCTGCGACCTGAGTCTCTCGGAGCTGGGCGAAGTACCGGTCAAAGAAATTGTGAGTAATGGTTATTATGGCTAATTAACACACCAGCGGCTATGTGGCTGGGCTATGTGGTGTCTCCAACTCCACCCGTCCCCCTGCTGCTCGTTGACTTTTCTATCGTCTGGCAAAAGTCTAGTCACTGTCTTTCTCGCTTGCGCACATAGAGAGACAGACAGACAGAGAGAGAGCAGAGCTCCTACTCTGTTGGTTTTGATGCTCTGGCTGCCTGCCGGCTGGCTTGCAATTAACGCCGACGTTGGCTGCGGCCTCTACCCCTCTTCTCATGCAGAGGAAGTGATGTGTGTGCATGAGTGGTTGGTGCCTTGCTCAAATGTCATGGTGTGAGTGTGTGCGAAAGTGCAGCCAAAATTGCTCGAGGGGGTTGATTTTTGGTCTTGTCTTGCCACCCTCTCCGTGCGGTCGCACTGCCAACTGCCAAAAAAGTAAAAGAAGGGACATTAGATTTTAAAGTATGTCGTTTTCGGGGGTTTCTTTTCGGTGATGTGACCCTGCTTGCCCGAATGCAACTCCTTTTTCAGTACGCCTTTGTCCTTTGCAGGCTTCGTTCAAGCGAGTCACCGTCTTGGATCTGTCCAGCAACCGCCTGACTACCCTGGGAGTAAGTATCCCGCTACCATACAAAAAAAAACACTCGGTTTATGGATCTTTCTGCCCTGCAGCGGCAATTCCCGATTCTTACTCGCCTGGTAAGACTTGATCTAAGTAAGAATCAAATACGCAACCTGCCCGAGGATTTCGGATTGCTGGAGAATTTGCGTCATCTGGACCTCTACAACAATTGCCTTGAGCATTTGCCATTGAGCTTCGCCCAACTGCGTCGACTGCGATATTTGGACCTGAAGGGCAATCCGTTGAAACCCGCCTGGGCGAAGATTGTGGGTCCCTGCTCCACGCTGAAGGACTGCCAAGAGGCGGCCAAGAACTGTGTAAGTGGGAAAGTGCCACTCCACTCGAGTGGGCCGAGTGGGCTCTTGTGTATAACTTTGCTCGCATTTTGCAGGTCAGCGTCTGCGCCAACTTGAAGCCCGAATTCGAACGCGAGCGTCTGGCCCAGGCGTCCCAAGAGCGTGAACAGAGTGCTGACCAAATGCCTGGCAGAGGGGATGGCTCCAACAGTGCCCAGGCGAATGGTGCCGGGCCAGGGGCCAAGAAGTCCACCAAACCAAATAACAAGAAGGCAAAATTGAAGAAATTGGCCGAAGCAGCTGAGAACGACCTAACATTCAAGCCAGTAAATGCAGTGGGAGAGGGAAATGGGGCAAAGTCTGTCAATCAGAGGATCAATCAAAGGAAGAAATCGACCAATAGCAACTCCTGGCTGAATATGCTCCAAAAGGTTGCCCTGTCCACACTGGTTACATTCCTGGTGCTCGTTGTTGTCAATATAGTCCTCATCTATATGATTATGTTCAAGAGTCCGGAGATATCGGGAAAACTGTTGGAGTATATACCGCACCAGTATCAGGACTGGATATTGACCAAGACGGATCTCTTCCGTCTGCGCGTCACCGACTGGATCTCTGAGTTCCGCACCCCCCCAGAGGAGCACTGACGGTTCATTTATTTGAAGCCATAGAGCGCTGGGGCTTCAAATAAAACGAATCTCTGATAAAATTCGGATGCTGGCGCGTGGAGAAATCTGAAATGTGTAGACCACCTGAACGAACGAGTTAAACGACTGCGACTTTTATATACCCCAATGTATTGTGTATACTGCCATATACCCTCGTACATTTACGTCCATGGACAAGGATTTTTTTAGCACAGCCCTCACATCACATCACACACAAACACAAGCACACACACTCTGATGCTGTTACTGCTGCTGGACACTCAACAAATATTGCATACCAACAAACTACACTCAATCAATCACACAACTGAACTGGACTCAAGTCAACTCAAATGAAAGCTAAAACCTAACAATAACTGTCAAACTCAAACTCAATAGTAACTGAAACGCAGTTCTAAACTGTGGCCACAAATAGAAACTACAGACACAGTCAGACCAGAGACCCTCATAATATCTAGATATGTAGCTACCCATACAGCTCTGCCACAGATCACGGATCAGATCAGCAAACACATACATAAATACAACGATATTCTGTAAGAATTTCCCGTGCAATCCTCAACTTGTCTGAAATTCAGCTCAAATTTTATTACAACATATTCCACCCTAAATGATCGGTCGCCTCAGATCGATAGACTCAAAATCTCAAACTTCTCATAAACCAAATTTCGTCTATTGCTGTAAATTGAAACAAATTCATGCGGTTTCATATAATTTATGCAAAATCAAATTAATTGTAATCTAGAAACAAAAAAATTGCTGATTTTTTAATAAAGTCTTACATTTTAACAATAAATTGTTTATGTTAATCTCGCCCTGAAAAGTATATTCTTTATATTCTTTCAGTTTTATAATTTATTCTTTAGATAATTTTAATCGGTACACTTAATAATTGATTTATATACAATTTCCTATTATTTCATATTATTATCTTATAACCTGTATTTATAGAGTCTGCTGGCCACGCGAGTGCGTTTATTTACTTATCTCTTTATACCTACTCCATTGCTATTAATTAGTAAATCATATTCCTTCAAGTTCAATGAATGCACTTTCCCAGAAACTAATTTATTTAATATATATTTTTAACCAGCCAGGCAGTTGATAAGGTTTGCATATTGTTTTAGTTAAAATTCAAAGTAATTTTGAATTATATGCAACTCTCTATGACGTCACGAGACGTCAAAGTAGTCAGTTATGGCCTTGGCTGCACATACACAACTTTCTTTCTAAATATAGGCTAATTTATTCTCCACACACTTTACCAAAACGTGCAAAATAATACAATGTAAAACCCGTTTAGATACGCTGAAAAAAATTTGAATACATACAAATATTTTTTCTTCAAGAACTTTCGGCCCATATTTCGTGCCGCCTTTATATAGTAAGAGGAATAATCTGGAATCATTTCTTAAGGATATAAAAGTCGGCACATTAACAGTAAAAGCAATTGTGTTCTCGTATGTTCCAATATCCAAGCACTGAATTATGTATATCAAAACGCCTTATTATTTGATAAATGACTTGCAGAAATGAATTTCATCAACAATAAACCATAGAAAGTTGTAGAACGATAACGTATTCGTGTCTTTGCTGCTCTTCCATGAACTGAACAAGTGGTGATGCAATGCACATTTTCAATTTCTAATAAAAAGGAGCACCTCCAATTTAAAGTTTCGTGTTTGCACTGAAGCATTTGGCGCCACGCTTATGAACGTAAGAATTCTATTTCATCAGCCAAACCGACAGAGATGAGGCAGCAGGCCCTTTCCTTTAAAGTTTTTTTTTTAACAATGCGCATCCTTTGTCATTCACCCTGCTGCGTTCCTTCCCTTCCCTTACCATTCACTATCGTTTTGCTCTCAGCCATATACATACACATATTTACATATACATATTGCCGGTCTCTTTGTGGTGGTTGCTTGCTTGCTCTCTCGCTTTCGCTCTTTCAGTTCAGCTCAAAAAATAGCCAAATACATAGCCGTGGAACTGTGGGAATTTTTGAAAGATGTGAAACGCCGATTTCCACTACCAGTCAATGTTTAAATACTAATATATATGCTATGTTATTCTAGAAGCTGTTGGGACATTTTTCAATCACAAAATGGAAAAGTTCCACAACATTTTCGCTGTTACAATAGGTTTTGAATTCCCGCAGTAAAAGAGCTAAATTGGTATCACTATGATGGCTATATAAAAGCAACTCACTATTGAGCTCTTTTGAGTTGCTCTTCGGCGTTTCGCGCGTTATTTTCCCGTTTAGAGTGGCGTGGCTGGCAGTGCTACTTTTGAACTGTTGGCATTAATTGAGTCGCGAATTCTGGAAAATATTTTATATTTATTGAAACAAACATATTTTCGTGCAAGCCGGTCAACCAAATAAAAGTGTTAATATCTCTGTACAGTACACACGGAGAAAAAGGAAGCGCAAAGTAAGCAAGAAAGAAGGCTGCGTGTTCATGAAACCAGAAAGTCTATACATAAGTTGGGAAGAAGCACATGGCAGAAAATTGGGTTTGGTCTGGTCTCAAAATAGCAGGGTGCAATAGAAAATGTTATGTATTCGTATTCGAAAGAATTCAGAAAAGAAAAAACCGCTGTAATGTCACACAAAAAAAATGCTTTACAACCAACAAAATATAATTATAGATAAAGGGCTTCAGCAGTGGCCCAATGTCAATTATAATTAAAAACCCTCGGAAAGAACCAAAACGGAGAGCAGAAAACTGAAAGAATCATTTTTGTGGGACACGCGTGCAGTCTTGGCGTAGACGTCGACAGCGACGTCAATTTGCCAACGTTGCACCTGTCCCGTTATTTGCTTTACGTTTATTTTTTGAATTTTTCATCTGCATCCCCTGTCAATTCTCTTAAGTTTTTGGAAACTATTTCCTTAAAAATCATGAATGGAATATAATCATTATCGTAATTGCGCGCGCTTTCTAATTACTCCAAGTTGTGTGTGGTGCTGTTGTTGTTGTGCCTGCTTGAGTGTACTATAGTTCAATGGCTGGGAATAGGTTTTTCCCCATTTGACTTGCTGATGTTCCACGTTTCTTCTACATAGGAATACGTAATTTAATAGTAATTGAGCATTTAATCCAAGGGAAAGTTCACGCGATGTGTGTGGAACGGAGAGACAGGCTGACTGGTGACTATGATGGTAAAGACCAGGGCCAGATCTACCTAACTGCGTCAATGCACACCCACGTCCACCCACACTCCCTGCCATTAGGGCTGCTGACTCATCCAAGGACAAACGAAATGCATAATCAACCTCGAAAATAGCTGTAAAACAAAAACAAAAATAAAAAGGTTAGAGTGCAAAGCCTCCTCTAACAGAGGTGTGAGTGTGTGTGCGTGTGGTCCTTATCTCACCCGTAATGTGCGATTTTTTTTAGTCTGTTATTGATTTTAGTGTTTCTGTGCTGTTGTTGTTGCGTGTAATTAACAAAACAGAAATTTACAAGCCTCAAAGCTAAAGACGCAGTATAACTGTGACATCAGAGACTGGAGTCCAACCAAAGAGCGAGAGAGAGGAAGTGTGTGGGAGAAGAGAGTGCGTAGGCCGAGACTGCAACTGTTGCTTGCGTGGGAGCAATGTCTTGACAGTTTGACATATTTATGCAGACAAAAGCGAGATGGAGATACAAGATCCTTTTCTAGTGAAATTTATTCCCTCAATATTCCATTTGCTTAAAAGAACTTCCATTCGAAGCATGGCAAAGCTTGATGTAAGGGCATTTAGCCCTCGGTGCCTATCACCCTTTGTTTTTTACCTCTGTTCTTGTTGTCTGTCTGTCTCTTCCTTTCGCTAGTGTTTGCAATTTGCGCAATTTGTTACACACACACATACAGGCACTACACTTGACCGCCTTCTCAACGGTAAATGTCGTGGCTACGACAGAAGAACCCACCCAGAACTGTCGGAAATTGATTTGTTTTAGGCATAACCAATTTCCGTACCACACACCTTAAAGAAGGTTGAAAAACTACCGGAAATCGATTGAACCATTGACCATACGGTTAAAAAAGTACAGTTGATACAGTTATTTCCCATCAAACGGAATGAAACTGCCCAATAATATGCGAAAGCAATATGTACGATTGTAAATGAGCATTATCGAAAACGATAAAGTGACCTTTTCATATACAAATGTAAATATGTATGTATATAATGTATTTGTGGACTGTTATCAGAACCAGAAGTTATGCAAGGACCACACGCCACACTTCAACATACTGCATTTAGTTTTGCGGCCTTTTCAGATAACACTACTTACTACTTATGGCACTATCTACGGGGACTTGCCAGAGGCCTTTCCACGTGTCTGTATTGGTAATAATAATTTGTACTTCCAGTAGTAGAATATTTGAACAGCAGTTTTTGTTTGATACATTTTCTCCAATGACGTCAAAGCTGACAAGGTGTACATATGTGATCTTTGAGCTGCCACACAATAGAAATAAGCTTCTTAAATATTTTTCGATCTCCAAAATGGCATCATTAAACTTTGGGACATCCATCCTCTGATAAAGGCTAAAATGTATACCTTTGATAACATAAATTGCTTTTAAGCAATGTGTTCTATGCCTCAACCTTGTCACCTTCCAAGAACCAACTACAAGTTCACTATCTGGAAAATTACTACATAAAGAACCACAAACGGAACTTCAAGGTTATTATCACATCGCAGTGCTGAAACGTCAAGCGTGTCGTGTTTCCCTGTAAAAATCTCCAGAAATAAAGAAGAAAGATAGGAAATACAATACTTTTGTTTGTTGATCAGCAGATAACATAAAAGACTCCTGCAATACCTTACGTTTGTTTGCCAAATGCATTCCGTCTGTAATCCTAAAATAATGAAAAAGGGGGTTTTCCCCCCTGTATTGGCTGATGAAATATTAGCTGTGCTTTTCTCTATGCCGCTGACTGATGTTGAACTTGATATAAACACATGTTGAGGAGTATTTTCTAAGAATAGTACATATCGTATTAGTGCTGACGCAGAATTCGCGTCAGACTGAAAGGGCGGACAAATTCCCCCATTCAACCGATTACAGAGCAAAAGTTTATATGAGTCAAACACAACGATATCTGGTATCTTGTAGGGCCAACAAGTTTTGGGGTGCAGCTTTCAGGCAAATAATTTCAGTGGGAAAACCACTTAACACGTGGTTGCTTTCCGTCTGTGAGGGGCTCGACCGGGTGGTTTTATTAAATGGTCATCTCTACAGCGAGAGAGAGCAAACTATATTTATGCCTATTATTTTTGGCCAGATGTACATACGAGTATTTGGCATGCGACTGCGCCTTGTTTTTCTGTCTGGCGGCCTTTTCTCAAATATTCTCACGGTACAAAAATTCGTTGCCTTCGTTCTTGCACAATAATACCCAACCACTCGGACGGAATCTTAAACCCTATTTATAATAATACCTTTGTTTTCTCGACATGCATATGTACATACATATGTATGTACATATTACACATTGCTAAAATGTCAATTTCAAGGTTTTCATTCGAATTTTAGTGATCTATCACGTCTTAACGAGACAGGTGATAATTGGCTGAGTGATCTTCAGGCAGTTCTAGAATAGATCTACAAAGAGAGGGAGACAGTAGACGAAATGTAGAAGTCTTAATGATGCTAATGAGAGCTTTAGCAGAAAAGAGAAACAATACATTGTATTTATTTTATCAGGGTAAAATGAAGTCTATTTTCTATAACAACAAAAAATATAAAAAAAGGAAATCAACAGACACAGTAAAACAATACAACAATACTACATCAATACGACATACTATATCAAGTTATGAATCTTTATAAACGAAACATATGTACCTCTTTCTTTATTCCTTCCATTTACAATGTTTTATCAATCAATTCAGTGAAAAAAATCCTAAAAATAGTTGGATTAGTAAATAGACACGCACCCACGCAGCGAAATTTCAATTTAAATGATGCAATCGGTATACATACATATATATTTTTTTTGTAATTTTCGATATAGTCATTGCCCTCGAATGTAGGATCAGTGGTCTGGTCTTTTCTTGCTGTTTGTTTGTGCTTTGAATCGATTGGCTTTTGGCGCTGTCATGCTCTCTCCCTGCTCTCGCTCACGCAACCGAAAGGAATGATAATACTTGTATCTTTCGATCAATCAGCATGTAGCGAAAAAACCAGTTCAGACTGGTTGAAAAACTATGCGATAAGGGCAGACAGACTATCACTAAAAATAAATACATGTCTCAAAAGTAAATCACACACCCAAAAAATAAAAGAGCACAAAACTAAACAAAATGTGTGCCAACTTTTCTGTGGGTGCCGTGCCGCTCACTAGGTGAAGGTTCTTTTCGACCAAACTGTGTGTGTGTGTTGCCAAAATATGATGTTCCTCTCTTCTGGGAGAAATACTCAAATTTTAATTCATTCATTGAGTAGCCAAAATATTGGGTAGGAGCTGGTTCTCATATCTTATCGAGTTGTACGAGTGCCATGTGCGTGATTTGATGACGATGTTAGATAATAAATAATACCTACATACATATGTACATATATGTACATATATAAAATGTGAATCGATTTCAATGTCAGATTTTATTGCAAGACAATGTAAATGGCTGGTTCAGGGAATGCAGCTTCCCAGACAGACTTCTCGCTGTGCGGGCGACCCCTGGGTGAGAGGTCAGGCCAGTTCATTCAACCTTGTTGCGAAATATACCAAATATGCGGCATGAAACGTGGAACGTGACGACAAAAAATGGCTAAAAACTGTTTACGAAGCGTCTGAAGAGAAGGGAAAGCAAAGCCAACACCTAACACGGGAGCAAGCCGCAAATATATGCACATAAATATATCATTTATCTGATCCGACTCGACACCGACTTCAGCGTCGCAATTTAACCCTTGAGCGGGGCTCCTCTTCTGTTCTGTTCTATTCTGGAATTCTTGGCAGCAATTTGATGACAAGGCCAGACCACTTAGAACAGAAGTCGATTTTTGGGGCGAGGGCAAAGTACAGGCCATACGACACGCCACTCCCACCCACAAAAAAATATCTTTGCATATGAAATGTGAGTGTGTGTGCGTGTGTGTGAAAACTTGCACATGTGACCGGGATTTGACGGATGAATAATAGATCTATTCTATCCTAGGAGGCCCACAACAACCTGAAAGAATTAACCGAAATGTGTCATTGAGGAAAGCAAACATATTGCTAGATCTAAAAATAAAGACTCATTAGAGCAGCAGGTTGAAACAAGAGAAGAAACAGAAATCTAGAGAAGAAAAATAAAAGAAAGGCTCTTCCATTTTTATACTCGTACAAATTTATTTGCATAAATTGATTCAAACTGCATCGAATTGAAATTGAGCAGCACAAAACAATTAATCGGGAGGGCGGGAATGCGAATGGGAATGGAATTGTAAATAATTTAACGACACGAATCGCAGTCAATCAAATCGAATCAAGTGAGAATGTCTGGCTCGGAATTCTATTAGTTTAAGGCTCGGCGGCAGTATCTTGTCTCAATTAAAATTCATTATTAAATCAATCAACAAATTGTGTTCTCAAATCGTTCTCCCTTTGATTTCTTGCAGTCTCTGTTGTACACTGAGGAAAAGCCACTTGAAGAGCAGACAGACAGCACAACACCCAAAATGGTGAACATTGTGGTAAGTAATTTCTATCTTTTTCCATTCATTAATTGTCTACATTCATTCAATCGCTTGAATTATTTCTTTGTGCTGCTCTACAGGATAGCGGCGCCAAGCATGCGCCCCAGGAAATGGAGCAGTTCCTGCCGGGCGAGGGAGGAATCAAGTGAGTTTTGTCGTTTGCTAAAAATAAGCAATGTATTAAGCGATTGCTCATGTGGCATGTGTTCGCCAATTAAGGGATAGTCGTGCTAATTGGTTCATAATGCCGCCATAGGCAATTGACTAAAAGCTGCTGACATGCCCTGGCTCCGACTTTGCACCGACTTACTTTTGAAGCTGCTGGAATTTTAGAAGCCACGCAAGCGTGCATCAGAGATTGATTTCAATTACTATCTGCCCGCTTTAAAGCGGGGGCTTACATCATGGACTTAGTGTTAGTTACACATTTGATAACGAGGTTAGACCCTAACTAACTGTATAATCAAATAGTCTCTTGCCTTTTTAATAAGCAACAACTCACGTAAGAGCCTCGACCGTAGCCCCTAACGAGTACTAAAGTCAATATAATGGAAATTGCAACGGTAGTACGCACATAGAGAAATAAATCACCTTACATGAATGCATACGAGTGATAGGGAAGTTCAAGGGGTCTCTCAAAATATAGGTATACCATACATTGCAGGTACACTGGCATTATCTGCAGCTGGCAAACGTTTATTGGGTCGCTTCTGTTTGCTGATCTGCCTACCAGATGCAAATGAGATTGTCATGTAAATAAACTGAGAGATATACATAAACTTTAGTTTTGCTCGTTTAGATCGTTTAGATACCCTTCACGAGTCCAGGAAGATGCCCTTCACGATGAACTTTGTTCAGGGGAATTGAGAGATTCTAAAAGAAAAAAAACACTTATACGATTATTCTATGGTGTTTGTTTGGCATTTGCTTGTTTGTTGTTTGGATGACGCTGCTGTATATAGATTCGTATTCAAATTATATAGTATATAGATTGAATCAATGAACTATAGCTGATAACCCCAGAGACGTTAGCACTTCAACTGATAGGTATAATCATATATTAATAATATACGAAAGTAATGTCAGTCACAAATATACAGACGTTTCAGACATGGTCAGTCACGAATATCAACATACTTACTCGTATGTATATCAGTTTAAGTTAGCAACTGATGGCAAAAAATGTGCCGTCATTCAAATTACTTACATCCGGCACTTAAAAATATGATTACTATAGAAATATACGCAGCTGTCATGGAAATTGTTTATAAATTTAATATTAGCATTAACTATTGAATCGCTCTGAACAGTCCGTGTCTGCTCACAGGGCCATGAACTTGGATTTCTTTCAATTGTAATCTAATTTCTAGTTGAATTATGTCTGAAGATTCTATGCTCCATACATAGACACATATTAACGTGTCTGTTCATGTGTTCCTGGGCAATGAATGCCAAGAATTAACCATTCAAAAAAATGTGGCATTACTAGCGACAAATCTCCACAGTTCCGAGTCTATTTCTGGCTACTATCCTTAGGATATTTAGTGAAAGATCATTCTGAACAATCAAGCAGATTCATTAGATTAATAAAAAGGCAGGCCACGCCCAGTTTGGAAAATAGCAAAGGCCAAGAAACACTCAAATGTTGATGCTAACGAGAAGGAACGTGTGAGTCGTTTCTGGGGACACGACTCTACTTATACCCGTACTCAGTCAGTATATACGTTATTGAGCTTCTGATTTTTTAGAATTTTAGAAAAAAAAAATTTTACATTTTACATTTTTTTGCTACATCTGATATCTACATATACATATACAATGTCAATTCTACATCTAACATGTAGATTGTACATGTTCCATTCATATTCTACATCTCCTCCGCTAGGGGTTGCTCGCGCACTGAACGCGGTAGAGTGTGCGAGCGAGAAGGAAAATAAGTTGCGTTGTCGTTTGCTGGAGGGGGCAGGGGAAGCGACTGAAAATTAATTTCTTCATTCTGGCTATAATTATGATCCGATCTGATTCAGATTCGGCAGTCTGGTAGAAATTGTCATTCTCTACGATAGTGCGTTTTTAGTTTTATCGTATCTTTAAAAATGTGCCTGCTAAAGATTTTCGTCTTTTGTATGGGCGGAAGGGGGCGGGGCGAAATTTTGAAATACACTTGTAGCAGTGGGATATCACATGAGTCTGGAAACCAAATTTGGTTACCCTAACTCGTATAGTCTCTGAGATCCAGGCGCTCAACAAGACGGACGGACGGACGGACAGACAGACATGGCTATATCGACTCGGCTATTGATGCTGATCAAGAATATATATACTTTATGGGGTCGGAAACGTTTCCTTCTCTGCGTTACACACATCCACTTTTACCACAAATTAACTTTTTTAACTTAACTCTTTTTTGAGTACGGGTATAAAAATGAATTTGACGTCCTACTTACATGTCTCAGTGGCGACATCTGACGGCGCCTGCATTCGAATTCTACAGCAAAATAAATATGACATGTATTTGTACATTGCCAATGTGGCGCCACCTAGCGGCTTAAGAATGCCATTTAGGTGGGGGGTGGTTTGTGGGTGGATGGCTTATCTCCTCTTTATTCTGTGTGGAAGAAAACCCACCCACACCATTTCTTTGAGAGGACTAAGAGGAGTACAGCAGCTCAGAGAGTGAGTCGATCGACCTATGCGGTTGCTGCTTGACGCTTGACGCTTTCGTTGGCAGTTTTCTTTATGGCTGATGCAATCGAAACGGCAAAGCGAGTCAGGCGTGGAATGGAATGAGATCCCATAGATTCATGCGATCAATTGGCCCAAACAACGCCAATCAGAAGTTGCCTCACCAAATTCGGGCCGACAACAACAGCAGCAGCATTTTTTGTACCCGTTCCCCTTCTTCGGTCCCCCGACATTAAATTACAAGTGTAGTATTATGAGCCCCCCCGTGACATACGAGGCGAGAGGCGGCAGTTGTAATTGCAGACGCAGCAATTCCGTTGCAAGAGAATTTCACTGTCAGCATACATATAAGAAAACGCGACACTTTCGAGGCGAGCTTCAGTCGGGGAAGACAACAGCCAAACGATCCACGATCCACGAATAGCAGCAGCAGCATGAGAATGGACGATCAAGAACTTACGAATGTGGAGATGAGGTTCCCCACGAAACAAATTTGAAAGTGCAAAAAGCTAAACGCTGCTGTTCTCTTTTAATTACAGATACCATATACAGCCACGGAAATCGGACAACGAGCAGGCCCTGGGCAACACTGAGTTCGATCCGTTTGCACATCGCGACAATGAGCATCCCACTAGCGATAATGAAACGCTCACGCATTTGCTTAAGGCCTCCCTAGGCACTGGCATCCTGGGTATGCCCATAGCCTTCATGTACTCTGGAATTATCATGGGTATCTTTGCCACCATCTTCACCGCCTTTGTGTGCACGCACTGCAGTTATGTGCTGGTAAGTGCTGGCAGGCAACCCGACGGTTGTTTCTTCATTCGTTCAGCATAAATCATAAATCGAATGGTACATCTTTCAGGTTAAATGCGGCCACAAGCTGTACTACAAGACACGTCGCACCAAGATGACATTTGCCGAAATTGCCGAGTCTGCATTCCAGAAGGGCCCCAAGTGGTGCCGGGGCTTTGCTCCCGTGGCCAAGTTCTCGATATTGTTCGGTCTATTCCTCACGTACTTCGGCACCTGTTCGGTGTACACCGTGATTGTGGCCAAGAACTTTGAGCAGTTGATCGAGCACTGGACGGGATCGGCGGTTTCCTCGCGTCTGCTCATCTGCGCCCTGTTGGTGCCATTGATCCTGATTGCTTGGGTGCCGAATCTCAAGTACTTGGCCCCCGTCTCGATGGTAGCCAATGTGTTCATGGGCCTGGGACTGGGCATTACCTTCTACTATCTGACGCAGGATCTGCCACCGCTGGAGTCGCGCAATTATTTGGTGCTGGGCACCTTGCCGTCCTTCTTCTCCATCACCATCTTTGCGATGGAGGCCATCGGAGTGGTGATGCCGCTGGAGAACAACATGAAGACGCCCCAGAATTTCCTCGGCCTCTGCGGAGTGCTCAGCCAGGGCATGTCCGGCGTGACACTCATCTACATGCTGTTGGGTTTCCTTGGCTATCTACGCTACGGTGAGGACACGCAGCAGAGCATCACCTTGAATCTGCCCGTCCACGAGTGGCCCGCCCAGGCGGTGAAGGTTCTGATTGCCTTGGCCGTTTACTGCACATTCGGACTGCAGTTCTATGTGTGCCTGGAGATCGTCTGGGATGGCATCAAGGAGAAGTGCACCAAGCGGCCGATGCTGGTCAACTATGTGCTGCGCACTGTCCTGGTGACGGCTGCCGTGGTCCTGGCCATTTCCGTGCCAACAATCGCACCCTTCATGGGCCTCATCGGAGCTTTCTGCTTCTCCATTCTGGGACTGATATTCCCCGTAAGTTTTTCACCGAATTTAGTTGAAAGTTCTCTTGATCGAACTCCGTTTATTCCTTTGTTCAAGGTGCTTATTGAGATGGTCATCCATTGGGACACTGGATTCGGTAAATACAACTGGATTCTGTGGAAGAACATTGTCATCATCATTTGCGGTATTGCCGCCCTTTTCTTTGGCTCCCTGGCCGCCATCCGAGATATTATTGAAGTCTACACCCAAGTGGCACCGCAATAAGCGCCGCCCCCCACCCGCCAGAGGAGGTAAAGGATTTGAGGAGGATCAGGATGCCATGCCCCGTACTATACCAATCGGGTATAGGAAGAGCCGAAGCAGCGGCTGTGGCTCCGCTTCCTAGAAATCATCTAACTATTGTTAGATGTAAAACCAGCGCCCACATTTTGTACATTTTTCGTCTGTTGCTTAGTGTCTGTTGATTATTTCGGGACCTGTGGAAGCGTATCTACAATACACTGAATAAGTGCCTACTACAACACATACACAGCACCAACTATGCCGTTATAGCACGTTTAGAACACTTGCAATTATATAGAGTAGAGAGTCCAGACCACCCACACCAAGTAATCTAAGGTAGTTGATAGGTCTCGAGGCAAGGAAATGCCATTTAGCATGCATTTAGTACACATCAGATTTCAAGTGATCTCATAATGTACCACAATGTTGCAGAATCCACTGAAAACTGCACCAAAATGTACTAAATGCACTTGATGAGCAAGCAAACATTTTCGAATTGTTTTACGTACGATTTAGTACAGAGCTAAAAAGATGAAACAAAAGCAAAAAAAAAAAACTTATATAGCCCTGCAATCTCTTCAATTAGTTCCTCCTTGCTAGCCCTCACTCCCTCTTCCTCTCACTCTCTCTCTCACTGTTCTAAAAAATGAGTATTACGAAAGCAAGAAACCAAAATTTTAATTCATCTTTCACTCCCCCCATTTTTGTCCTATTTTGCCCCCGATTTTTTTATTTTGTTGTAGCAAAAAAGACGTGCATGTTGCCTACATGAGTTCTTAGCATGTTTTAGTTTGTAAGAAAGCGTAAGAAATACGTTAGTTAGCGAGAAGATGGATGCCTTTGGCAATCGGTACGAAATATTGCATGATCCGCTGCTAAATTACTCAGAGAATACCCATTTCGATACAAAGCAAAGCAAAGCCTGGCGCATAACAGAGTACATACATACAATACATACATAATATTCAATTGCCTCGATATTCACTGTACTACAATATTTTGTTGTTGATGCATACAGTTTTTTTGTATTTTAATTATAGCTTTACAAAATCAATTACGTTAGCGAGAACCGAAATCTAGCGATTGAGTAAAAATAAAAGTTGAAACATTTTTTTATATAAAAATCCGATTTTATGTCGCATTTAAATTCCTGTGAAGGCAACGAAGCACATTCATTTGTTAGCCGTAGACTTCTGTCTGTCAATTGTTTATGCATATGTTCAAGGAGCTCCAAGTACATATGTATCTGCCCCAAAAAATAAAAAGTATTTAGAATTGAGACTTGTCCATATTACATAATCGGAACAACAAAAATATTGATATGAAAGTTTACTTTTTGAAGAGTGTTCAAATGGAAAAATAAATTGAAAATTGAATATACAACGTAAATATACATACATAAATTACAATACAAATAATGTAAACTTAAAGCAAAACTAACCTTTGATTTTATTTCTATGTAAAGTCTAGTATTTCTACGTTAAATATTCGCACGCCCTTGAATTTTTCCTGTCAGCATCTGAGCAGAGAGCATCCCAAACCTGCCCCCCGGGTTCAGCGCGTGGCTCTTGCGCGTATCGTTTTGGAATATCCGTTCATACACTGCCCGAAAAACATGCTCGATCAACTTCAATTGCTAATGGTTGAAAAGTCATTTGTTAATTGGTATTGAGTGGACTGGACAATGTGCTCGTAGAGGGGCGCAACGAATTAGTTTTTGTATTTGCTGGCCCACAAATTGAATTGCAATGGAATTGCTTCGAATGCCTAATCCCACACACCATGTCCGAGGGCAAGCCGAGCCGAGTTCAAGCGGAGAAAGAGAAACAGCGAACATTGCGGGCGCTTGAACTGTACTGTACTGGACTGGCCGTTTGGGCCAATTAGGTAACCTCCGATGGGTCGCTCTCAATGCGAAGCATCACTCTTCAGAGACCAGCACAGACACAGACACAGACAGAGGCACTCTGTCAGAGATCGTGGTCGTGGTTGTTGTCGTGGTATTGGCTTGTCATCTTTTGTGACAAGATGCAAAATGGAAAGGCATGCCAACGTGGGAATACGGGGTACGACACTGTCTGCGGCCGGAGAGGGGCCGCATCGCATCCTTGACATCGCATTGGACCATTTGTGATGGGTTCGATGAGATGAGAGATGAGATCGAGCGAGCGAGCCCCTCCAGGAAGCTCGACTTTGAGCAAATTAGTGGAAGCCGAAAAAATACAATAGTTGGCGGAGTCCACAACGCCTTTTGTCGAGACAAATTATTGGTTGGGGGTGCCTGGAGTTGTTTGCCGCGTCCAAGGCTGGCGATGATTTAAAATAATTAATCTATGCCCTGCTACGAGTATGCTCTGCTCTGCTCTGCACTTGGTCTGGTCTACTCAATGGATGGGACGATGATGATGATGTTGTTGCATTTTGATTGAGCCAAGGTCTGACTGTTTTGACTGCAGAAGTTGGTTTACTTTTGATTTTCTTTTGTTGCTCTGTGGTTTTCATTTCGGGGTCTTGTAATTTGTATTTACTCGTAATGTAAAACCGTTTGCTGCGCCGATTGTGCAATTACATGTTTCTTATAGGCTTGTAGGCTCTTTTGTGCCCTCTTCCGCGTAGCCGTTCTTATCGGTACACCCTATCGCACTGGACTCGTAATGCTCGAGCTCGGGTACTTTCTCCAACTTTCGCATAAAGCATTTATTATGGGTCTACTTCTGACACGCTCGTCCCATAGGAATTGTCAAATTTTATTGAAAAATATATGCAAGGTGAATATCTAATTGATGGCAAACAGAAGCGTGGGAATGTTTCCGGCTTCAGTCAGTCCCTGTTGGAGGCCCAAAAAGTGATCCAATGCAATGGATATATGGACCCTATCCAGCATTCACCTAGTCCTCGATGACTTTCACAACACCTTCAAGGCCCCCGATGCCAATTACCCTTTCTGAACACCGAAAAGAAAATAACAAAACCCCCCCATTGAGACCAATTCAAGAGCAAAATGGCAGTGCAAAAGCAGGCAGAAACAAAAATTACACAAATATTTACAATAATAACTGAACTGAAGAAACAATCAATAAAAATATGAAACGTTTAAGAAAAGTGTTTTGACTTGAGGGCGCCCAATCAGCTGAGCAGCAGCAGCAGCATCAGCAGCATCAACAAAAAAAAAGGCTAAAAACAAAAGGTTCAACAGGCAACCATTAACCCATTCACTTTCAAAAACAAGAAAAAGGTTGACTGCGATCTTCGGAACAATGAAAAATCGCCCGTGTCCAAGGGAGCATTGTAATTATGTATAACAAAGATGTTTTTGAGCAAACCAAACTGTAGTGTCGTGTTAAAGTTTCAACAACTAACCGTAAAACAGAAATACTTTCAAGTCAAGTAGTCCATCCATCTGCGGGTGGGCAGTGGGGGATGTGATCATCCATTGGGATTAGGTATTCGCAGAAACAGAGGTCAGGTTCACCAACGAGATTAATTGAGGTAATTTTGGCAAAATGATTTTGCTGTCACTTCCAGCTAAAAACCGCAAATAAAACTAATCCAACTACCAAATGTGTGTGCTGTGTTCGAAACTAAAGTAAAAGCAATGGCAAATCATTCAAAGATTGCCCAGAGAGTTCACATTCACAGTCTTTTGGAGTGATGCCCAGAAATGAGAGGATGATGATAATGATGATCGTGCTAGACGTTGGCAGCAGACGCCTCGCCACCATTGCTGCTGCTGCTTCTGCTGGCAGAGGGCACAGGCATAGTTATGGGCACCCGCCTGATGGAGATCGGTGTTTTGTGCATTTGCATTCATTATGTTTGGCACCGTCGACGCGACCACAACGCCACCGCACAACGCAAATCGCTCACCTAACTGCTCATCGAAGATCGGAGTTCGGATTCGGATCTAGGCACTTTTTGGAGTTGTTGCTTCAACAACCGCAACCTGATCGGTTCGCTGTCAATCGTTCTTTCTGCTCGTCATTCATTTGCTGTGCTGTGGTTGTGCTTTGTTGTGCAATTTCTTGTCGAAAAATGCTTCCAATTTGGATTTGTGTACCGAGCTCTTAACGTTTGTCTTCTGTCTGTGCATCGCGTGAGTGGCCTGTTGTCTCGATCAACTTGACCTTTCTGCGCTCTTCGATCGTAGATCGTAGCTCGGGAAATTGCTTAAGTTCTTTTCAAATTGTGTCTGCCACCGAATTAATTCGGAAAATGCCATCACCATATGTGATCGCCTTGATCACGCTCCTCTGTCTCTGTTTGAGTCCGGCCACCATTGCCCAAGACTCGCAGTTTGCGGAACGCAATCATAAGGTGTGTACATGGAATGCCCTCACCCCACCCCCTTTGTAATTCTTTCGTAAAACCCATTTCAAGAAACGTCAAATCTATCGCGAGCAAGTTCTGCCACATGCGGGTGGTAAAGTTCCCGAAACCGCCTTCGAAACGGATCGCCTCTTTCTGAATCGCCTACAAAAGGAGGGCATAGCGGTTCCCGACGGAATTGTGCCCGAGCAGCGTAGTCCGCAGGTAATTGACAGCACAGATCCCTTCCTGGAAAGGATATCTATCCATCCATAAATCGGTATCGTTCTGTTCCCTTTGAAGGTCTATCAATACTACAACAAACCCACGCGTACCGTCTTCCACATCGCCCTCAGCTCCGATGGAAGGTATACGCCCCGTGAGGGTCGCTATCAGTACCGAAATGTGCCCACCGTGGAAACCACGTATCTGTACCCCCAGGCAGTGGGTCGTCAGCACGTGCTGGTGCCCCCAAAGCACGCCCTACCCGTCTACAGGCAGCTCCAGCTGCACAATCCCTTGCTGAATCAGGTGAAATTGCAGCCCAAAAAAAGTGAGTGCAAATTAGGGGGTCATTTCTTTGCTTCCTTCATGCTACATGATTCTTCCCCTTCCGATGGCTCTTAGTGCCCAATTTTCTTGACCTGGCACCCACCGTAGGCAAGAGCCACTACTCATCACTGGCAGCCGGTTCGGCCAAGGCACAGTCTTATCAGAACGTAAATCTTCTGCATGGTCACAGTCCAGTGCTGACCGCCTTCAAGAAGACCGCTCGCGGGAGCAAGACCTACGTGGACAGCTATGGAACAACTCATGTGAGTAGAGGGCTCTTGGGCTCTTGGGCTCTTGGGGACTTGTAATCGCTGCTTAAATGATGTAATCCTCTTCATATGCCTGCCTCTCGTTTCAGCTCTTCAGCGAGTTTGACGATCTGTTGAACAAATTGGATTTGCATCAGACGGCGCAAAAGATTTATTAGGATTTTAAGACCCACCTAACTTTAGTAGAATTTCCCCATTCACAAAATGCAACATTCCCCATTTATCTAACTGCATATCATTTCAAAACATTGGCCATATAAAAATGCATACATAATGCCACACTCCGCCCCATACACCGATTCCCAGCCCAACCTATCCAGCCCAGCCACCTCATACCACCTTATGCTTAGTGTATTATAGTGTGTAAGCCCAAGCAGCAAAAACAAAAAACGAAATGGAAATTGAAATTCATCGTTTTTCGCTAGTTAAGCGTAAACAATTTGTTTCTTGCAAAATAAAGTTAGCCCGAGCTGCATATTGTTCCCAGTCATCAGTCAAACCTAATACTCGTACGAGTATATCATCATCAGTGGCGGCGCTGTGGTGGCTCCTACCTATCGTTTCGGCGTTTACTTTTGGACATAATGGTAGCGGAGCACAGCCACAGCACACAGTAATTTGCCAATTTTGGGGGAAAAAAAAGCTTAAGCAAACAGCTTCTCCCCCGAAACGAGAAGAAACGAATTGAATCGAAAGTTGCCACGAACAGAAAACCGTTAGCAGTACGAGTGCGAGTGCCCGTATTAGCGGTTCGCGTACCCTTGAAAGCTCTTGGCCCCCACTTTGAAGTGGTGTACGGTTGCCTGGCGGAAAATTGCATTTCAGTTTGATTTTCAAACCCAAGACGGGCGGTTGTTACTCCAGATCCAAATTCCAGCTAAAAATCGTAGGCGAATTAGTTGCTACCAAGATGCTCTCCCTCTCACTGATGCTGATCGTACTGGGGGCCGCTGTGGCCATTGAAGTGCAGGTGAGGATCATCCGCGTGACTCGGGGGACGCTCTCAAGTGTAATTATGCTGAGGAATCAATTAAGAGGAGCGTGTGCCACCCAATTGACAAAGCTTTTGGGTTATGTTGGTGCTGTGCTCTGTACTCCGTTCACTTTTGACCCAAAAATTGTAACATAACATGCAATTGTGGCACTCACACGCGTCTGATGCCGAGGGGAGGAGGCTGGGAGGCTGTGAAACCGGTTGGGCCACGAGCTTTCTTATGCAATCTCCACATTTGATATGTTTACAGAAATTCGGATATCTATTTAATCCCCCTCAACCGGAACACCATCAGCGCCACGAGGAGAAACAAGATCTGAACAAGATACCAGGAGTCGCTGGCGTGGATTATCCCATCTACCACGAAGTGCCGCACACCCAATTTAGTTGCCACAATGTACCCGCCGTACCGGGAATGTACGCGAATGTGGAAACTGGCTGCCAGGCCTACCACGTGTGTCACGATGGGCGGGAAGGACACCAAGGTGCAAAGTTCCTGTGCACAAATGGCACCATTTTCAACCAGAAGGAGTTTGCCTGCGATTGGTGGTACAATGTCAAGTGCGAGGAGGCCATCAGTCTATATCAGTATGTTTTTCTATCTTTATTATGTTGGATAATTTTTTACTTACCTTTTTTAACTATTTACAGCTTGAATGCCGATCCGGAGCATAATCCTTACTTTCCGAAAAAGAAGCCCGAACTACATCATCTGGACCATGAAGCTGGAAAGTTTCTGATCCAAGCCTAATATACTTTTCACTTTCCTCTCATTTTGTTGCACATTTTTCACATTGTAAATAAAACTGAATAAAACTAAAACTCCTGTCGTTGTAAGAACCTATCTCAGGCTGGGATATGTCCAGTCTGTCCAGGGTCCTGAATTACAAGATAGTTCATAATTCACGAGCACTTCACTGGGAAAACAGAGACTTTGCCAGCTACTGACATAAAATGGTTAGCGAAATCACAACACTTTTGGTTCCTTGATTTTTAATGCGTATCTTTTTTTCCTTATTATTATACTACCGGGTTGTTATGAATTAGGTTATGTTTATTTGTCCTACGACGCGTATTTTCTATTTGCCTGACTGCTATGGCTGATGAACTGCCCAGTCTCCATGCCAGGCAGTGCCTTTTATGGATCGGCCGGCCCTCGATTTTCCCACCAATATCTTACAGATATCTTATTTCTATTTCGGAATGTTGGAAGGGTTCTTAAATAAATATATATTGCTGAATTATAGTCTGCGCGTGCAGACGGGCTGATCGGTAACAGAAGGTTACCTAATCATTAGCCCTCCAGTCAGTGTCCAATATTCTCGGTAAGGGAAGTCGGAGACTGCTGACTGGCTCGCTCGTGTGAGTGGATTGCTCGGTAACAGAGGGTTCACCTCCCAACAAGTGTCCAATGTCCCAGGTAAGGTGATCGGTGTGCACCGGTACCGTGGGAAAGGAATTTTGTTGGCACTTCGTGAATATATTCTTAGGAATATTTATTTATTTAATATTATTTTAGGTACTCATTGCGTAAGCCCCCTTGTGCCGGTCTCCAGTCTTTTGGCTTGTGCTGAGTTTTCGTTTTTGCTGGGCGTTGATCTCGTCATTTGAGAGCTTTGGTTACTTAGGTTTTGCTGTGGTGGGGTTTGGTTATATAATCTTGATCAGCTCCTTTCCGTCAATTGGCCGCGGGATCCATGGTTCGTTACATCGTTTACGTGAATTTGATTTTTTTACCGTTGGTTCTGTGCAGACCTGTTGAGCTAGTTCATATTGGCGATGGCACTTCAATAGTGAGTACCTCCAAATCGTTTTTGGCGATGAGTTCGACAGAAAATGGATAGCAATTGTACCTATTTAATATATATTCAATAATAATTAGGTAAATAATTAATTAATAATATGCTATCGCTTCATATTTATCGCACAAAAGTATCGATATATACCTTTGCATACCTTGCCCAAATTTTGTTGCTCGAAGTACCCCTAATATTTCCGGGGCCAAACAACGAGATTTAAGAACAAAATTAGGGGAAATTGATACAGATTTGAGATGATGAACTTACTTGACCTACCACAGACAGTGTTGATGGACATATTCGAGTATTTACCCTACGACGAAGTGGCGAAAAAGCGCGAGGTAAGCAATTAAAAGAGAAGTGCGTCAAATCCGACCCGTGACTAACTCTGGATGGTTCCACCAAATTCTCCTGCCAGGTTTGCACTCACTTTAATTATACGGGCCAGCAAGTGCTGAACCTGGGATTCACCAAGATTATCCTAGAACATGCCAAGATATTCAAGCGCATCAAGTCCATGCTGCCGCGTCGCGAATCGGAGCGAAGGTAAGTCACGGGAGCAGCATCGAGATCTTACTGAATGCATCTGTACTTGCTTGCAGGAACCACCCCCTCTCGCGGCACTCCGACATACTCACATCCATTGAGACGCGCATATCCATGCTGACGATGACCTATTCGAAGTTTATTGACCTCAATATGTGCTGCTTTATACCAGGCCGTGTCCTGGACGAGATTGGTGAGATTTTGAGGCTGCTGCTGACCACCTCAAAGCCATTGCGTCCACACGAAGTGCTGCAGGAGCTTCGCGATATCTCCTCCATGGCCATTGAGCACTTTGATGAGAAGATTGCCACGGATTTCAAGCAAGAGCACAGGAAGCAGCTGGCCGAATCCACGGGGACGCGACTCCTGGTCTGCGGCCCCCTGGGTGATATTAGCTTTAGTGGCGTCAAACGGGAATGCCAGCCCGTGGATCATGCCATTGTCCAGCAGGCGATAGTGCAGCTGGCTCCTCTCACTGCCGGCAATCAGCCCACTTCCAGTCGCACTCGCCTCAACTTGCTGCTGCAGAGGCAATACCAGCAGCAAAGGCTGCTCTCGGCCAAGGTGCGCAATCTAGAGGCTGCCCGCAAGACACAGGATCGCCGCTTACATGAGGCGACGGGCTGCATAACAGAACTGACCACCCAGGTATCGGAGCTGAAGCGTCAGCTGGAGGATGTGGTGGCCAACACGCCCAGTGTTGCTGCCAAACGCCAGGCGGTGACCAGCTCCGATTGCCTGCCAGCCCTCAAGAAACCCAAGGTCTAGCCAAGAAATTAGAGCAAACAAACATTTAAGCAGCTTAGACTAGAAACGTAATAGTGTCACCCTCTCTCTCTCCCTCTGACAAGTGAAGTGAACTTAAGTGGGAAAAGTGTGTGTAATGTAGCCCATAACTATAGACAGTGCAGTGCAGCTCTGATATATCGCGTTAAGATTTATTGTTGCACTTGTTACTTAAATATTGTATTATTTACTACTATATAAATACATTGAACATCTAATGAAGTGTTTTTCTTTCTCCTTTTTCATTCATGAAATTGCCGCTTCGTTTCTCTTTGTTTTTTTGGTTGAATGAAAAGTACTCGTACTGCTTGTAATGTTGGGGGGTTGTGGTGTCCTGTAATGGGGGCTAGTTAAATGTTTCGGTTGCGATCCATCGTTGATAGTAACTTTAGCTTTCGTTAGTTTGTTTTATTTCCGTGGGAGTGGATGTGGCGGATCCATTCTGCGCTATTGTGATTCTAGGACTACGGCTGCTGCTGCTCTTCTATGCGGGAGGGGGGTAGGATTTTGTCTGAATTAAAGTTAGCTTAACCGTATAAAAGGTAGTATAAATTGCAACATGTTAGCATTATCCATTCTTTGAGGGCGGTTCTCCCGACTTAATCCAAAAAGCTAACTACATACACATATACATATACACTAGGGGCTGCTCTCTACTATATACATATACAATAACACAATAGTAGGGTGGGGTATGGGGGAGGTATGGGTTAATAACATTTCTCAGGGTTATGGCTGGGGTGGGGGGGAGGGGGGCGTAGTACATTGCATAACAAAAAGACTAAATATTCAAAATGGAAAACACAAAAATTCATTGCAAACTTCTTATATCGTTATCCTCTCACATATACATAATATATAAACTAGATAAATTGAAAGCATTGCCACACATTGAAATGTAAGTGGGGGGGGAGTTGGCGGATCCAAACTGATCCTATATCCTCTCTCTTATATTACAGTTAGTAATAGTCAGTTAGTGTCTGCTGTTAACTGGGAGATAAATCGTATATGTATATCCGTATATCAATGCGCTACGCATTATGTACTCCTTGGCCTGTGCCTGAGCCTTTGCCTGAGCCTGTGCCTGGGCAATGGCGAATCATCATTTTTATCGTTTATATAGTCTATGTACAACACAGCGTCTTTTCCTTTTGCCGTTTGGATTTAATAATTATCTGTGGGGTAGCGCCGCCAGATTAGTAACGACGCCGACGGTGCTACTTTTTCTTCACGGCCGCCTTGTGGTGTATCTTCTCCTGCAGCTGGCGTATCAACTGCTGTATGTCGTCCACGTTGTACGCGTAAATCAGCTTGCATTGCTTCGCCTGGATGTTGCCATTGTTGAGGTTCTTTAGGGCATGCTGCAGACAGTAGACGTTCCCGTCCTCGGTCCGTACCATGGATATGTACAGATTGGCACGACAGAGATCGCATTCGCTTTCGATGGACTTGTGCGGCGGCAGTTGTTGCTTCTTGGCCTTTTGGCCCTTTTCCGCTTGCACTTTTTCGGTGGATGTCACGCCAGCGGCCTAAAATTATAAATTATAATGCATGATGGGGAAAACTCAAGAGATCTTTGATTGCAAGACTCACTCTAAGCTGCTCTCGCGCTGCAGATTCCTTCTCACAGACCTCGTTGAGCATGGGCAGCATTTGATGGAGGGTATCGGAGTTGACGCGCTGGTCATAGCCCAGGGCGAACAGCAGCTGCTCCAGCGAGAACATGGCTGGCTCGCAGCTCTCATGGATGTCCTGATCAAAACGAGATACAATAAAATTGATTAGCCTTGGTGATTGGTGAATGATATTCCGTTGGGCGAGACTTACCCTGAAATCATCTTTGGCCAAATCTAGCCACGACATTGTGGCGAAATAGACACTCTCCGAGACCACATAGCCGGTGGCCAGGCTGGAGGTGTAGGCCCGGGGGAAAACCACAATAAACTCGCCCGGCTTCTGCTCGATGCGGCACAGAGACACCCCTCGATCCGTGAGCATATGCGGCGGCACCATCACCGTATCGCAGGGCAGCCAAATGGTCTTGTTCTGGCAGTGCGTTGGAATCAGCGACGTGAGGGCGGACCTAAAGTTGGCACTCTGATCGTCGGGTATGCCGTACCACAGCTTGGAGGCACCCGTGTGGAGGTATTCAATCCAGGAGAGACCGTGCGGATCCCGGTACCAGCAGCAGGCCGAGAAGAGCATGCCCACGTGGAGAGTGGGCACGGTGACGCCCATCACGGGCCCCAGCGAACGCAGCACCGAGCCCGCATTGTTGGTGAGCACCTTGAGATTCCACGGATGGCGGGCATAGTTGGAGCCCTTGCCCTTGGGACCGGGACTGGGGAAGCCATAGCCCCAGCCAGAGCTGTCGATGGATCCCGAATGGACACACACATGACTGTCGCGGACGGCGACATGGCGCCAGAACTCCGCCTCCACCTCGTTGACGGTGGGATCGGTGCTCTTGAACCACAGGGCCATGGTGTTCCTGGCGATGCGATAGAACTGGCTGAGGGGCATGCTCCTGCCCTTGACAATGCACTCCATGGACACGCCATCTATCTCCTCCTCCGACTCTTCATCCTCGTCGCTGCTCAGGTCATCCTCCTCATTCGAGACGCTCTCCGTGTTGACAAACCGATCCGCATTGCGTCGGGCTCTGGCCTCCCGCTTGGCCCAGTCCGCTTCGACCTCGTCGAAAAGCTTCTGGCGCTCTGCCGGCGACAGGGTGTCGTAGGGCAACAGGTACTTGCAGTAGATGTCATCCAGCTTGGTCACCCGGTCCTGGGCCAGCTTCGGTATGCACATTTCCTCGGCCACCCGCGACCACTTCTTCTTCTCGATGACCTCCTTGAGGCCGCCCAGTTCCTGGACGGTGTGATAGAGTCGCGGCAGATCCACCTCCATGCCCCCAATCCAGGGCGGATGATTCATCGTAATGCTCTGGGTGGCCAGGTACTTCTTGATGGCACTCAACTCCTTGGCACTGGGCCCCCACCGATGCAGCATCTTGTGCACGTACTGATTGTACGCCGTGAACCGCATCTCGTCCGATATCCGACACTCTGGCTTGAAGCTAGCTGGTGGAATGATCTTACAGATCCCAAACCTGGCCGCAATCGGTGTGATCCGCTCAATGAACTCGATGGGATCGGCAAACTCCTTCTCCGTCGGACGGAAAATGGGTGCCTCCACCATTTGGGTGGGATCATCGTGCCTGGGGAAGGCCGTATTATTGGCCATCTTGATGGGTGTATCATCCTTGTACTTCTTGGCCACGGCCGCCGCCGTAGAACTTGTCTGGGCCGCTGTTCGTGACTTGGCAGAGCCCGAGAAGAGCGACGAATTGGAATTGACGCGCACCAGACTTGATGAGGCACCCACTCCGCCGGTGACTCCGCCTCCACCTCCACCTCCAGCTGCCGCTGAGGTGCTGGCCTTGGGCAGGCTCTTCAGGCTGGTTGTCGAGGCGGCATCATTGTTGGATGCCGCATGGAAGAGCGTCTTCACGAGCTCATTCGTGTTCAGCGACTCGGGCAGCGGCTTTGAATTGGTGTCCATCTGGGCCTTGGTCACCAGCGTCGCCTGCATCACCACTTTCTGGTTGGGTCCGTCGGGGCCCTCGCGTCCCAGCTTGACGGCCACACCCTGGATGCCGCCTTCGCCACTGCCACCGACCCCCGCTCCCTGCAGGGGTATGTAGAAAGTAGCTCCCTCGGGATCCGAGTCGCCGCTCGGCTCCACTGCTGCAACTGGTGGAGGAGGAGCCACCTGCTGCTGCTGCTGTTGTTGCTGCTTCTTGGCTGCCCTGGCTGCTCCTGTCTTGGGTTTCGATCCCTCAATCTTGCAGTTCTCGGTGGGACTGAGCGTCAGTTGGACTGCTGTGGCCGCTGCAGCGGCTGCTGCCCGCTTCTTGGTCGGCGATCGCTCACTCAATGCATTCGGCACTGGTGCTGGAGACGCTGGCGGTGGCGTCGGAGTGGGCTCCACGCGACGTCGATTGCCTGGCTTGGTGCCCGAAGTGGTCTCCTCTTCCTTGCCGAAGGCATAAATAGATTCGCTTCCTCGCTTTGCTGCCACGGGCGCAGCCACAGGTGACGGCTGCTTCGTCTCCGCCTGCTGTTGGGCCGTGGCCTTGCTCCCCTTCTGGTTGTACACTGTCGTCCGCTTGGGCGTGGGTGGAGGTGGCGGTGGGGGAGAAACTGCTGCTGCTGCTGCGGCTGTGGCATTCTTTTTCCCCTTGTTGCCTTTCTGCTGGCTGCTAGCAGGCGGCGGCGGTGTTGGTGGCATGCTCTTGGTGGGGGTGACGGGAGTGGGCGTTGGCGTGGGCGTTGAGGGCGTGGTAGCAGCACTGCGTGGCAGAGGAGGGGCTCTGGATCGGACAGATTCCTTCGTCTTGCGCTCGATTAACGATTTCTTGTCAGCAGCCGCTGTCTTGTCCGCCGCTGACTCCGATTTCTGCGTGAGGTTCACGGGCGTCGATGATTTCTCGCAGTCCAGGACATCACAGTCGGCCTGCTCCTGTTCCTTGCGACTGGAGGGCGTCACCACAACGGGCGTGGCCTTCAAAGAAGGCCCCTTGGCCGACCAGGCACTCTCGCTCTTGCCGAGATCTCCCCCCCGCGTGTTCTTCGACGAGGACGAGAAGCTGGCGCTCAGCTCCTTTTCATCTCGCGTCGGTGGCGGCGTGGTCGACTGCTGCACCCGCATATTGTCGTCGAAATCATCGTCCAGATCGTCTTGGAGTATCTCATCCGGATTGGAGGAGCACTCCATCAGCCACTTCTGGATCTGCTCGTGCGTCATATTCACCTTGGCCTTGCGCCGCTCCTTGCTGGTCAGCTGGTCCCCAAAGTACCCCTCGGTGGGCACCACTGGGCCCAGCACGGGCTTGTGGATGGATCCGCACTTGCCCAGCGTGCACTTGGTGTTGTCGGGGCCAGAGCTCTGGGCCAGGCTCACGCTGGCTATCCCAAAGATCTTGCCGGACTCCTCCTTGCTGGGCATCAGCGTGGCCTGCGCCAGGATGCTGCCAATCTCGTCCTTCAGGGGGTCCCCACTGCCGCCCGCATTGCTGTTACTGTGGGCAGGCGGTGGCGTTGGCGTTGACGTTGGGGCGCCTCCTGCTGCGCTGGCTTGCTGTGCGGCCGCCGCAGACGTTGAGGCCACTGGCGCTGGTGCCGGACTTGGCGTCGGGGCTGTCGCTGTGCTCAAACTGAGGCTGGTCGTCTGCAACACCACTGGCTGGCTGGCGGATGTGCCGACTGGTGGCGTGGCAGGCGTGGGCGGTGCCAGGGGACTTTTGGTGGCCGACGAGGAGGCGGTGCCCGTACCCGTGCCCACCGTCGTGGACGTTGGCGTGGGCAGAAACTTCACCGGCGAGGGTGTGGGAAAGTTGCTCGAGGCCGAGGATCGGGGTGGCAGTGGACTCCGCTCGTATTTCGGGGTGAGAAAGTTCGGATTGATCTTGGGGCACTGGTAGGCCTCAATGGGTGGTGGATAGGTGGTGGGCGGTGTCTGGTATTTCAGTGGCGATGACGTCGACGATCCCTGTGCAGGAGTCTTGCTGCCAGAGGGTCCTCCCCCAGAGCCAAACGGATGCGAGGGCGTCGGTGGAGGACGCACATAGCCGGAATGGTAATGCGGCGATGCCTGCGGCAGATACGAGGATGTCTTTTGGAAGCCCACAGCCACTGCGGCTGCTGCACTGCCTCCGGGCAGGGCATAGGTGGCGGGTACATTGAGAATCTTTGATGTCGGCACCGGCGACTTCTTCTCCATGGCCTTCAGCGGGGTATAGTTCAGCGGGGGAATGGAGATGCAATTGGCTGCGGCCACCTGGATGCCACTGGGCAGGGGCAGTGTTGTCAGCGTTGGCGTTACCATTGGGGTCGCCGCCTTGGTGGTCAGCGGCAGCATCGCCAGCTGCTGTGTGGTCAGGGGGGGAATTATGGGCGCCTGGATCTGCAGCTGCATCGATTGGACGACCACTGAGGGAAGAACCGCCGCTGACGTTGTCGCTGTCGCCGTGGTGCCAGATGGAACTGCAGGTAGCTTTGCTGTTGGGCGGTGGGGGGCGGTGGTGGATGATAGCTTGGCGGCCACTGGCAATGGATGATTATCCTTCTCCTGGCTGCCGCCTTTGGGCACGCAGGGCACCTTGATGGCCAGTGGCTCATCATCCGAGTCGCTGAAACTCTTCTCCAGATTGCGTTTCGTTTCGTTCAGCTCCTCGTTGATTAGAAAGTCTTCCTCCTCGTCGGAGTCGACCTTTGACTGTTCGGACTTGGCTTTGGGCTTCGCCTGTTCGCTCATCTTTGTCAGCGAGCCCTTCTTCACGAGCATCCCCTCGATGGGGGGTTTGGCGTGGGCGGGTGGCGCAGCAGCAGCTGCCTTTCCCTGCTTTGGGGGTCGACCGCGTCTGGCCGGAGGCGGTGGCTTCTCCTCCTCCGACTCGGGTGGGGAGGGCGGATCTGCTCGGGCCACTTCTGACACAGCGGCTGATGCTGCTGCCTCCCCCTTTGGAGGTGGTTTGGGCGACGGCTTTCGCGATTGTTTACCTGCCGTTGGCACCGTCGTTGCCTCGGGCACGTTCAACTTTCCCGCCGCATTTCTTTTGATCTCCTTCTCCATTTTCTCCATCTCCTTGACGTTGGGTATGTCCGGGAAGCTGCTCAGCGACAGATCATCATCGTCGTCGTCGGCCATCTGCAGCTTGTGGCCTATGATGCCCATGTAGATGGCCGCCGCCTCCTTGGTCTTCCGTGAGGGTCGCTGCGATCGCTGTGGCTGTGGTTCCGCCTCAACAGCGGCTGCCTCTTCGACTGGGACTTTGCTCTTGGCTGTCTTTCGTCCCGGGCGGGCTGTCGTCGTGGCTTTCTTTGGGCAGGGTGGCGCCAGCTCCTGTTCATCGGCTGGTGGATCCTCGGCTTTCTTTTTCCCCGCCTTGGCCGCACCGCGTTTGTTTGGCTCCGCTGTCGCTGCGATTGTGGCTGCCACTGGAACCTCTTTCTCCTTCTCCTTTTCCTCCTCTTTTTCCTTCTCTTTGTCCTGCTTCTTGGTGGCCGCTTTGCGACTCCTGGCCGTTAGTGGAGGAGGAGCAGCTGCATTCCCCTTCTTGGGACTGGCCCCCTTGGCGCCCTTCTTCAGCTTTATGGACTTGGCGAGCGGCTGCTCATCGTCGGAACTGAAGTCGAAGACGTTCAAACTCTTTTTACCCTTGCTGCCGGAGCCATGTTGACTGTCGCCGTTCTCCAGCTGCTGCTGCTGCGGCTGCTGCTTCTGTTTGGCTTCTTTGGCATAAATACTAGAATTTGTCTTCTCCTTTGTCTCCTTCAGCTGCTTGGCCGGCTCCTGTTCTGCATCTGGCTCTCCCTTTGCTTCCTTGGGCACCTCTGAATCCTTCTCCTTCTTCTTCTTGGAGTCTTCTTTCGCCTTTTCCGGCTCCTCTTGCTGAGGTGGCACCTTGACGGGCTCGAAAAAAGCCCGCTGTCGCGTCATTCGGCCAGAGGACTCTGGCGAGGGTATGAATATGGGCGATTCCCGTTGCCTCACCCGCTTCACGGGACCCTTTTCCTTGAGCGCAATCTCCGCAACGGCCACGGACGAAGGCTCCGCTGATGGTTTCTTGGCTGCTGCTGTTGCGGGTCGCCCCCTTTTGGCAGGCTCTGCCTTCGCTGGCCCCTCCTTTGAGGTCTCATCACCATTACGGGAGGTGGCATCGTGGGCTGAAAAGTATTCATCGTCATCCTCCTCATCCTCATGGCCATCCTCCTGCTCATCCCCATCCTCATCCGCCTGATCATCGATTATGGCCTTGCTCTCCTTGGTGCTGGAACGGTTTGAACGGCGCTTGTTGGTGTCTGCTGCTGCGGTGGATGATGTGGCGGCGGCACCCTGGCTGTTGCTGTTGCTGGTGTTCTCAGGTGCTGCCCTGCCCCTGGCGCCACGTCGATTGCCATCGGTAACAACTTCGGCTCGCTTCCGTACAGCTCCGGGAAGCAGTGGAGTTGTCGTCGTCGTCGTCGCTGTCGTTGGAGCCCCTGCTGCTGGTATGAGATTGGGTTTATCACTTGCTGCTTTGTCTGCTGCTGATGTTGCTGCTGCTGTTGATGATGACTTATCAGCCCCCGCTGGTGGCCGTGGGTCCAGCTCAACCTCTGGCTTCTTCTCTGCTGTTGCCGCCGCTCCCTTGGCCGGCCTGCCGCGTTTCTTCTTGTTGTTGACCGCTCGACTGTTCTGTGCCTTCTTGTTGCTGTTATTGTTGTTGTTGTGGGCCGGAGTTGTAGTCGTTGCTTCGGATTCTTTGGAATCCTTGGATTTACCCTGATTCAGATAGTCGAGATGAGCGGGCAGGGCGGGTGTGCCGCGAAAGCATAGAAACGTGAGGAAATCCTGCGGCTTGGGACACTTGTTGGGCAGTATCTCGATGGGCGGCTGCGAACTATCCGCACCCGAAGTGCTTGGACCAGTGCCTGCTCCTCCGGCTCCCGATCCAGCTCCAGCCGCTGCTGCCACGACGCTGCTGTAGGCCATGCCACTCGATGAGCTGCTGGGCGCACTCTGTCCCTGGGCGAACTTCCGCTGGGCCTGCACCTTGGTTCTGCGATAGAGAGGGGAAATGGAAAATGGAAAGAGTGTGAGTGACTTTTAATTGGGCACAAATGCAATTTGATATACAATTACGAAGGCAAATATTAAGTTCAGGCCAAAATCAAAGAAACAAAGCATTGAATTACACACGCACACGCAGGTACAGTGAACACAGGCAGCATAGAAAAACGGATTCAGGTCACTCAGGCTCACATTTATCCAATCTAAGGCTAAACAGCTGTTCAACAAATCAATTTTCCACTGAATTAGATACAGATACATCCACTACATTTGAATTGTGTTGCTACTGTTCCAGTTAGCGACTCTCCACTGTCCCATACACCTGCATGGGCGAGACTTACTGCCTGCCCCCCCTACCAGTCACCCAGAGCGATGCGAAACACCCCTTCAGCAATAGCTAGACGGCAACAACAACGCCACGACACGATGTTGACGCTTTTGCTTATACAACTGCAGAGTCCAGGGCCCCCTCCCCTAACCCCAGGCCCCATCTACGCCTCATACTCTCCTCCCACTCCCACTCCCGCAATGGTAGTGGCATCCGCACACAATCTCACACCACTTCCAGGGGCCCTGCGACGTCATCTCTATTGGATTACACACGCACAGGCACACGACATTGACGTAAATACATACGAACAGATGTATTTATGATCAAACTCAATTTGCAACAACAATAGATAGAGTGCTGTGGCAGCAGCAGCACCTGATATAGAGAGACACTCACCTCTTGGGCATTTCGGGTGACGACTCCACAGCAGCAGCAGCAGTGGATGCCGTTGCCGCGGCAGCTGGTGGCGGAGTATCCGTCTCCTTGCGGCGACGCTTGTTGTCTTTTGAGACAACCATTTTGTTGCGAATTTTTCGCGCCTCTTTCTCTCACCTCCTTCACACTTTTCGTGTGTGGCGCGCGGGACTGGCTTTGAATTAATTTATGCACGCGATCGGAACTTATTTGCGGGGCGCTCTGTAGTTTCTCATTTGCATAAACGCAATTGCCAATTTTCCGCCGGACTCTCTTTTTTATTATGTATATATTTGTACATATATATATACATGTATAGCTACAACAAACACAGATTTTGTTGCTGCTTCTGCTGCAGCACGCAATTGATATCGTATTTTCGCTTCATCTTTTCACGCATTCAGTTGGTTGTGGGACAAGTAAAAATTGCACTAAAATACGTATTATTGTCTCGTCTCCCGAATACACATATTTTGTTTACATTTCACAAACTGCAAGTGCAGTAAATTTCATTTTCTTTCGTGAGATTTGCTTGCACATATTTTTTTCGTTTCGCTGCTCTGCTTCTTCTTCCACCGCTTTTTGCTTTGTGTCATGGCGGACAAGCATCGGTGCTGCCACAGCGTCGGAAAAAGGCCAGATGTTCAGCGGTGGGAAAGTGTTCGATGTTTTTAATAAAAAAAACATTTGTCATTTGTTTAAACAATAGCAATAAATTAGTATTTGTTGAGATTATGAAGGCAAAAAACTGTCTGTTTTTTGACACTATGTGACAAGTTCGCAGACCAAAACTTAGACTGCTCTGCTTTCTTCGCACTCCCCTTGAAACGGTATTCGATATTCGATGTTCACATCCCACCTCTAACATACACTGTGAGTTGACAAAAATTGCTGGCAGAACAGAAGTAGCAGCATTTTATGTGGTAAATTGGCAGATAAAGGAAAGTAAATAAGAACAAAATCAAACATGGGCGAAGGTGCTGGCAACTGGTGTCTCATTGAGAGCGATCCGGGCGTGTTCACGGAGCTGATTCGCGAATTTGGTAAGTTGTTCAGTTGGCCGCGCTTTCCGGGACGCCGCGGATGCATACCGACGCGCCGGCAGGGCAGCGTATTAAGTATTAATTGCCAACTTCTCTGAATGACAGGTTGCGATGGTGCTCAGGTGGAGGAAATCTGGAGCCTGGACAGTGAATCGTTCAAGAACTTGGAGCCCATACACGGCTTGATATTTCTGTTCAAATGGGTGCAGGAGGACGAGCCCGCTGGCAAGGTGGTGCAGGACAAGGATGAGATATTCTTTGCCAAGCAAGTGATCAACAACGCCTGCGCCACACAGGCCATTCTCAGTCTGCTGATGAACCTGGAACACGAGGACATCAAGCTGGGCGAGACGCTGACCAACTTCAAGGAATTCTGCCAGTGCTTTGATCCCTACAACAAGGGACTGACGTTGAGCAATGCCTCCCAGATACGCACAGTGCACAACTCGTTCGCCCGGCAGACCCTCTTCGAGCTGGACATGAAGAACCAGAGCAAGGACGAGGATCTCTACCACTTTGTGGGCTATATCCCCATCAAAGGACGTTTGTACGAGCTGGATGGCCTCCGCGAGGGACCCATTGATCTTGGCGAGATCAAGCCAGACCAAAACTGGATTGATGTGGTGCGCCCAATCATTGAGAAGCGTATGCAGCGCTACAGCGACGGTGAGATCCACTTCAATCTGATGGCCCTGATCTCGGACCGTCAGCGCATCTACGAGAAGCAGATAGACAAGCTGCTCAATCCAGCTCCCGATGCCATGGACACGGAGGAAGATCGTCAGACTGAAATCAGCAGCTTGCGCTCCTACATCCAGTACGAGATCCAGAAGAAGAAGCGCTACAAGGTGGAGAACGTGCGTCGCAAACACAACTACTTGCCCTTCATCGTGGAGCTGCTGAAAATGCTGGGCGAGACCGGACAACTGATGCCCATCTACGAGAAGGCCAAGCAGCGGGCGCTGGAACGCGAACAGGCGCAACGCAAAAAGGAGTCCAACTAAAAGCATTTAAAAGTACTATAACTTATCTTTCTTGGATAGGAGTCGCGCATTAGACAGAAAAGAACAGCCAGTTAATTGCAATTCAAAATTGCTGCGATTTCAATAAACACACAAACACACAAAACAAAATATAAACAATTAAGAATGAATGAACGCAACATAAGAGAGCACGAGCACCTACATACACTTACATCTAATGCTGGATAGTAGTTGGGGTCTTGAACTGCCTTGGACTGTACTTTAATTTTTATAAACGCCTCATGCTCCAGAGCTATCCTATCCTGACTCTCTCTTTTCTGCTCGTAATCGTACAGTAAATACAGCCCGTTCCAGGGTTAAGCTAAATATATAGTGAAAAATTTAAATAAATCGCATAAATAAACACAATCTTGGTAACGTAAATGAATGGAAACAACAGTTGTATTGTTTGCCTTTTCTCGTATAGAATATATTTGGTTTGGTATTTTACGTTTCTGTATATATATTTTTTACAATTGCTGTTTTTTGTTTTTGTTTTTTTGGTTGTATTCTGCATTTGATTCTCGCGTTTCGTTTCCCTTTTTTGAAATTTTGATGCTGCTTGTTGTATATATATGTATGTATATGTATATTGTATGTATATAGGAATATTTAGTTAATCATCTGTGCTTCCACTCGGTCGTAATCTACTCTAAAAATTTGTCTCTTCTTACCAGCTACTGTTTGATCTACTTGTTACTCGTAGTTTGCGTCGTATTTAGGAAACTTTCATTTTGGGAGGAGGTCTTCATCTTTATCATATTTTTGTTGGTGTTTTTTCCTTTGCACTTAGAGACTAGGCTTAAACCTTCCACTACTGCTAGACAGGATGCTGGGGGGCAGAGTTCATAGGGATGAGATGCTGGAAACCGAAGCTAATATGTATGTATGTATATATTGTACCGATTCGGGTATAGTTCACTTCACTTCTCTTCTGTTCTGTTCTGGACAGAATTTGGCTGCATCCAGAAGCGCTATGGCAACTACAGAAATATATGTATGTTTTTATGTATTTACTATATATAATATGTGTGTGTGTATATCTTCTGTATACTCTCGTAAGTATGTTGTATAGTTTGTTTACCTTGAGTATAAATAATCTTACATCTTAGTGTTTAGTATTTCCATTTTGCCTGTTGGTGTATTTTGGGGTTTTGGCTTAATTGAATTTCATTCGATTTAAGTTTAATGTTTGTTAACATTTAGTCTAATTTTACTAGTGTCTCTGATACTTAATTTCCTTGGTTAATTTTAAACATTTTTCGTTTAATTTAGCACTTAGTTTTCAATGATTTCGCTTAACAATTCTTGTTTTTTGTTTTTTGTTTTTCTTGTTCGTTTCGAAGACACAACAGTTACTGGTCCAGTTCCAGGAAGAAGTATTTATTTATGTATGTATATGTTTTTGATGGTTTAGTTGCGGTCGTATTGGGCCCGACTTTACCGTGGTCCATTTCCGTTTCCGGCGTAACTGTACTGCAAGCCTCCGGGAGTCAATTCGTTGCATACTTCACTGCGCTGTGTCGCCACATTTAGGGCGGCAAAGGCATGATGCGGGCGTGGCGTGCTCAGGGCAGAGTGATGCGGCAGATGTGGATGTAGCTGTGGCTGTGCTTGTGCTTGTGCTTGGGTATGTTGGGCCGCATCGTAGACGGTTAGATCAATGCTGGGAGCTGTAAATGTATAGAGTTTTAAATATAAAAGGATCGGGTAATGCCTTCCTTAAAGCATTACCAGCCGCATGCATGCGATTGTAGAGATTCTTGCGCTTCTTCTTCAACAGGGCATCCAAATTATAGCTCTCCAGACCAGCTCTGAAAGAGTAATCAAATGAGGTTCAATATATTTCCAAACCAATGAATAACTCACTTGTCGGGCCTGCCGTTGCCCAGCAGGTCCTTGAAGGCCACATATATCTTGTTTAGCGTCAAATTGGGTAGCCCCTGGCCCAGATATCGTACAAATTTAAGTTGTTCACATTTGGATAAAGCGCTCTCGTGGAAGTCCAAAAAGGGTCGATGATCGGATATCTGATATTCCTGTATGGAACGAAAAGCAAATCGAAAAGGGAAACGAAAGCAGAAACAGAAGAAGGATAGTACATGTTAGGATAGTCGTCTGCTTTGGTAGTGGGAGTGGGGGGGACAAGAGTTTTGTTCAATGCTCTCTAAGATAATGATGATGCAATTTTGATCTACACAAGTGTAATTCCAATCTCTGGGTTCAAGCCAATTCGGGAAAAGAACAAAGCTCCGCTGGACAACAGTAGTTCCTCCCTCCTGTTTTTAGTGGAGGCTGGTGGAGGCTGGCCTGGCGCCGATACACTTTTGCTCACATTGCAAAACTTGATGAAGTTCTCGATGAGCATGTACTTTTCATAATTGCTCAGACATTGCTGCCCACTACTCTGTATACCGAACTGTTTCAATAGCTCCTGTTTCTTGGGCGGCAGCCGGCTGATGTGCGTGCACACCCCGTCCTCGATGCGGTGCGTCTCGTGCACCTCAAAGTTCTCGTAGATGATCATCTGTTCCAGGGAGCGCGGCGGTGGCCCCAGAGCCGGCGGTGGCAGCAAGCCCGTCGTCGGCGGTGCTCCACACACATACCGGGGATCCATTGTGGGCGGCAGCGGCGCTGTAACATAACTGCTGTTCACATTAACAGCCAACGCTGCTGACGCTGCCGACAGGTTGACAGTGCCGCTGCTGCTGCTGCTGTTACTGTTGCTGTTGATGAGGTTGGTGCTGGCGTTGGTGCTGTTGCTGGTACTGCTGCTACTGTTGGCGGCTGCGAATTCCAGAGATCCGTCATTGGCGGCCGCCATGTTCTTGAGGTCTACAAGAGAGAGGGGGTGGGCGATAGTTAGAGGGCGATCGGTCGCGCCGTCTTGGATCTGAATTTACGGGACCTTGGTTCCGATTCAGATCAGATGTAGAGCCTTACAGCACTCGCTTGGAAATCAATGGAAATTACAAGAAAACGACCCGTTCCGTTTTCGCCCCATTATTAATGGCTTAGCGCAAATGCAGAGGCTCGCAATGGCAGGCAATAAATCTCAAGAAGAAACAACAAATTTTCCAATCGATTTTGTTCTCAATCGCATTCCGCTATGTATATATATTTTCAGTGTGTGTGTGTGTGTGCTTGCAAACAATTTCCATATATGTACATACATACATACATACATACATGTGTATATATGGTACATTGTGAGTATACATATATACATATACACATACTATAGGGGGCTTGTATATAGTTAGGATTGGCTTTTGTTTAACATACAATACAATATATTATCATTGTTCTTGGCTTACTATACGTAAAATATATATACTCGTATATATAGGTACGATTAATCGTAGTTATTCATATATTCATATTAAATAGCGTTATCTTGATTTCCTATTTGTTTTCTTGTGTGTTGTGTATGAGTGTAAAAGTGTGATTGTGTAAAAGTAATAATCTCTTTTCAAGGAATAACATTGCATAGTTTTTTGTATGGGGGGTGGTGGTATAATGCCATAATGGGGTATAATGATCGATCGTTGTCCAACAATTTCCTCGTCGTCAAACATAATACAAATTTCTTGTATAGTTTCAATAAAATTTGGCAAAAAGCTTTTAAAATTATTCTAAAATAAATGAAACAAACATAAAGGTGTAAAAGATTATGACGCGATTTTCTTATAAAAAGGTTTCCGGCTAAAATTTCTACTCGATGGTGGGATGGGGGGATCGGGGATCGGGGATTGGGGATTGGGGAACAGGATAGCTACTAGGAGTGTGGTCTGCAACAGCCTACGATTGTCAACAGGTGGCGCCTCCTCCGCTGCCCTTGGCGCCACGCCGACCCCAATCTCACATGGACACTGGCGGCCCGGCTCCTCCTCCTCCTCCTGCAGCTCCAGCGCCTGCCGCACCACCACCTATCACCGATGAATGCGGTGGCGGCGCCGGACTGTAGCCCATGGCTGCCATGTGCTGGACATGTGTGGCGTGTGGGTGCGGTGAGTGCGGATAGAAGTGCGGATGATGCTGCTGCGGATGTTGAGGATGCTGATGTTGGGGATGCTGCGGATGGGCATAGGCAAAGTGATGAGAATGGGGATGTTGTAGTGCATGCGGATGGGGATGTGGCGGCGGATAGTGGTGCGGATGTGGGGCATGTGGATGCTGCGGCGTCATCGCTGGGCTACGTGTCGGTGTGCCCGGCTGCAGGTGATGCGGATGTGGATGCGCGTGCGGATGCTGGCCGTGCGGATGCGTATGTTGATGCAACATATGCTGCTGTTGCTGTTGCTGTTGCTGTTGCTGCTGCTGTTGCTGTTGTTGTTGCTGTTGCAGATGTTGTGGAGTCGTTGGCGGCGGCGCCGCTATTGGTCCCGTGGGCGTAGCTGGTCTTGGAGTTGATGTTGCGGCCATTGTGCGTGGTATTGGTGCTCCTGCTGTTGCTCCTCCCGCCACTACGCCTCCTCCCAGCTGCGTGGGCGTGGGTGTAGATGGCAGAGCGGCGGCTGTGGAGGCAGTGGGTTTCGCTGGCGAGGCGGGTGCTGACACCAGCAGTTGGTCGCCGCCTGGTGGTCCCTGCTCTCCTTGTGGATGTTGTGTGTTGTTGTTGTTGTGGTGGTGTCTGTTTGACCGGTGTGGATGTTGTTGCTGTTGTTGTGTTGGTCTTGTTACTGTTACTGTTGTTGCTGTTGTTGTTGTTTTGGATGTTGTTATTGTTGTTGGTATTTTCGCCTAGTGATTCAAAGCGTATGCGTGGATAAAGAAGAAGAAAGAGGAAACACAAACAAATTGAAGTCAAAAATAATTAAAATGATTCTTGTACGATTTTCGTGGCCCAGTGGCACAGACAGAAATTGATTATTTTCTAGTTTTTGAAATTTTTTCGCAAAAATAGGCAGCCAATTCCGAAGGTATTTTTTTGTTCTCCCCCTCCCCCAGATTTTTTTGTTCATTTTGTGAGCGAACCGAACCGAACCGAAAACGGAAAGTGCGCGTGAAATAGAAATAGAAACAGAAATGCAGAAAATGCAAATGTGAATGAAAAGTAGAAGTAGAATTGAGAAGAAATCATAAAGCAGAGAGAAGAATGTAAGCACTTTTAGTTTTGAGTGTATTTTTAAAATTTAGCACATTCTGTTTTCTTTTTATTAATTTTACTCTGCCCGAGAAACACACACACTTTTCTATGTGTGCTATGTTATTCTTGGGCTGCCTTCTGCTGCATTTGCACTACACTTAATACATCTATGTACATATGTATGTAGCTATAGGTTTACTGCTTACCAGCTGTTGTGTTGGCCAGGAAGCGCTTGGTTTTGTCGAGTATATAAGGCAGATTGTAGCCGTCCTTCGTGTAGCTAAAAACGTAGGGATAATCGGTATAGTTATAGCATGCTTTTGGGCGTGTTCCACAATCGATCCACACTTACATTTCTGTGCGTTTTGTGCAGAACAGATTCTTATAATTGCTATAAATGCAAAAGAGCGTAAACGTGGGCAGACCCTGGCCCAAATATCGAGCGAATTTGATCTGTTCGGGCTTGTTGAGGCCACACTGATTGAGGGACAGCCAGGGCCGATGATCCTTGATTTCATATTCCTGCAAATAAGATCGAAATATGGATTTAGTCATGAGAATGATGCATCGAATTCCATATGAAAATGCTTCTGGCTTACATGTCACCCCACCATCCAACCTAAGAACCACCATTTCCATTAGTCTAAAAAACACCTTTTTGCTTTGTGCCCCACCCCCATTACACACACCCCTTTTCAGCTTGATTTCTCTTAGTTTTAGGCTTATTCCCATGACTGCGCTGCACATATGTATGTATGTATATATTCGGGGTTACATAATGTACATATGTACATATATACACACACAGACTCGTATTGTACCTCTCTGCCACCCCTAGAGAACTTATAGACACACACACACATGGGGCTGGGGCCCGAAAAACTTTACCCACTACTAATCAAAACTTATAATTCGTGTACAACGCAAAAGTTTAAAACGAAAATTTTACACAAAAGCCAAAAACTTGCTAAAGGAAAAAGGAACGAGAGAGAGAGAAGAGTGGCATGGGGGGATGGGGAATGGGGAATGGGTTCCTGAATAACATGCCAAAGCGAAAGCCCCACCACACCCACACATCCAACCATCTATCCTTTACAATGTATATTTTATAGTGTAAAAATATAGAATAGGGCCAGAAAAGGGAAGCGGAAAAGGCAGCAAAGCAAACCCAAATAGAAAAGCAAACAACATTTTCAATGAAGCCATTTCCCACCACACACACCCTGCACCCCCACTCCCACTACCATCAAAAAGGGGGTGGAGGTTGGAGGATGTTTGAAAAGTCCACCCAATCCATACCCCCCCTCAAAAAAGGGTTACCATACGCCAGTGTGCGTGTCTGTGTTTGTCTAGCTTTAGTAGGCGCAGCAGCTTAATGGAGGTCTGTGGCTGTGGCTGTTTCTGTTCCTATGCCCTGTGTGTGTGTGTGTGGGTGTGTGGGTGTCAGTTAGGGGGTCTTCGGGTGTCCTCGGGTCGGCCCTCGTTGAAACTTATCAACATCCTCATAATCAGCACGATGGCAGCGTCGCCAACCACCCACACACCCCCAAACTAAACCCACTCACTCTCTCACCCACTCACTCACACTCCAAAGCGCACACATGGCAACGCTGTCGAAATGCTGACTGAGCTTCAACTCTCCTCTGCAGCAAAGTACATATATGTACATATGTATATATGGCTGCCTCTCTTTGTATTTGTGTGAGTGTGTGCATACATTTTGGGTTTTGATTATGTTAAAAATCAATAGAGCAAAAAGGAGTGACGTCCAAACCAAGACCAGGACCAGGGACCAAAGTGTGAGGAGAAAACTTTAAATTTGCAAGAGGACAGGCAGCCGGGAGAGTAAGTAAGACACACAGAACAGAGACAACTCAACACTCTCTTTCCGTGATGACAGGCAGCGTGACACCTGCAGGACAGGGGGGACGGACGCAGCAGCAGGCGTCTCATTAACAAGCACACAACTGTGAAGGGTGAGGGGTGGGTGGGAGTGGTGTGCTGACAAGTGAAGCACTGTTGCTGCTGCTGCTGCTGCTGCTGTCAAGTGTGGCCGGTCGCCGCTTAACTGTTTCGCAGTCAAACAAACAGAAAAGAAGAAGCACAGAAGCAGGAAAACGACAAAAAAAACGAAGGAGGAAGAATAAAAACAGAACAAAAATGGCAATGTGTTGCGGTATTTTGTTCTTGCTTTCGCTTCTGTTTTCTGTTTCTGTTTTCGTTACGTTTCTTCTTTTTTTTTTGCAAACTTATTGGCAGACATTGTTTTTGTGTTTGTGCGTGACGTAGCCATCGGAACGTGTGCGGCGGGGGTATGTACATATTTGTGTGCGGGTGTGTGTGTGTGTTAGTGTGGCGGGATTGCGGTTGTTGTCTGTGGTGTGTTGTTGCTTTTGTTGCATGTTTGTATTGAGACAAGTGTGAATTGTTTTCCCTTTTTTGCTGTTGTTGTTGTCTCTGTTGTGGGTGTTGCTTGTGCGTGCTGTGACTGGCAAGGGAGGACAGTGACAGGGGCAGGAGCAGAGAGCAACAACAACAATAACGGTTCGTGTTTTGGCTGTTGCTGCCATGATTTTTTGATTCTTTTTCGAGGGGTTGCCCTGCCCGACTGCCTCCCGACTGCGTGCCTGTGCACTGTGTGTGGCGCACAGGGCGTGCTTGGGGGGGCGGAGCTGATTGTGCGAGGGCAACAATTTTCACACTTTCACTCTTTCCTTCTGTTCCTGTGTCGATGTGTCTGCCGCTTAACAGGTTTTTTTTTTTGTGTGCGTGTAATGAGCAGGTGACAAAAAGGGGTGTTGAATGCGTGTCAATTTCCCACTGTTTCCCCGTCCTTTTCATTAGGCAACTAATTTGGCTGGAAAACGGGAAGCGGCAGGGACGCTTCCACCTCCACCTGCTCTAAAATACACATATGTATGTACATAGGTATGTACGGATGTGCAAACAAACCGTTAGCCAACACTAATTTAATATGTCCCCAAATGTTGCACAAAAGCTAAATATTTTATACGGTTGTACATGTTAGAAATACGTAAATATGTATGAGCCATGTACAGTTATGTTGGCATATATCCACACATGTATCTAAATATACATTATATACTGTGTACATACATACATATGTATGTATAATTTAAAATTATAATCAATGGCCCATACATGTGTGTGTGTTGGATGTGTGTGCGCGTAAATTGTGCGAAGCCGAGACATTGTACCTGCCCTGCTGCCACCCATTATCACCCCCCACCCCATGGCGCTGCCACTCCCGCAGTAAGCTGTCCTTTACCCACACATACGCTTGGCAGCACACAAAGTTATGCGAAAGGGAATGCACTTGTGTGTGTAAAACTGACTGCATGCGCACTTAGTAGCCTTCAAACACCATACCATACACCATACACCAAACACCGACCACCCGTTCCCCACCCACTCCGATAGAGACATGTATAAAATGTGTTGATAAAATATACACACACACACACAAGGACAGAGAGACTTTGGGAGAAAAGGACATGCCCAAGCAGGCTGCGGACAGTCCAACGGAAGCCAGCCCCACGGAATCCCCTCAAGTAACTTGATGATGGTATGTGTGTGTGTGTGTGAATGTGTACGAAGAGTAGCGGGGGCATTGAGGGGAATATACAATTACTCAATAGCACCACCCACCGCATGGCTGCTGCCTTGAGCTTTTTGGGGGTTTGCCGTTTCCCCCCACACTCAATCACACCCACAGACCCCCACAGACACACAAAGAGAGACACAACTACACATACCAGAGGCGACTTGGTAGTTTGAGCAGCAGCAGCAGCAGCAGGACAGCCTTTCTCCAAGTAAGTTTTTGAGCGTCAGCCAAGGAGAGAGAGAGAAAGGGCAAGGTGGGTGGGTGGCAGAGAGCAAGAGAATCCTAACGTGAGAGAGCGTCACAAATTTTGAGTTAGGGAGCAGAAAAGTAGGTGGAAGAGCGAGAGCGTCTTAGAACTAAAATGTTGTAATAGGCGGAGACCCCACACCCTCCCGCAGCCCACCCACACCATGTTGAAATAAGGTTAGAGCTCTGCTTCCTCTACTTCTTTCTCCTCCACTGCTCCTCCTTCACGCCCCTCTCTCTCTCTCTCTCTCTCACTCTCTTTTCGTAGTTGTTGTATTATGCCATCAATGCCATTTTGTACATAGTTTGGCGAGTGTTTCTATGTAGATGTGTGTGTGTGTGTGCCCGGAGGGGGTGGGTGGTGGTCGACAAATCTAGATGGGCGCTTTCTCTCTGTTTGTGTGTGTGCCTCTGATAAAGCCGAGCGTAATGAGCATGGCAGAGTGTTTGTGGGGTTGACTCTGGCATAGTGTTGAAAAGGGCGCCAAATGTATGAAGAAAGGAGAGAGGGCCGGGGCGGCCACGGCCACCATCCAGAGCATGTATAGGTGTTTAGAAGAGCTTACACATACAAGCACACCAGCCAACCACCCACCCACCCACACAGACATACAGCCATACAGCCATACATACGTACATGCATTGGAGCACACATGATTACAGTTGTATGCGGAATTTGTGGTTGGCTGAAGTCGGCGTCGACAGCGACGCCAGCGTCCCTGCTGCTTCTCCTGTTATTACAATTTATAATGACATTTGTGTGAGTGTGAGAGAGTCCTCTTTGTAGGTGGGGGTGGGGGTAGTGGTGTGAGTGGGTGGTCCACATAATGGGCCGAGAAATGCGCCTGTGTATTGGGGATATGGACAGGGTGCATGTTTATATTATGAATATATCCACCATTTGCCATGTATATTTTCGGCGTATTTTGGGTACCTGCAAATGGTTGGATTTTCGAAATGCACATTGTGGGGATCAGTTAGGAGGCTGAACTTAAACAGAGTTAAAACTAATGCCACATTTCCATTACCTGAATTTATTCACATTCCCTGGTAATTTTTCCACCAACTGGAATCAAGCATCCAATCCCCCACACGTTCACACGTGAGTGAACATTTTCCGTTTAGTTAAATTACCCAAAAAAATTATTAAATCTACCAGCTGCAACCAGGGAATTTTTTAAGGAATTTTGGATCAGTGCAATCTTCAGATCAGGGAACATAAAAATGCTGACAATTTCTGTTAATTTAACTAAAACAACTATATTAAATTATATATTAAAATTGTAAAAATATAAGTGGGCTTCACTATTCATAGGGGACCCCTATACTAGGTCTGGGAATAGTATCCATCCAACGTGTTTATGAGAAAATGCCTAGATTTTCAGTAAGGGGACATATGTAAGTAGCATGGCTCCATGTGGAAATATACGAAAAATCCAGCTTAAATAGTTACGTTTAGGGTGTGAAACCGTGTTCCCGATGGTTTCGCCATCATAATAAATGCGTATATACGAGTATGTGCAAATATTTAAATTGCATATGAAAATGGGGAGAACGCTGAAAACTCTCTATATACACGAACAATCCTTCCACACTCACGCATACCTACACACTACATATGGATGCCAGAGTTGGACGAAATTTGACTCGTTCCCAGCCCAACCCCAAGCCCAATCACAGCCCCACATCCGCCAAACCAGGAGACCACCCTACCATCCCATCCCCCCATTTCCATTTCCATTTCCCTTTTACATTTACTCACCTCGCAAAACTTGATGAAATTCTCGACCACAATCGATTTGTCCGTCAACGTCATTTGGCCCGTGAATCGGACGCCCAGCTGCTTGAGCGTATCCTTCTTCTTGGAGGGGAGCTTGTTCATGTGCTGGAAGATGCCCTCCTCCACCTTGTGGGAAGGATGCACCTCGAAGTTCTCCTTGATCACAAAGCTGCCGAGCAGCTTGGGGGCGTGCGACGAGGAAGATGCGGTCGATGAGGAACTGGCGCCCGTCAGTATGCCGCCAAACTCTCCGGCACTCCCGCAGGCAGCGCCCTCCGACGAGGTATTCGAGTTGGAGGCATTCAAATGGGAGTTGGGGAAGGCGAGCAGCTCCAGCGAGGACTCGTTTGAGTTGGAGGACCCGTTGGAGGCCATGTGCTGCAGGTCGAAGATGGTCTGCTTCGAATCATGATCGAAGACGTCCAGCGCGGAGGAGCTTGTGTCCACCAGGCTGTTGGAAGCGCGCGAAACGGAGGAGAGAAGTGCGGCCACCTTGCGGGAGGCGGAGCGCGACTTCTGGGAGGTGCTCGTGTCCAGGTCCAGGAGCCCTGCACTGGCCACGGGAGATTGTGCTGGCGGAGGTGGTGTGCCAGCGCCTGCTACTGCCGCTAGTGCTACTCCTGGTCCCTTGGCGATCTTCTCTGACGCGGCTGCGCCTGCTGCAGCTGTGGAGCTATCGCTCGGCGTGGCACTGGCTGTTCCCGGCGTAAAGTCCGTGGAGTGGCGCAGATATTTGATAAACTCAAAGGAACCATCAAAGTGCTGGGGCACCGATACCGATCCCCCATTGGGGGTGGCCACCGCCGTGGGCCAGCGATTGCTGCCGGGGGATGGTCCTGCGACGGATCCTCCTGCTGCCCCCGCTATCGCTGCTGCTGCTGCTGACGTCGGCGCTGCGGCGACGCCCGCCTCTGCTGCGACATAGGCGGCGGCGGCTGGGTGCGAGTGAGAGCTCGACGTCGTCGTCGGATTACCGCTACCTGAGCTGCCGGCGGCGGCCGCACCACTCAGGCAGGTTTCCCGTTGCGTATGGGACGATGACGCCGCCGCTGCTGCCTCGTAGGAGAAATCCGTGCCGCAGCCATTGGATAAATGTGTGTGGGAATACTGTAGTTGTTGTTGTTGCAACTGCTGCTGCTGCAGCGACTGCTGTTGCCCCGACGATGCGCCTGCGCCGCAGCCAAATACTTGAAATTCCTCGAATTGAGTGCATTTCAGTTCGCCATTGCTCAAGTACTTGGAAAACTCCGAGGGATCGTTGAGCGAATTGAGGAAGAAGGAGCTGAAATTGCTCGATATGCAGGACATGTTGCACGCGCGGGGGGTATATATTTGTGTGTGTGTTGCTAATACTGTGGCGTCTTATGGATATAGTATGGTGTATATATCCCTTTAAAGCTTTTCCCAAACAATTAAATGGCACATGAATACGATTATAGCGATAGTAGCAGCTTTTCTTTGAAGCAGTTTCAATATTTTCACTCAATTCTTTTCCTTTGCTGTTTTTTTTTTGTGGTTTTCCAGTCGATTTCTCGTTTTACTGCCGCTTCTCTTCCTCTCTTCCTCTCTCTCTCTCTCACTCTTTTCACACCGCTCTCCGCTTCCTTTGCTAGCTGCGGTTCATATTTTATTACAATTTTCCACAAGCAGCGCAGCGCACACACACTCACACGCCAGCATTACTTGTGCACATGTACGCCTGTACGGCTGTGTGTGTATAGGTATGTATAAATTTTTCTTATTATAGCAAAGTGTAATTTATTATTCTTATTGCTTGCTCGCTGCCGCTGCCTTTCCGCTCCTTGAACGGCCTTTCCCTCCTCGTATGTGGTCTCTTCTAGCCCACACACACACACACAAACACGCAAATAACGAGACACAAACACGTACAATACTATCTGGCGGCGGCCCTGCAAATAGGCTTTTTTTTTAAACTGGTCTGGTTTTTTGGGGTCTTGGTATTACTGGTCTTTGTTTGGGGTCTTTTTGCCTATTTTAATATGACTTGGCTTTCTTTATTATTATTATGCGGGGGCTCTTTTTGCACTATTTTCACTTCCTTTTTGGCTTATATTCGTCTACACACACACACACACTCTCTCACGCGGCACATTAAACACCGTTTGGATTCAGGCGAGGCGCGGTCTTTCGTCGCTGTCGGCGTTTCTTTATATTTCGTTTTTCTGGCTCGCTTTTGCTTTACTTTCAAAACAAATGCCGCCGCTGCTTCCATACGGAAAAACGGAAAATCTTATCTTGTTGTTGCTGTTTTCACCGTTCCGAAACACGACATTGTCGGAGCACACAACGAAAGAAAATGAGCGAAGAGCGAAAACCGTACAATGCCCGAACCGAACATGTCTGCGGCAACGTTAATCTGTGCATTTTAGCTCTCTTTCCCACTCACTGCTCTCGCGTTTTTGCTCTCCCTCTCTCGCTGGCTTGCATGAGTTGCGTGAGTGTGTGTGTGTGTGTAATCAGTGTAGGTGTGTAGTTGTTGCTGCTGCCGACTAGGAAACGTGTATTTCTCTTCTCTCTTCCTGCGACAGGCTCTGCTGCTAACCCTTTCCATATAAACCTGATTTAATCTTTGATTATTATGCCTGTTGTTGCTGCTGCTGCTCTCCTCTGGGCTCTCGTTGTAGGATTATGGATATGGCTGGGGCTGCTGCTGGCTTTTCTATTTTTGAAAAATCCACTAAATTATCCGTTGGTTGCCCTACCACAGTACCCCCCTCGCAGAAGCAGCGACGCGCGCTCTGTGTTTGTGCAGGTAAAAACAGTTCATTTGCCTAGAGTTGCCACATCGTCGGGTTTCGGCAGGACCACCTGGACAGCGTGTAAATGTGAAATTGTATTGCTGTCCATGTCATGTCCAAGTGCATGAAGTTTACAATTATTTTACGACACTCTGGCCATTAAACACATTTAGATTGTTCGGCGAAGACGAACAGGTAGCAATGACTCGGACTGCGATCTCAAGGCCACAACCAGCGAAGGTGTTGGCAACCCTAGCTGGTCGCCGTAGAACCGTATGTTTTCGCGCCTCCGACACCGTCCCCCACCTTCCTTCGGAATAGTCAAGGGAATAATACTTAAGCCGCAATTTACGGCTGTTTCAGCGTTTTGTGCCAGGAATTTGTATAGTTGTATTATGGATACAGAAAAGGAAGCATCGCCTATAGTTTTTGTGGAAGAAATATGTATGTACATATGTACAAATAATTGCCATTGCAGACGCTTTTAATTTGTTTAAATATAGCCAGCCCAGCGCAAGGAAGTCATCAATTAAACAGACGGGCTCTGCATCATTGTTGTAATAGTTACCTCTACGCTAGTTTTTTGGCACAGTTTCGTTTTCAAATTCAAAAGCGCTGCAAACATATTTTCATTAATAGAAATTCTCACACAAATTTTTGTTGTTACAACACGGCGGCAACAGGGCAATTTACATAGATTGGTGTGCACATGTGTACATACATGCGCTTATGCATGTGTGTGTGTGAGTAATTTTTCAATTAATTTTAATTATAAACTTAATTAGGAAATCAATGAACGACGCGAACAGAACGGAACAGAAACACACACAAATTGAGGAAAACGGCAACATATGAATGTATTGTATTCATATGCACATGTGTACATTCAGAACAGAACAAGTGCGAGCGAGCAAGAATATCCATAACTGAAAAACAGCAAAAACAATGACAACAATTCTCATCAAGTGCGCTGCGCATACAACATAAAATCACCCACTCGACGCGCCAACAGTGGAGAACAGAAGAGCGCAAAGAACAGGCCCCAAAAGCTAGCAAAAGCGAAACAAACTGGAGAGCTGAAACGGGGGCGCCAACTGCCAGACTGTCTGACAACTGGTAGCTATGACACTATTAAAGCTGACTGCTACGACATGACACTATTAGATAGACTGGCATCACCTTTTATTTATCACCCTGTTTTTAGGGCTCTAAAATCTCTCAAATTGAAACGATGTACATACATATGTATCAATGGTTGTGCAGCTCTAATACAGTAAGTATATCAGTATATAAAAGAAGATACATTTAATCAAGTTTAAATCTACCTAAATCTAGGTATATTAAATTACTTTTCAAAATGACCGCAAACTTCATTCGTGCACAAAAATAGCGAAATTCTTCGGGATATAAAAGTATATTTCATCTAGAGATGAACAACTCATACATATCAGGAATCGTTTTTATCGTTTTCGATTATTTTTCCAAATCCTTCAACTCTTGAGTTGACCATCTCAATTAAGACCAACAAAACAGCTGTTACGTGAAACAAAGTGGAAACAAATTCAATACAATCCGCGAAACCTTATTATGTAAACAATCCAATAAAAGGAGTTCTGAAAACTAGCCAATCTTGTTTAAAACTTATTGATGAATTGGATAACATTTTTTGTTTAGGGCTGAGAGGGCTAACTAGCTAGTAATAATAAACCGAATATATAAGTCGAGGTACATGTTATATTTCGGTATATTGGATCGATAAATCCGCTGGCCACACTGGTGCGGCTACTAATTTAAAATAAATAAATGTTATAAAACAAAGGAAACCGGCATGAAATTCGTGATAGACAGCATCACCAAGAACAGTGGACGTCTGGGCCAGCTGCACATAAAGGATGGAGCACCGGAGCAGCGGACACCGCTGCTCATGCAAACAACAAAAGGCGGCAGTATTCCGTATCTTTCCGGCGACGTCTTTGAGAGCCATGTGACTAGGAAACAACAGGTGCTGCAGCTCACCCTGTCTACCATCGACCAAATGACGGAGGCGCTGGCCCAGTGGAACAGTGCAGAGCGTGGACTGAGCGATTATGTAGGATTTCCCGGACACTTAAACGTGCTACTGCTGCGGGATCCTTGCGAGATGACGCCCGCAGGGGGAAACGACCGGGACATACAGCCGTTGTTCACGCGCCGCGGCAAGGAGTCTCTTTCGCCCCAGCGATACATGGAAATGGTGGCTAGCCTCAGGCCAGACATATACCAGGGGCTCTGCGACGCCGACACCAATGAGCTGAGCGCCAAGAAACGCGTTCAGAAATCCGTGGATCGCACCGAAAAGTTCATGCACTACATCTACGAGCACAAGAGCAAAGTGGATTCTGCCCTGCTGGCCCCCATTGTGGGGGGCTACAACACCTTTGCGCGGACGCAGTCTATCAAACATGCCCGCGAACAGCCATCAGGCAGCTATGGCGGCTACATCTTCGAGGGATTCCACACGAATGGCTTGACTGCCACCACACTGGACGCGTCCAAGCTGCTGCCCATTGTCGAGCATTGTGTTGGGCAGCTGGAGGAGGACAAGCCGCGAATGGTTCCGGGTGCCTATACACCATTGACCACGTTGGAGCTTATCGGACTGGGCATGGATCTGTTCGACACCTCCTATGCCTATTGTGCTGCAGTAAACTTTAAGGCCTTGACGTTTACCTTTGTCCCGGATGACGTCGTGCACATACCCTTCCTAGACATAACAGACGATGCAAACAAGGAAGATTTCACGCCACTGCTGAAGAGTTGCGACTGCCTGACCTGCCGGAAGCACACGCGTGCCTACGTCCATCATCTGTACAAGACCAACGAACTGCTGGGCCCCATTCTACTGATGGTGTAAGTGAAATCTATAGTTATTCATCAGATAGCAATGCCAATGATTACCCCATTCCCTTCCCGCCAGCCACAATCTGCACCATTACATGTCCTTCTTTGCGGCTATAAGGGAGAGCATAGCGAGGGATGGCCTGCCGCAGCTGACGGAGCTGGTTAGGCGGCAGAACGGCGACTCCCAGGTGGACTATGGCATCGCACCGAACAGCAAAGTGATTAACAAAGCAACAATGGGCAAAGGATTCGCCGCAGCTGCCGTGTGACGTAAATAAGGAGTAGATTTAGCGTAAATAAATAGCCTCTTGGCCTTTATTTGCATCCGTTTCATAACGTTAAAGGCTGATCCCAAACCGACTGATCCTCTCCGTTCACTATCTGCTTCATCCGCGTGTATACCGCCTGAGGGGCCGTGCCGGTGACCTCACGAATTCGGTTTATAACCAGCGGCTCTGTAAGATTCTGCAATTTGTCTGAATCTCCCACGGGAATGTATCCAGCCAACTCACAGAATCCCACATTAAAGTCGGCCAAGTCTTTGTTCACGCAGTAGTGGGATCGCGCAAAGACAAACACTTGCACATTGCCACGCTTGCCAGGTCTACGATCGTGCGTGATGAACAGATTGTGGGGTATATTTTGTCCACACATCCAATCGGCGAGCTTGTGCAGATTGTTGACCTTCGTTTGCACCTCCGCCTCGTCGTCATTGGGCTCGAAGATGACACAGATTGCCTCGGTGGGCATAGACTGGCTCAAGCGATACACATAGCCACCGACCAGCTCCTCGAGTTCCACGTTGTTTATGTACAGATTTTGGGGCAGGTGCAGCAGATGGAAGTGCAGGTGATTCACCGAGGCCAAGGCCCCAGGACTGTTGTAGCCCATGCGAATGTTCATGTCGTCGAGGCCACGCATGAAGCTGATGCAAAATTTCAGCGAATGAGCAGTGATTCGTTGCACCAGATTGTTCTTAGCGTCGGGACAGACGACCGTGTGGAACCTGGTGAGGGGGCTTCTGTTGATAATCATCTGGACGTCGGTTTTGTCTACGTCATCGATAGTCAACATCACCTCCAGGGCGTCCACCTTGTTGAAATTGAACTGCTTTGGCTTGAACGTTGGATTGAGGTTCTCAATGGTCTGTGGGATGCGGCGCTTGAGCGTGCGATCCGGATTGAGCTGCGCATGGATATATCAAAGAGAGATGTAACTATATGCTTATTTAGTTTTGGTTTTCCATTTACCTCTGAATAGAACTGGTACTTTCCTGGCAGTACACGATTTGGGCGCGTCTCCTGCAGTTGGTAGGCAAAGATGCCGGGAATCTCGTGCAGCTGCCCCCATCTCACCTTGAGTGAATCTAGGTAGTGTGGCGCCTTCGCCTCCAGGCTCGTCACATACTTGGCCTTGCTTTGGGTGCGTTTCCTCTTCGGTTTCTCCTCCTTCTCCATGGCCGCCTTGCAAGCAAAAGAGCGCGCAACAACAAATACTGGCAGGGCTACCAAGCTTCTCCAACAACGCCGCCTCTGAACCAATTCAGTCGCAGCAGTTCGCTTAAGGCTGCTGAAAAGCTTCCAAGCATCGCAGTTGAATTGCGCTAATTTTCTAAGAGTGCGCGCGTACATACTGGGTGAATTTTAAGAGGAATATTTATTTACATTTTAGATTTTGCGCCTCTGACAACTCTAACCGCTCGGACACAGCTGTTTGTAAAGTTATTGGGATTCGAGTAGTTTTTATTTCAGATTTTTAACCAAACTCGGTTGGTTTTCTCTTGCCTGAAAATTATGCGGAGCATTATGGCCAAGATTCAAGGCACCTGTGAGGAATTCTGCCCCGATGGCGAGATTAAAATGTAAGTTCCATGTTCCAACAGGTTAAGATTTACAAATCATTTTGCTACCAGGCGGGTGCGCGAGAGAATGCTTCACTTCTTTGAACTCAAGAATGGCCAGAAGAACGTGCCCGGTATCCTGGTCAAGGAATTCACCCGCTCTGCCGCTGACGTCAAAATGCCCAAGAAAGAGGATATGCGCACCGTGCAGTGCTTGACTCGGACTGTGGAATATCTCCTTAAAGAGTAAGGATTTGAATATAAGGATTAGATTAGCCCGTTGACCACTTGTCTGCCTCTTACAGGATTGTAATGGATAACCGAATGCCTTACCGCATGGCCTATGATTTCATTTTCGATCGCCTGCGTGCCGTGCGCCGCGAGATTGTCATTCAGATGTTGGATGCGAAACAGACTGCAAAACTTCTGGAGCCAATTGTCATGTTTCTGGCGTATAGCCGGTACCGTCTGTGTGCCGAACCAATTGATATGTTCGATGCGAAGATATGCAATCAGCATCTGCAGGAGTGCCTCACTGGAGTGCTCTGCTGCTACAAGACCTTTGACGAAGATGAAACGGCCAAGAGTCCTACAATTCGTGATCTTCAACGGCGCTGCTTCATCGAGTCTGTGTATCAAGTGTTCAATTTGGGCTGCCCGGAATCTCTGGAGCGGGCCCTTACCTTACCGGATCATGTGCGCCAGGATCCGACGTTTAAGCTCTGCTTTCAGATGAGTCTTTCCTACCATCAAGAGAATCTCTATCGCGTCCTAGTAGCATTGCCCAAACTGCCGCACATACTCTGTGCCCTGGCCGCCACAAAGTTGCAAATGATACGAAGGTAATGTACACTATGAATGAATGCTGACATCCTTGCTTACTACTCTACTTGCAGAAGGATTCTTCAAATGTTTACGCATGCCTACAATAAGCAGTTCAATGTGCCGGGCTCGTACTTGTTGCGTGTGATGCTAATCGATTCGCCGGAGCATTTGACCCAGCAGTGCTGCCATTACGGCCTGGAAGTGAGCAAGGAATTCGAGCGCGTTCCGGTGCTGTGTAATAGGTCTGTGTTTAAGAACCCCGCCGAAACAAAGCTACTGTATATACCCGGAGCTGGCAATGTCCCCAAGGCGGTGCGGTTTAATAAGTCTGATTTTATAAACTCTGCTGAGACAATCAAGGAGCAGCATGAACAGTTTGTTGATTCCAAACTGAAACGAGTTTATTTGCCAGAAGTTTTACTTCTCAAAAAATTCGTTTGAGTGCGTGTAGTGGGTGTAAATAATAAGCTACATTATATCAAATAGTTTTGTTAATTTATTTTTAAGAGAAAATGTGAATTTAAATATATTTGGCAACCCTGGCCAAAGGAGATATCGCTATCGAATACGCGAACATACATATACACAAAGCGCATATACATATACGCACAGGGTTGCATTCGAGGCGGGTGTCGGACGCTGTCTAACCAACACCAACAAAAAGTGTACGCAAGAGAAAGTTTTTGGAAAATACAATTCCGCCATATTTACCGGCAAAATTCAAAATATTTACATTGTTGCCAAACAATTGATCTAGCCGGATCCTATTTGTGCAATAATTAAGTGCCAGGCAACAGCGTGGAGATCGAAACGAGCAACAAAGCCAAGCGACGTCTGCTGCTGCCGTCGCGCAGCCCCACGCAGCACCAATGACAATAGGGAAGTCGTAGAGGAGGGAAAATACAAATACCGACAAAAAGAAGCCCAGTCCAGTGCAGCCTGGTACGCAATCGAACGGGTATGTTTTCTATATTCTGCGAATAGACACTGGAAAATTGCGAAGTACTAATTGCCCATTCGCAGTGGCCACCAAACAGCGCACACACAGACGCGCGCCAACACACACACGCACCGCACCGCGCAATATATACACACACACAGAGGGCCCAAGAAATACGGAACAGCGATGACAAGTCATCACCACAGCGTCGGCGTCGGCGTCGGTGGCGGCAACTTTCAGCCCCAACTCCAACTGCAGCATCAACACCAACTCCGGGCACCCATTGTGAAGAACCTTTCGCTGGCTGCAGCGGCAGTGCCCCTGCCAATGACCTCATCCTCCTCGTCTGGCCACAGCACGAATGCATCGTCGCTGTATTTCACACAGGTCCTGCAGCAGCCCCCGACTGCAATCGTGGACCACGAGCCGTACACCAGCGTGCTGCAGCCAGCGGGCGGCGGAAGCGAGAGTTTCCTCATCGAGGAGATAATCGACGACTATGAGGATGAGACCAATATTGTTGTGGACACCGGAGAGTTTTTCATCTCGGGCGATGTCTACGAATACTACCCGGCGGTGGATCGTCTAGGTAGGTTTACCTCAGGGGCCGTGGCCGAGGCAGATGCCGTGCCACCGCCAATTATAATGCAGCAGACCAGCGAGGATGAGGACTACATAGATGAAGATGCGATGCGAATGTCGTCCTCCTGCGATGGCGACGAGGAGGATGTGGACGAAGAGTCGGATACGGTGCCGGCCATGACGAATGCCTTTGAAATAGCCTCGGAAGTGTTGACCACCCTCGAGGCCACCAACATCAAGGAGGAGCAGCTGGAAAGCGATTTTTACATGAAAACAGCGGAGGACTCAAACAGCTCCAATGCCCAGGACTTTAAGGACCTGAAGCTCTTTGGCAACAGTAGTCGAGTGGAGCGACGGGCAAACGCAGCCACAAAGCGCTGGAAACAGACCAAGGTCCCCATTCGCATCACCCAGGATGAGTTCAATGTAACGCTCTGGTCGTCGCTCAACTCGGAGGACGAGGAAGAGGAGGAGGACCTGGACGATCCGCAAGTGTCTGTGGTCCATCCCGTGGTCTCCTCATCAAGCAGCGCTGAAGCCTCCTCCTCCAATATGCCAAAGCTCATCATCGATGAGCACATAATCAGCAACAACATGCACCACGATGTCCTCAGCGATGGCATCGGCAACGAGTACGTTATCCTGCCGGATCCCTTCAGCGCATCGGCGGTGACGGATGTGGAGGAGGTGGTCAATGCATTTATGGGCGATGTCAAGGGCGAGGAGGACAGCCAGCCGCTCAGTGAGCAGTTCATCTACGCGGATAATCATCTGGATGAGGCATACGGCTCAATCGAACTCATCGAGAATATGCCGCACAACGTGGAGTTGATACCAGTCCCAGCCGCAGCCCCACCACCTCAGGCGATGACAGGCGGCGCGAAGACAAACCGCTGCCCAACAGCAGCCCAGCTGTCGCTACCAAAGCTGGTGCTGCAGAACAGCAGCACCAACGTGCGGCTGAAAAGCAGCACAGGGGGCCAGGCTAAGGCCTCGAAAAGGCAAATCAGCAGCGTCTCTACCGCTGCAGTAGGATTGAATGCGACGCCACCGCCGTTGGCGCCTCCCAACATTTTGGTGCGCTCGCGAGCCACCACCGTGACCAAAACTGCAGCCAGTCTGGCCAACCAAGTCGCCGCCAGCAATCAGACGGCAGTCGCCGCGGCCGAGGAAGAGGAGGAGCCCAAGTTTCGGTGCACCCATCGTGGCTGCAACAAGGAGTTCAGGAATCACTCGGCCATGCGTAAGCATATGCATACGCACGGTCCGCGCGGTCATGTGTGCAATGTTTGCGGCAAGAGTTTCGTGGAGAGCTCCAAGCTGAAGCGCCACCAGCTGGTCCACACTGGCGAGAAGCCGTTCGAGTGCACCTTTGAGGGGTGCGGCAAGCGTTTCTCCCTCGACTTCAATCTGCGCACCCACGTCAGGATACACACCGGGGATCGGCCCTACCATTGTCCCATCGATGGCTGCTCCAAGTGCTTTGCACAGTCGACGAACCTCAAGTCACACATGCTGACGCACACGAAGCCCAAGCGCAAGTGGCCCCGGGCACCGCAGGTCAACAGCAAGTCATCGCCGCAGGTCAACAACAAGACGCCTCTGGTGGCACGGTACGGGCGCTTGGAGTTTGGCGAGGATCCTCGATTGGTGTACGTGGAGCAGAACGAGGAGATGGCATCGGTGCTGCTGGATGGTGCGTCGACCACATCCTAACTATCAGTGACCATCAATGTGTCCCTGAATAGAACCGTGGCCTGAGTAAGAAGACTGGCCCCAGTTCCCGGGCACTCTATCAAGTCGCGACCGAACGTGTATTATCTGGCTAGATAACTGGCGGATAAAAACCCAACCAACCAACCAACCAACCCATATGTACAGTTAGTTATAGAGCAGGGCCATTAATCTATGTATGGCGGGCGGAGTTTAATCTTGTAATCTATGAAGCGGAGAGCCTGTGGAGCGTGCGACGTCGTCCGCATGCAGCCCAACCCCCTAAGTAAGTTCTTTTCTTAAATTGGATATGTAGTAGGTGTAAAGCCATTGGCATGGATGGATAAATGGATCGATCAGTCGACAGTTTAGATTATAAGAATAATTTTAAGAGTCCTAAGCCCCGTAAAACCACCCCCCCCTACAAAATAGCTACTATCACTATCACTATATAAACATATATGTGTATATATATATGTACTACTTTTACTACCGTCTTGATCCGAATGCATGTGGCATCTCAGATATGGATCGATCTATTCGTGTGCAGTCTCCACTCGAATAACAAAACACTGCACACACACACACACACACCACACCACACTTTTTCTATACACAACGCCCCTTCCCTTACCACCCTACAATATTTAATACGCATAAACAAACCAACCCAACCCAACCCCCCATAGGCTATCTACATATATTTTTGTAATGAATTGTAACATTTAGAGCATTGAACTGCAAAGTAACGTTTAAAGTACGCTGATAAATAGAAGCAGCAGAGTAAATTTTTGTAGCGCCTAAACGTAATTCACAAAATGGAAAACACTTCAATTCGATTGTACAAGTTAACCAGAGTCGGCATAAACAAGGGAATACCTCTTTCAAAATTATACAAATAAAAACACGAAAAGAATTCAAAAGCAAAGTCCTCTCTCTTTATTATTATGGTTGACATTCAGGGCATTCTTTAGCATTCAGTTTTATTCTCTAACTATTATTTAGCATCCGACAAGGAGTACGTGTACGTGTAAACTAGGGCTAGCTTAAACAGTGCGCCGATTAGTGGATGGGATGCCATTTGCTTTTGTCCACTTTAGGGTGCTGCTTATCCGCAAAGCAAACGATTAACATATATAGGAACACCAACCTTCTGCTGTGATTGATGGTGTATGTGCTGTGATTGCTTGATGTATGTGAACATGTGGATTAGATAAAGCTGCCGCGCGTGGATAGGCACAATTACAGACACGCAGCAGATATTCAATTATTGGAAAATTGGAAGTAAACACAGTGGTGACTCAGTGGCGGCTCAGCTCGACTTCGCTTTGCTTATATGACTTTGACACCTTGTCCTTGATGCGCGCCAGGTAAGATATCCGCAATAAGTGTGTTGGGTGAGATTAGTCCGGCAAGAGAGAGCAGCACCGAGTAATTGAAGTACCAGAACACGCAGAAGAGCACCATAAAGAGCACGTCTGTGAATGAGAGCAATAATAGAGAAGGCGTCGGGTTGGTCGTGATAAGCCTCAAAATTCGCACTAAGTGTATGACGAATTGAATTGGACAATCCCTTGGCTAAAGAGAGATGGTTTTCCCCAATACTTACGTATCGTTACACGTTCCCATTTCTCCACCATATAGAGCTCAGTAACCTGGGGAAATCGAAAGAGAATGAAGCCAATTAACGAATACAATACCGACTTGACTTGGCTTCCCTGTGGAATACGCACCATGAGGTATCTGAACCACCAGTAGCTGGCAAACTCCACAACATTGTCGAGAATCATGTTGCTCATTTCGATAAATTCAAACAATAAAACGGAAAGGGGCAAATTAGCGCGTTTTAAGTGGTCGAATTTAATTTCTCCCCCTATCTTTATACTAAATTAACAGAGTTAGACAACGCAACCACACAGAAAGAGAGAGACACAGAGGAGTTCCAGTGTTGGACAGTGCTTAAATCAGAGCCATCAGCTGTTGCTAGCCACATTGGAAAATTGTTTACAAAACATTTTGAAATAATTCATACAAGCAGAAATGACAAATTTCGTTGTTAAGCTGCTGCAACGCACCCAACTGTCCCACAGCCAAGTGGATGTAAAGCCCTTCATCTATGCCCGGAGCAACTGGCTGGACGACGAGGCCGAGTTTCACTTTTTGTCCACATTCAACAACCAAAATTATAAAGGCAGCCTGAAATATACGGAAATACGAAGTGCCGCCAATGATCTCGAGCTGGAGTACGAGACATTCCTTACCGAATGCAAGAACGCCCTCACGACACACATGGGACTGACCGGATTCGATTACGAGATATCCCAGGACGACGAGCAGCAACAGGTCTTCAAACTGTACAAATGCGCCGGCTATGAGACGCTATACCTGGACATCCCGCTCAAAAAAGTATCCAACTGCTATCAGCTGCTGGATGCAGCCATTGATCTGGGCCACCAGCAGGCAACGTCGGCTCCTTCCACAGATCTTGACCCGTTAACAAAATGTACGGTCGAAGAGTACGAGAAATACGTGACGTCAACGAAACTAAAGGAATCGCAAATGCTCAAAAAGTTTATTCTGCTTATAAATAGCAAAAAGGCACACATCAGAGATCTGAAGAGACAACTGGAGGAGCGACCCGATAAGCATTCCAAGCAGAGGATAATCTCTGACAATGAAGACACCGATGAAGACGGTGAGGAGGAGGAGGAGGAGTTTGGGGCGGCCACGCAAGCAATGGATAGTGAAAAGGACTCGTAGGCACTAGCAATGCCCCTGGAACCTACACATCTTTCATACGCACCGTCCGGTGCTTGAAATGTATTTCTCTGTTTGCTTTGTTCTCATTTCGATTGTTTTGATTTTGTAAAATAAATTAGCTTTATAATGTATGTATATATGTATAAATAAACAACAAATAGACTTTAAACATAATACATTAAATTACCAGCAATATATGCAATAGACGTGTATGTGTGTGGTTTGTGGCTTACAATTAGACCAACAGAAGATCGTTTTGGAATAAGTTACAATACAAGTACATGTATATGTAGTTATCGTTGCAGTTGTTGGAATTTCCACAGAAAATAAAGTCATTAAAACACAAAAGACAATACCATTTGAAATTAAATGAGAAAAAAAAAGGAAAGCCTGGTACACAATGTGTGTGTGTGTGGGTCTGTGTGTTAATATGTATATGCGCTATCATATAGACGTTATGTATATAAGAAGTTATGTTTAGGTTTAGGGTGTGGGTAACATTTGAAAGAGTAAACAATTTCGAGCTGATGCTGATGGTGAAGTAGAGTGCAGGATCCGGCCGTTGATCACTCAGAGTGCAAGCAGATCCTCATCGGCGCCCGGTTTCTTTGGTGTCTTTCGTAAGCTGTCGCCACCAGGTCCTGTCGTATTCGTGTTCGTGGCACTGGCACTGGCGGCAGAATTCGATGCATTGATCGTTGGAAGATTTTCAGCGGCAGCGGCGCGTTCCTCAAGGAATTTGTCAAACTCTGAGCTGGTCAGCTCCTCAATACCATCAACGTCCTTCTGTTGTGGGTGGAAGCAGAAAACAAAACGCTCATTAGCTCAATATGATCCACCGAATGGGTAAAAGATGTGAAAGAAGCACAAAAAGCAAAAGTAAGTCATGTAATCGAAGAACCAAGGACGAATGTGTGAATGTGTGAGTGTGTGTCTGTAAGATGAGCTTAGAAAAAGTCTATATGCAGTGTTTTTGTTTTTTTGTTGTTGTTGTTGCTACTTACTGAGCTGCCCAACCACGCCTCCATTTCATCGATCTCATTCTCTTTCGTCGACTGTTTGGGCGCGCCACACAGAATAAACACAGAAGAAGAACCCAAAAAGGGGAGCAAACGAACGAACGAACGAACGAACGAAGAACGAACCAAACGAAATTTGCATAGAAATAGAACCAAGAAACAAAACAAAACAAATGTTCGAAATTGGTAATCAATAAATGAATGGCCAAACGAGGATTAAATATCAAAGTAAGGGAAACAGATCGAACGCCATTAGTTAGATCGCTTGCCGGCGGCATTATTACTCACTTTACTTACCACCGGCGGATCGCCGGCTGCCCGTAGTGGTTGCTGCTGTGGCTGCTGCTGCTTCTGTGTTTGTTTGTAGGGGGAGGCAACGGCCCCGACACTGCCGGCAGCCGCATCCACGGAGGGAATATCGCGCAGCAAGTCCGTTTTGCTAAGCAAAGTAATACGGTTTTAGTTGATACGCAAAGCAGGTGCAAACATACTGAAACTTACTGGTTGCCATCGGTGCGCGATTGCGCCAGCATATCGAACTCGTCGGCAGCGGCTGCTCCTCTTGGTGCAGCTGCAGCTGCAGCTCCAGCTCCGCTTCCGGCCGCTAGGCTGAGCTGGCCAAAGTTTTGGGATAGTTGCTGCTGTTGCTCCTCGCTGCTCTCAATCAAATCGATCAGCAGCTGATCGCTTTGCGGGGTATTGCTGACGGCAGCAGCAGCAGCTGTGGCAGTGGGCGGCGGGGGAAGCGAGGCCACAACTGCACCCGTTCCTGGGGCCACGCCAGGCAGACCCATGGCAGCGCCCAGCACTGCCGAGGGCGAGGTGACTACAGCTCCGCCACCCAGTCCCTGGGAGCGTGTCTTCTCGTAGCGCTGATGGCGCAAGAACAAGTTGTTCAGCTCGTCATTGATGCGCAGAAACTCGGCTGTCAGCTCGTCGTCCTGCACACGTCCAATCAGATCCACAATGCGCGACTGCATCTCCTTGCAGGTGGAGGTAAGCTCGTTAAGCAGAGCATAGTCGTCGGTGGTCTCCTGGCCGGGCTTCAGGACGCTCAGCATTTCGCTCAGTATGGACATGTTGTTGGTGACTATCTCCAGCTCAGAGCGCAGCTTGGCCCCCTGCTCTGGTGTCAAATGCAATGGACCGCTGCTGGGTGGAGCAGCGGCGGCAGCAGCAGCCACGGCTGCCACATGCTGCGGCGATACTGTATGGGCAGCCATCAGCTGTGGATGTGGATGCACCTCCGGCACACTCTACAAAGGGCAGGCAGTGAAGCATAAGAAAAAGGACTCTAAAATGCCCAGTGAAGGCGGACTCACCCTCTGTGGCGTATAAATGGGCGCCATGGCATCCAAGTCAGCTACAGGAAACTCAATGCCCTTGTTCTTGAGCTCCATGTACATCTGTGTGACCCCATTGAGGTCTGGCTGGTTCTTGAAGGCATCCGCCCATATCTGTATGAGGCTGAGGACCTTCTCCTGCATGACAGCCGGCGGATCGTTCTTTGGCCCAATCAGCTTGACCAGTTCGTTGATAAAGTCCTTTTGGGCCACCAGTACATGGAATGCCTTGCCGCAGTTCTTCACGCATGTCTCCAGCACGGTCAGCGTGAACATAACCACCTGATTGTTCTTGCCGGCATTCTGTGAGAGACGTTTCCGTATGGCGCGCATGGCATCACGGGCCGTGTCCGAGGATTCGTTGATCATATCGCAGATTTCCATATTGGCGGCCCAGTTCTCCGAGGCAAGGTTTGCATCGGTGGCAGCCTCTGTGGGGTAGACGGTCAATCAAAATTATAGTTTATTTGTAAGCAGAGTGGAATACCAGTTTTTGTACTAATAAAAATTGATTCAGACAAGAGAGGAAGGTCTCCTCTCCTCTGAGCTCTCACTCACTCACATTTTAAATATATTTTTTGAGTGCAACGACTTCATTGGAGAGCAACGCATACGCAAATACAGGTGGGTGCATTCCCATATATGTATGTATGTAGCAACCGCAAAATAATAAATATAAAGCAACAAAAGCGCAAAGCCATTGCACAGTCATGCTGTTTATTTGTTTGTTTGTTTGTGTGAGCGTAGCGGGCAAATGGAAATGACTGCGAAAATGCGAAGCAAAGGAAAAATGAAACCAATTAACACATCTATTTTATGTAACTATGGAAGCCGCCAAAGGCAAACGCCATTAACCAAAAAGGTTGGATGTTGGATGACTAATTGCCATTACTTTTGGAGCAGAAGTATAAGATAGACAGAGAGAGAGAGGAGGGTACATAGAGTAGGGAAGGCATTTCAGAGAAATGCGTTGCCTATGCCAATAATAATTCTGTGTAATAATCGCAAGCAACAAATTGCCATACTGCTATCTGTCGCACCTGTCAATGGCCCTCCTTTGATGACAAAACAACCAACCCCAACTACCCATCCCATCTGATGTCTAATCACTGTCTAATCTTATCAAGAAATTTCGCCATTGCCACTGTGTTTGGGGTGTATTATGTGTGCATGCTGGAGTGGGGTGATAACCGCCTTTGCCATAGTAATGGTGTGGCAACAACAAATCAGTTTTCATTGCCTGTTCGTGCGAACCGCAAGAAAGTGACGCAGAAAAGGCCAAAAGAAAGTTGTGAAAATTCAATTTTCCAGTGCCTCAGCTTCGCCTTTGCTCGACTCTGACGCTGCTCATCTGATATGTTTGATGATTGGGCCTATAGGTAACGCTGGCAAATGCGCAAATGTACCCACATATGTTCATTTGTGTGTGGAAAATGTTACGATTTAATCATATACACACCCCCACATCCGGCTGTGCAGCGGAGGGAGGGGTGGGGGTGGTTCTGCAGCAGCCTTTTACGTTTTTCTTTTTGACTCACCTATGCGCTGTCCAATTGGTGTGGAGAAAACATTTCCCAGAGCGCCAACGTTGAAGAATGAAGCCATTTTAGTGCGCTCTCTCGCTGTGTTATTGGTTTGCTTAAGATTTTGCAGTATACAATTTTATTTACTTCTGTGACACCTGAGAATTAGAGGTGTCAAACCATCGAGGGAACTTTCGATAGTATCGATGTTTTGCTGCTATCCGCTACCATCGACGGTTTTGCGACTATCATGATAGTATCGAGCTACAGTTGTTGCGCTTTTGATATGTTTGGCTTGGCTGCTCTTAAATACGAAGACAAATTTGTAAACAAATCTACAGGTGGCATCTAATTTTTACAATGGACAAGTTCCTAAAAGGTTTCAATGGTTTTTTAATAATTATTTGAGCCCCAAACTATTACGATAGTATCGAATTTTTTTTAACATTCTAAACTATCGATGGCTCAACTATCAATTGTTTGACAGCTCTAGTTTCCCGAGGGACAGATAGACCCACCAGATTTATCAATAAAATATACCGCCTGACCCACAGAAATATACCTAAATATACCATTATCAAAATATACCGTAAATAAACTGACGGACACGACAAGACGTTGATATTCCTCGATTTTGATATTCAGTTAAATATTACTAGCTAGTCAGCCCTCTCAGCCGTAAAAAAATATTTTATCCGAGAGATACATCAATTTCCTACAAGATTGGCTAGTGTTCAGAGGTCCTTTTTATTGCATTGTTTAAGGTTCAAACAAAAACGACCAAAGCATAAAACGTAAATGTTGACTATATGTGACGTCATTGTTGCTGGTCAACCAAGGTTCTTCTATGCGTATGGCTTGTGTATACCATATTTCCTTTAATTGATGTTAAATTTGTTGTTCCAAGCTGTTTTGAAACATTAATATTGCATTTTTCTTAGATTGAGATGTCTTTTACCCATTAATGCATATGTTTTGTGTTTTATAAATACATATATCCTGGTTATGATACCTATTATTGGTACCCGTGAGCTGCAAAATTTCGTTAATATTTTTAAAACAGAGTTTCTGCATTAATTGGAGCCTGAAATTTCTAACAAGAATTCTATAATATCCTTATCCCCAAGGATAGCAGAATGTTGTTATTTTCGTGCCCATGTTTCGGAACAGTGCTGTAAAAATATGAATATCGGTAGTTTTGTGCGATTAACAATGCAAATATCTCATCAGCCAAAAAGATATATATATCGATATATTACTGTATCAATATATCTTCTCTAGGAAAAGTTTTTGATGGAAAACAACGATTGAACCAAAAAATTCTGCCTTTAAACTAGGAAATTAGGAATTACTTGCACTAGTTATAGTCCGGTGCAACATGACCGCCTTAGTACTAAGCCGGAACATGCAGCTGGCCAGTAAGTGAAGCGGCGAGCCACACAAAAAGTGTCTGGCCAAAATTATGTAATGACGGAATTTAGTTTCATTTGCTAACGTTGTTGTTGTTCCCTGTTCCCTATTGTAGAACACCATGGCAGTGGTGTCGTGAGCGTGCTCTGCCTGCGGGGCTATGCCGCAGCCGCTGAGGATGCGCCACGTCCCCTGAAGACCACCAATCCGGCTGCCATGAAGCGCGGCACGGGCGGACGCAGCAGCTTCAACGGAATCGTGGCCACCGTTTTCGGAGCCACAGGCTTTGTGGGTCGCTATGTGTGCAACAAGCTGGGCAAGTCCGGCTCACAGATGATTCTGCCGTATCGCGGTGAGGACTCTGAGGTTATCCGCCTGAAAGTCACCGGCGATCTGGGTCAGGTGCTGTTCCACTTTTACAATCTGGAGGATGCCGCTTCCATTCGCAATGCTGTCAAGCACTCGAATGTGGTCATCAACTTGGTTGGCCGCGACTTTGAGACCAAGAACTTCAAGTTCAAGGATGTCAATGTCACTGGCGCTGAGAGGATTGCCAGGTGGGTGTCGCACCGAGAATTATAGCCCTTCAATGATGAATGTCTCCCTCTTGAAGGATCTGCCGCGAGGCTGGCGTGGAGAGATTAATTCACCTCTCGTCTCTGAATGTGGAGGCCAATCCCAAGACGCTGTATGTCAAGGGCGGCAGTCAGTGGCTGAGGAGCAAATACGAGGGAGAGCTCCGCGTGCGCGATGCCTTCCCCAATGCCACAATTATTCGACCAGCCGATATCTACGGCTCGGAGGACCGCTTCTTGCGCTACTATGCACACATCTGGCGTCGCCAGTTCCGCTCGATGCCGCTCTGGCACAAGGGAGAGCGCACCGTGAAGCAGCCCGTCTACGTGACGGATGTGGCCCAGGCCATCATCAACGCTGCCAAGGACCCGGATACCGCTGGACGCATCTACCAGGCTGTGGGGTAAATATCCATCCGGAAGTACTCCAAATCAGACTGCTGTAATCTGTGTGTCCCTTAGACCCAAGCGGTATCAACTGAGCGAGCTGGTCGATTGGTTCCATCGCGTGATGCGCAAAGATCAGAAACGTTGGGGCTATCAGCGTTACGACATGCGCTGGGACCCCACCTTCCTGATGAAGGCCAAGCTCACCAGCTTCATTTGTCCCGGTGCGCCCATTGGTGGTCTGCACCCGGAACGCATTGAGCGCGAAGGCATCACCGACAAGGTTCTACCCGGTGTGCCCACTCTGGAGGATCTGGGTGTTCAGCTGACCACCATGGAGCAGCAGGTGCCCTGGGAGCTGCGTCCATATCGCGCTGCCCTCTACTACGATGCCGAGTTGGGTGAATTCGAAACACCGGAGCCACCAAAGACCATTGAGGCGCGTGAGGAGCTGCGCTTGTTTGCCTAATTAATGGAATGAGTGTTGATTGGAAATTCTTAGTAAAACTTTAACAAGGCGATGCGTCAATAAAAGAAAGTCTACAATTAAAACGACTACAGATTCTGATAAAAATGAGACTAAAATGAGTTTGAATTAAAATTTCTTCGCGCTTTTGGGTGTTGCCACTATGTCAAAAATAGTGCCGAGAAACATGACAAGGGATAAACTAAGTGGCCACATTTCTCCGCAGCACTCTGGCGCAACATTCATTTGATAATTTGTATGACAATTTCAAATTCGCAACATTCTCTGCAACATCCGGCATCTAAACTTTTGATGCACAAAATCAAAACAAAGTTTTCGCGATGGGGTGACAATACTTTCAGATTCCTGAGGAAACTAAATGGTTTTTCCTTTTGACGGTGAGCTTTTTGCAGCAGTTTTTCCTCAACCACAAGCCCGTGAAGATATTTATGGCCGGATAGCTATATACTACGGAAAATTCGATTGGTCCGATTGTGTGCATACATAGTTGCAAGGAAATTGTTCTGTTCTGTGTAAACCGTGCGGTGCGGCTTAATTTTTGCTTGTGTTTGTGAGTGCAGCGTGTGTGTGTGTGTTGTATGTGCAGGGCACGAAAATGGCAAGTGTATAATTATGCTAACGGATTATGCCCTGACGCCGTCGAATGTGATTGTGAAAAAGCCGGAACAAGCGAATAAGAGTGCGGCAGCAGCATTAGCTGAGAACCAGCAGTCCCACCGATCGCCGCTGGCGCATCTAGGAATCGAAGAGAGCTGCAACCGTTTCATAACCGACAAATCGATCAGAGCGAAGGGCTGGTACTACTGCCACCCATCGGGCATTACAGCGAATATTGTGTGGTGGGGAGAGAATCCCGAAACAGCAGGCAGCATCATCAGCTGTGACGCCTGCACCGCCGCCCACATCCGTGGCAGCGGCAGAGACAGGAACGGCGACAAAAAGCTCTGCGCAGGCAAACACAGAAATCAGAAGCAAAGGTCAAGTCAGCAGCAGCAGCAGCAGAGGAGCAAGAAGCAGCAGCATCATCCCCATCAGCAGCATACCCATACTAATACATGTACCACCAATAAACTACGGTACAGCGTACGGAGCAAGAGCCTTGCATTATTTTTAGACTATCTGCGCGAGTGTCCCTCTATTCAAATTGTCGCTGCCGGCAGTGACGTCAGCGACCACGCCTACGATCATCCTCTCGGCAGAGGTACAGCAGCAGCAGCAGCAGCAGGAGGAGCACCACTTGGCCGGACACGTCTGCCCGTGCCGGCGTCACTGTTGCGTAAATACGCCGCCAACTACGTCAACGGTTGCCATTTCGAGCATAAAACCAAAATTTATGCTTTATATCGTCACCTCGAGATCGGTGCCCCGTTCGAACAAGTGCAACAGCAACAGCAGCTGAGAGTCGGAAAGATTCAATTGCGTTTCAAGATGCTCTTTGCCGAGGCGGCGCCTCCTAGCGCTGCCCCCAGCGTCATTTCTGCTGTTGCTCTTGCTGCTGAGCCGCCGCCAGCGCCGTCGCAGGATCAGCCGGGAGACCTTATTGCAGGTGAGTCAGAGCAATGCATGCAGAATGTGAGGCTGTACCCAGCCGTTCGTTTTTCTCCCATAGTGTTGAAGTGTTTTAGGACGTTAGGAAACGGGACAGACTGAGAGTTCCCTTTGCATACCCTTTGCTTGAGTATATTGTATGTTTGATTCAGATCAAAGCCGAGAAATTCTGCGTTGCAAGCATTTTATGCCGGCTATCCCTACGTGCCTCAAGTGTGGCACCAGATTTAGCTCTGCAGCCACTGCTTGGTTCGTAGTACGCACAGCAGAGTCAGCATTCTGTCCCCCAATCCCCAATCCCCAATCCCCAATCACATCCGGTCTGTACAGCCCTCCGTTTCGATGTTTGTTTTTCTTTTGGTCAAAGAATGCACTTTGCTCTCTCGTGTGTGATTCACGCCTTTCCTTCTTTGGCCAGATTATCATTTCATTTCGCCTTTTAAAGCTGAATTGTTATTTTTCTATTTACAAAATTTATGAATAACAATAGCGGGGGAGAGAACGGCAGTCTTTAAATCGAAAGATTTCTCTGGCACGAACTTGCTTCAAGCTGCACTCTCTCACTTTGTCTCTCTCTCTCTCTCTCTGACAGTTTAAAATATTCCCCTAATCCGTAATTATTAGCCTGGCTAAATCGCCATCACTGGCATATTTATGGCCCAACAAACAAGCAAATGTAGAGCGTAAAATTTGCATTTACGACTAAAGGGTTACAGCTTTTCCTATGCCATTTTTCGTGTTAGTCGGTAACTGCAGATCGTTCACAATGTTTCGATCCAATTGGAAGAAACGCCTGCTCGGTGTGAGATCGAAATCGAGTTTGGGGGAGCCGTGTCTTGGCCATGCCCTCATCGTGACATTCGTGCATTACTTCTCCTGGGGCCTGCTAACCGTGCCCTTTATGGTGAAGCTAAGCGAAACATTTGCGGAGCGAGCCTTTCTCATTGACGGTGTGATCTATGGGATCAGGGGAACGCTGGCGTTTATCGCGTCCCCATTATTGGGCGCCCTCTCCGACACTTGGGGACGAAAGCCGCTGATGCTAATGGCTGTGGTGACCACCTACTCGCCCATTCCGATGTTGATTATTAAGGATTCGTGGTTCTTTGCCATGATCACGATCAGTGGTGTCTTCGGCACAGTCTACTCGACGGTTCTGGCCTATGTGGCCGATGTTACCTCACAGGAGGAGCGCTCGAAGGCCTATGGTCTGGCCTCGGCCACCTATGCAGCTGCCATGGTACTCTCACCGGCCCTGGGCAGCCTCCTAATGGACAAATACGGACTCCCTGTGGTCGTATCTCTTGCTGCAGCTACTGGTCTGATGAACATCCTGTTTATAGTGCTCGCAGTGCCGGAAAGTCTGCTCATGCAGAAGGAACACGATCATGCCATGGGCACCGCTTGGTGTGGAGCACATCCATTCGTGGTTCTGCGAAAGTTGCGAAAAGACAAGACCTTGCTCCTCATCTGCCTGATTGTTTTTCTTTGCACCTGGCCCGAGGCTGGCGAGGAGTCCTTTGTCCCACTCTACCTTACGCTCAATATGGGCTTTGGAAATGTGGAAGTATCCGTGCTGGTTGGTCTTGTCGCAGTGCTCGGCGTCACGGCGAATGTCACGCTGGGACTCATAATGAACGGCCTGGGAGCGAGGGGGGCCATCCTCACAGGACTGGTCCTGGAAATGTGCCAACTTCTGCTCTACGGAGTCGGTAGACACAAGTGGACGATGTGGATGGCTGGAATAATGGCGGCCACAGGCACAGTCGCGGGCTCCGCCTGCAGCGTCTTCTCATCCATGCACTCTCATGCCCACAATCAGGGAGCTGTTCAGGGCATGATTGCTGGCATGATGGAACTCTCCGAGGGCCTGGGACCAGCCGTCTTTGGAATACTCTTTTATGCCTTCCACCAGGATCAGAACGGGCCTCACAATAGCCAAATCGGGATACCATTTATTGCGGGGGCCATCAGTGTACTACTGGCCATTATTTTAGCCACCTTTATAGTGGAAGATGTAGACAAGTCCTCTGGAATAGGGGACGAGACGAAACCATTGACGGGAGAAGACGCCAGAATCTGTTTATCTTAGGATTATGTTGGAAAATCAAAATAAAATTGTCAAATCTCTTCGGAGCGATAAGTTTTAGTCTGAACATTTGCTCACCCTGTAAACCATGTAAGATACGGTATTCAGAGCGTGCAAATTGATCGGACTAAACCCTCGGACGCCAGTTAGTCGAGATCTTGCGGCCCATGAGATGCCAAGAATCGGACGGAAAGTGGGTGCCGCGCCTACCTACGGGATCGGGGCGGCGAGTGTTAATTACACCCTCATCGTGATACTATTGGAATACTCTGCCTGGGGCCTCCTGACGATGCCCATGATTGCCACGCTGAAGGAAACCTTTCCGGAGGAGCCGTTCCTTATGAACGGTCTGGCCATGGGTATCAAGGGTATACTCTCGTTCCTCTCGGCACCGCTGATCGGAGCCCTGTCCGATATCTGGGGACGCAGGCTGCTGCTGCTGGTGACGGTGACATTCACCTGCCTGCCCATTCCGTTGATGTTTGTCCACAGCTGGTGGTTCTTCGTGATAGCCTCATTCAGCGGTGTCTTTGGGGTGACCTTCTCGGTGGTGCTTGCCTATGTGGCGGATGTGACACAGCCAGAGGAGCGCTCGCGGTCGTACGGGGTGCTCTCGGCCACGTTTGCGGCTAGCCTGGTGATATTTCCGGCTTTGGGTAACCTCCTCATGGATATGTACGGAATCAATGCGGTGGTGCTCTTCGCCACAATTATCGCAGCGATGGATGTACTGTTCGTTTGGCTGGCCGTACCCGAGAGTCTGCCCAAAAAGGTGCGCACCAGCATCAGCTGGAAGCAAGTGAATCCCTTTCTGAATCTGCGGCGCATGGACTCCGACAAGAGCATCCTGAAGCTGTGCCTCATCATCTCGCTGTTAATGCTGCCCGCAGCCGGCGAGTACTCCTGTGTGCCCGCCTACCTCAAGCTCAGGATTGGCTTTGACTTTGTGGAGCTCTCGACTCTGATTGCCTTTATTGCCTTCCTCAGCATAGCCATGAACATGGTCCTCGGGCTCCCTAACACGAGCCTTTGGAGCCAAGCGAGTCATTCTCGTGGGTTTGGGATTGAATATGCTGCAGCTGCTCCTGTATTCCTTTGGCACTGAGAAATGGATTATGTGGATGGCGGGACTTGTGGCCGCCCTGGGATCCATGAGTTTTGCGGCGTTGAGCGCCTATGTATCGATCTACTGCGACTCCGCGAGCCAGGTAGTGGTCCAGGACACGATCAATGGGCTATCCAGCCTATGCAATGGCCTTGGACCGGCAGTGTTCGGCCTTATCTTTTATCTCTCCGACATGGATCTGAGTGAAGGTCCATCCACGAATGTGGACCAATTTCAAGAGCATACTGTGGCAGCTCCCTTTATGTTCGGGGCCATCTGTGTGCTCATCGCCATTCTGGTGGCCATCTCCATCCCCCCGGGCCATGAATCGAAGGGGAAGCAGGCGGATTTATCCGAGATGCATTATGTGATTGAAATGTGATTGTTGCTGAAGCCCCCATTATCCACATAGAAATAAACCAAGATTCGGTTTAGATTTAAATATTGTTTCCTCCTTAATCAAACGATGGGTTTCAGTGGGTTAAAATTTAGTTGTTGTCGTCACCAAATCAGCCAATCTCAGTCGACGACCGCTTCTGTTTATTTTCCTTTATTTTTGGTTTTCCTTTTCCGAGATTTTCAATTTATTTATTTATAAATTCTGCCTCTGCTCTTTATTTTGTGTGTGATTATCGCTATTTCAAAACAGACGGGGGGGCGCCGGGGGCGACCACCCGACGCGAGGAGGCCAGGAAAACAAGACACACAGAGAAGAAGATAACCCCCGCGGGGCGCGCACGACGGGGGGGGGGGGGGGGGGGGGGGGGGGGGGGCACGGAGCCGACGACAGAGGAGGGAGGCGCGGAGAGACCGGCCGCGGGGGGGGGGGGGGGGGAGGCGGGCCGGCGCGACCAGGCGCACGGACAGACGGACGCGGGGGGCGGCGCCGGCGAGGAAGGGGCCCGGCACACCACCCCCCCGGGGAAATTCACAACAGTTTGTTGACTCTTACGTAAGAGAAAGCCGAGGGTTTGTTTTGCTCCTCTTCGGAACACAAAATTTGGCAAAATTTAATTTATTAACAATTGCTGCAGATTCCCAAAATAGTCGCAGATCTATCCAATCACTTGGCATAAAAATACATGCATACATAATACTTTTTCTTGTTCGATTGGTATCTTCAATTGTCTGTTTGAACGGAGCAACCGAAAACTTTCCATTGGGTTGTGCGGGGAGCGCAAAGCAAAGAACCCAATGAATAAATATATACCAGCAAAGAGAGAAAGAGGGCCATAAAAAAAATCACGAAATAGTGTGACATACAAAACACGTGCGGCACATACACCAGTACAAACTAGCAAAGAGAGAACGATGGCGAGAGAGTGAGAACGTAGAATATTATTTAACGATAATCCAGGGACGGATTAGGCAACTAGAGGGTGTAGCTGTGCCACAGCTGCCAGCTTTCCACCAAAAAGTAATTGGAAATTAACATTTTATAATATACATATATATAATATAATGTACAAATAAGATCTCCAATCTCCGCTGTCCCAGAAAAGAAAGTTTCGTCGCACCTATGACATATATAACTGCTTTAACTCCGCTCCCGTCTATCGAAATCCAGAGAGGAGAGAGGAAACATAACATAACACAACTTTTATCACACTTTATGTTTTCAAGCTTAATTCTCTGCAATTTGTTGTTGTTTCTCTTTCGCGATTTGCTTTCTGGCAAAAGTTTAGCAGCGTCGTTGCCGGCTACGTCTGGGGTTTTTCTGGCATTGGCCTTCAATTCGGGACTTACTTAGCAACCAGACAAACATATTGTACATATGAACCAACCATCTGTTTGAAAGCCTACAAAGAAACATACAAAAATATGCGAAACAAATCCATGATTCAAAGAGAAATAGAGGGGAAGAAGAGTACATAAGAGAGAGAATATGTGTGAACAACAGATTTCGTTTTCTCATTTACTGCTTTGCGGATACTTTGTTGCTAGGCGGGCTGGAAAAGGTGATGGGAATGGGGATGGGGATATTGCCTTGATAGGCAAGGGGGAAGAGACCGTCCCCCATCTCACTTTCCTTCACACTCTTTTATTTCTCAGCTAATGCGAATTTCTATGGGTTTTAATTAGTGCTGTAACGGTTCCCTGATGTCAGCAGAAGCCGAGTGGAATAGAACGCCGCAGAATTGGTACTCTCTCTCTCTCACTACTCTCCCCTCTGCTATCTGATCCAATTATGTCGTTGAACCTTATGCCACACCACGCGACTATTATCAATTATCTTGGAGCCAATCGAATTTTTGCGCGTTACCAAGCGCGAAAATCGTGGAACAAATTCGCAATCGCACGGATAGCATGACCTTTTTAGTGCGGATTATAGCTTGTAATGTATGGAAGCACTACTTCGCATGAGGTCTAGTGGATAATGGCCTTGCATTTATTTCAAATTGTCCTTCATTTTGCCACTGAACATTGCCAATGCCAGGTAATTTATACACAAAATTTATTTGGATCTGGTTTTGCTTTTGGTCCATGCGAAAGAGTAGCGATGAGAGAGAGGCAGAGAGAGGAAGTTTTATGGAATGCTTTCTCTGTTTTTTAATGCTCTACGCACAAGTATGCCAGACCCAGGGCCCTCTATCTATACTGGATAAAACGAAGTGGTCTCCCCAAAAGAGTTCATGAGAAAACTGACAAAATTATCAACAAAATTATTATCTTATCAAAATTAACTTGGAATTGAGTTGACGCCATTGAGAAAAACTAAGGCCGTAGAGAGTATTTAGAGTGCGTGGTACTGCAGAACTAATGCGCGAGAGCGGGAGAGAAATGCGAAGCAAAGCATAGAACTCGATTACGTTTCTCTGCCGGCATTTTCGGCGTCTCCCGTCCACACACTGCCTTCCACACGTGCCTTGAGCTTTGCTGGGTTCCGAGACCGGCACTGTCGCACAATCCACATTTCGAAAGCCACCGTCGTGGAGATCGGTTTTGTTTCCGCTGCAAAGAACTGTAAATCCACCGAACACGTGATCTGATAGAGGAAGAAAACTAACGATGTAAATCTCTAATCTTGCAGGCACCACCAACAATCTTGAGCTAATGGAGGCCATGAAGAAACTGGACGCGGATCTGGTGGCTCTCTTTGCCACCGCCGCCGCTGAGCCATTGGAGCAGCTGAAGAAGCAGCAGAAACTGTGGTCGGAGCCGGAACTCCAGCTGCCGCAAACTCCTGCTGATACGGAGCTGATCATCACGCCGGAGATCTTCCAGCGATGCAATGCGCTGCAGCTGCATCTGGAGGCGGTGACCCTGCAGCCGGAGGGCACCCATCGCATGGAGTTGCTGCAGAGCGAGGTGCGTCCCATTTTCACCGTGGAGTGCCAGCTGTCGGAGGACTTGATCAAGTCGGTGGCCCGCTACCCCATGTTTCATGTCATGCAGTTCGAGTCGGAGAAGTTTCAGAGCCTGACGCAGTGCACCCGTTTCGGTCAGACGCAGACGCGCGAGGTGCAGCTGGCCTGGAAGGACAATGGGGATATGGGTCATGTGGATCTGACCATTTGGTGGCGTGAGCCGGGCACCTGTCTCAACGAAATGCTCGGCATGGGCAGGCTGCACCTCAGGGAGCTCTACGAGGCATTGCTGCTGGAGCAGTGCAAGTGCGTGGCTGTCAAGCGGCGCGACGTCCACCTGGGCAGCATCTATGTGAAGATCAGCCTGCGCTTTGACGAGCAGCTGGCGGCCAGGAGTATGGCCAATAAAAATATCTCGAATATGGTTGGCCAGGAGCCGAACCAAAACCTAAAACAGATTCCCAATCTGAATCAGAACCAGAGCGAAAGTGGCAACAGCAGTGGCAGCACCAATCAGGCAGCAACCGCCCCAGGTGAATATATATGACTAATGTCGTGTGGCTGCCACCTACAACAACAACAACAACAGATACCCAAACAACTAAAACAACAACCAATACAACCAGAACCAAACGATTATCACACGCACCACCACAACCACACAGCTGCTACAGTGTCACCACGCCTCCGCCTCCTGCAAAAAATCCTCCACACCCTATTGGCCGCCATTGTACAAGTGCTGCCCACCATTCTGTTTCAATTATTAATAAACTATTTTCATTTTACCTGCGAAAAAGATGCAAAAAAAGAAACCAAAACAAATCAAACAACAACAAACAAACAATTTCTTATGTGTTTTATGTTTATTTTTTCCACACACTGTATTTATTTCGTTATTCCAGAGCTTTTGTTGGCCGGCACAGTGGGTTTAGATGGGCACAAATACATAGATCAGAAGTAGCTGGGGAGGGAGGGAGGGTATACAAAAGGACAAATATGCTTGAAATCATACTGAATAGCTGAATAGGCACTTAGGCGTATATATATATAGTATATAGAGGAGGATACATGTATAGAAATTCCTTAGTTTTTGTTCCACTGTGCTCCGTTGTCCATTATTACCAGCAAATTCCAGTCGATTCCAGTTAACAGTTGTCCGTTGCCCACTGTCCGATGTCCGCTGTCCGATGTCTGCTCTCCGCTGCTTTCCAGTTGCCGAACAGATGGGCACGTGCCATAACCCAATCGACTGACCAACTGTCGTCGAGGTGATAAGGTTTTGATTCAGATCTCCGTGCTTTAATCAGGGAGCGGCTGGGTGGAGAGGGATCAAGGTCCGTTGAACTATGATTAATCTGTAGATGGCTAATCGTCTCCTGGACTCTGCCGCTCTCTTGCAGTTAACTACAATTCAAAGGAAGCTCCGACACCCCCTCAACCACCACCACCGCCACCGCCACCACCCCAAGCGAACAACAACAGGAAAGCCTCACTGGCCAGCGTGAATTTCATGGCAGAGACAACCAAGGTCCGGCTGCTCCGTGGCTACATCTACGCGGGAGAGTTGCGGCAGTTATCCCCGACAGACACGGCCGCCTGCCAGGAGCTCTCGCTGCAGCCGTTCTGGCAGCCACAGCCACTGGTAGCAAAGCTCAACGATGTGGGCTCGTTCCAGCTGCAGGAGCAGTTCGCCATCATCAACGATGAGAAGTTTCTGCTGAGCGTTGATCGTCAGCAGCTGGTGCTGGAGCTGCGTCCGCTGGGCGGACTGGTGAGGCTGCCGCTCCACCAGTTCTACATTGCGTACAGGGATGCCAGCATTACCAATCATCTGTGCAAGGGAAAGGTAAAAGATCGCATCAGATCGAACTGATCTTTATGTCTAAAAGTGTCGTTTTTTTGTTTTTTGCAGCTACCTGTCATCTCCATCGATGGCTGGACTCCCATTTTCCATCCGCAGACGCAGGCGCAGCTGGGGGAGCTCAAGGTGCTTCTAGCCATTGGCAGCGAGTCGCAGATTGCACAATTGAAGCAGCAACGTGGCTTTGACCAGGACAACAATCAATTGCCAACGACCAGTCGCACCACAGATCTGCTGGACATGCTACAGAACGCACTGACTGCGCCTCCACCACCCGCGAGAGCTACTGCCGTTGGGCCAGGTCCGTCTATCCCTCGAGCAGCTCCTTCAGCAGCCAGCAAATTTAGTTTCGACTTGCATATTGTGGGAGCAACTGGATTGCCGCTAAATCCGGGCTATGGCAAATCGGGCAAGAAGCAGGCCAAGCGCCAGGCGGCGGCCAGGCAACGATTCCCACCCAACGAATCGCCCAACACCTATGTGACCTTCCAGGCCCTGAACAGCAACAGTCCGACCTACAAGTCGCACGAGGGTCTGGTCTATGCCACGTCCGTTGTGCAGAAGTCCACCACACCGCAGTGGCGGGCCAAGTTCCGAGTGGAAGTCAACTCGGATTACCTAAGCAATGTGAGTACAAGTTATCAACGAGTCTGCACTCAGTTCCCAACTCTCTCTCTCTCTATCGGCTTGCAGCCCCAGAAACTCTTTATTCTGAAGCTGTGGAAGAAGGCAGCCTTAGATGCAAGCGGCATCGCCGAACCCACTCCGTTAGAGGATGCCATCATAGGGTTTGCTGCCTTGAATCTTAGTCACAAGAAGCCAGGAGGCGAGCCATCCTTTCCCAGGGGCTGGCACAATATTGTGGATTTCAATGGGCGCGTGACCGGGGGCCTCGAGGCCCATGTGGAGCCACTGCAGCCGCCCGGTGGCACCAGTATGGATACCGTGATAGATCAGTTCGAGCAGTCGATGGAGCTAACCCACCTCCATCTGGGGCAGGCCATCAAGCGCAAGTACACGGAGCTAGAACAAATCTCTCAGAGATTGCGCACTCGTCTGGTGGACGTCACGGAGGAGGCTCTGACCTCACCGGAGTACGATGTGGATGCAGCACTGGATAACTGGAAGATGCTAGAGACGGATGGGTATGACGACGAACTGGTGGCTGACTTTGAGCGGGCCCTGCGTACACCCACGCCCCCCAATTCGCCACCGCCCACCGTACAAAGTCCAAGCAAGGAAACTGGCCGGGAATAGCCCAGGCCTGGGCCCACAATTAGTCAGGCAATATTTTTCCCCTCGCTACATCTCGATGTTGTCGTTGATAAAGGCTCAACGCTAGCTCTAGTTAACCACCTAGTTATACACTATATATTATATGGATCTTGATCACACACCCACACACACGTATGTTGTACTTAAATTGGCATCCCACTTTTGCCTCGATTAACCTTTTTATGGCTGTCTATATAGCATAAAATCAAACCAACCAACCAACAACGGTCACCCAGCGATCGTTCCATTGAAATACAAATTATTGATTGAATATGGTTTGGGGAGAATCGCGATCCCCAAGCCCCACATGCATTATTATGTATTAGTTCCGAAACTGTGTTAATCACCTAAGTATTTAGACATTATTACTTAATGAAAATTTAAATAAAAATGCTAACGCAAAGTGCACAGAAACTGCGGGTATTGAGAGTTATTCTTTTGTTAAAGAGGGACACAGGAGAGTCTTTTATCGATGGCTTGTCATAGATTAATAACTATGTATTTTAGCATGCTACTATGGAAATTAACAAAATATTTTAGCGCACCTGCGGGGAAATTCACGCTGACTCATTAATCACTATAGAAATTATCAATATTTATGATGAAATGGAAAGACCTGTTGACAAACATCTATATGACGTCGCCATTCATAGAAATATTATTGCATTCTCAGCCCATATATATATGCAATGTCAGCCAAAGTCTATGAAAGGTAAAGGGAATCTGGAAGATTTCCTGTAAGATGGTATAGCTGTATACTATTCGCCTACACATGCATCACATTCGATTATCTGGCATGGAAACTCTCCAAAAGATTAGAAGATTCAAGCAGTTTGGAGATTGTAGAAGGCTGTACCTAATTTAGCTTATGTTAATTTCAATAAATTGGTGTATATATTCGGATCGTAACTTGCTCTAATCTAAGTAACATCTTTACCTACAAGTTTATCTTGGGTTTGAAATTCAGTGGAAGCACTGGATTATCTTACCATTGTTAAGATGATAACTGAGAACCTTACACGGTATCTTAAGGAGTGAAAGGTCTAAGCCCTAGCCCAATCCAACAGATTTCAGGCATCTTAATCCTAAGAGATAAGGATCTCTCTGTGTAATGAAAAAATTCAGCAGAAACACATTCCTTAAGCCCCCTCATAATCCCATTTCAAAAGGAAACAAAGTTGTTAAACAAAATAGTTTTAAATAGATATTGAAAAATATTTTAATATAAAAATTGTTACAACTATTGTGTGATTTTTTTTTCGTGGGGTTAATAACCCCTCCCTCACATATTAATATATATATATATATACATATATATCATTTAATATATATATATGTATGTTTGCCATATCTGGATTTTCTTTTTTCATCTCTTTTATCGTTTTTTCTATATGCTAGAAAATCAAAAAAACATTTCACGATTGCACAACAGAAAATAATGATTTTGGATATACAATGTGATTCAACTACAATATGTCTATGATATACGGATACGGGGGTGTATCTGATGTAAATGAAATACTTCGAATGGATTGGATTGATTTGGAGGTGTACATATATATGGGTGAATCCTAAGAGCGAAACAACTACAGAAAAGCATATTGTATATAGAGGCTATATGCGGCTTTTCTGTACTCAATTTGCCGCCTAGATACATATAACGTGTTAAATATACATATTTAAAACTATAGAATATGTAATGTAATAAAAAAATCTGTTAATCTGTTGTGTGTTATACCCGCTCCTCGAGGCTTGCCCTAGCTTGATGGCTTACAAATTACAATGTTATGTTACGAGAAAGTGTTACACAGATTGGTCTCTGTCGAAAAATACAAATGAGCTGGAATACGTTTGGCGATTGTTTTGTTTTGTTTTGTAAATGGAACGCTTCGGGTTCGGATTCTGTTCTTCGGTTGATGTGCATATTGATAGATTGAAAACGTTTATAAATCTGTGTGTTGCTGTATCTGTTTTTGTTTTTTGCTTTTGTTTATGGCGTCTTTCAGTCAATGACCACGCGGGTGAGGAGTATGCCGCGCTTGCTCAGCCACAATCTATAAATACACCAGTACATAATTATTAATCAATGCCCAGAGATTGTCGACTGAAGGGGATATGCTTACCCAAAGCCGGCACCAAGCAGCAAGGACAGGACATTGGTGAACAGCAGCGAGTAGAGAATTTCGCGGGAGAACAACGATTGGGCGCCCAAACGCTTCAAGCGTATGGAGTAGCCGCCAGTAGTCTTCTTTTTCTCCTCCTCGTCGCCAGCCTTATGGACAGATTCGAACTTCCAGTTTCTGCGATACAAAAATATATCTTTAATAAATATTGTTCCACAAATATTAATTCTTGGTCATACTTGGGTGGCTGCTCATCTGCGCCACGATTCCAGTTCTGCAGCCAATCTCCATTGTCTGTATTCTGTTTTTCTCCAGCCTGCCAACAAAAGAAACGTACACCAGTATAGTATCAAGTTCTGTTCCAAGGTTGAACATCCGTTTTTCTCTGACTCACCTTCGTCCAATAGTTAATGTAGACGTTTCTCAGCTCGTCGTCGGGACAGAGTTCCGTTTGAGGACTGTTCGGTGGGCTCTTGGGGCTGTCTCTGGGCGTATCACGACGAGAGCTGGCCAGCGAGACCACACGGCTTGACTGGTTCGATTCGCGCTGTGCCTCGCGCAACAAGCGCAGATACTCCTCCCCATTGTTGAACGGCAACGGTGTGATTCTGTCGGGGCTCTTGATACCGGCCATGGCAGCTGTTGTGCTCAGTTCAATCCAAGATTCTGCAACAGTAAATAACATGAAATTGGGTTATTATGATGAAGCAACAAAGAGTAGGACAAATACAGAGAACCGAATGAAATCTGTAGCCAAATGGTGTGAAACTATCTACATATTGAGTTGTTTGTATTGGTTACTGGTTAAATATGGCCTTCGTTTGTTTGTCCAAACTGTTTTGAGCTCAATTTTTCATTTAGTGAAGCAAATACTCTGCCAAAGTATCGAATTATTGACGGACCGAAAATACTGTACATAGTAGCCTAAACTGGTCAGAAATTAGCCATAATTATCATTTCGAGAGTTATATTGACCTTTCAGAGAGCAAAGCCTTTTGGGGTAGTATTTGTTAAGAAAAACCGTCGACAATTATGACTGGAAAAGCATCAAGCATCAACTGCTAAGAAATTCGTGAAACAAAGAAGTTTGAAATTCACTTGGATCGACACCACAGTTTGACATTCACAGTAAAAAAGCCGTTCAACGGCCGCTGTGCTGTGGCTCCAAAAATACAACGGCGTCACCCCCTTTGCAGGCCTTTGTTTTTGTTTGTTTAAACGTAAATAAAATCATTACCCCGTGCGCGCGCGCCCTAATGTCTGTGTGTGCGTGTCGGGTACGTGTTCTCGTGCCCCATTGATAAGGCAGACACCACACTACATTACCCTACCTTCCCCACACAATATCCGTTTCATTTATTGGAGTACGAGTTCACACACACACACACACACACACACTAACACATGTACGTTTGTGTTTATTCCAATGCTTATCAACATGACGAGAAATTATAGTTCCAAAGCGATGCAATATGTCTGTGGGGAGAATCGTGTGCAAATACCACGCGAGAGATGCTTGGCTTGGCTGGCTGATAAGGAGCGTACAACAATAACGGCAACTAATTTAGTAAAAATTTCACAGACCGAATCAATTAGGGAACAGCCAAAAGGAGGGGGAGAAGCAAAGTGCAGGTTCACTCACGTGGCAGACCAATCATGTTGACAAACGAATACTAAATGATAAGTCTAGACAGGGTCTCAAAGATTTATTCGTAATAGTTTTCGCAAACCCTAACACAGGTAGACCACGGATTAGGGCGCACATATTAGTTACCGGGAATACCCACTGTATAGGGAACAGGTACGAAAGACAAAAGCGTGTTTAGGGGTGGAAAAACATGGCTTGCTGACTCACGGCACGTAGGCCGACAGCAACAGTGTATGCGTGTGTGCGGTCTCCCTCTCTCTACGTTGTTGTTATTGTTTGTTTGCATCTCTTGATGCGCAGCTGCTGCGGCTGTCCCTGAGCCCAAGTCCCATTGAACCGCCTTTTATTGGATGACTCCTCCATGTCAAGAATGCATTAGTGGTAGTATCGCGTCTGTGTGTGGAGGATGATGATAAGTAAGCAGAGCCGAAAAATAATTGAGGCCAAAGCCAAAGTCGCAATTTCTGGAATATGTGAGAAATCAACAACAATCATGGGAGCATAGGGAAATGCCCTCCTACAATTGCTGGCTTCTTAAAATATTTATTTAAAAATTATTTTAGCAAACAACAATGAGAGGGGGAGCTGTGGGGGTAGACGTAGGCTGTTTGACGTCAAACGGTAAAGTGCAAAGTAAAGAGACATGGCATGGGAGGAAATGGCCATGCACTCTCTCAGTGCAAAAGGGGGGGGTTCTTTGTTTTCACTCTTTTTTTTGCGGCGAAGTTGTGTCTCTTTGTCGCCATACTGCTGCAAGGGGGCCGCAACAAAGCAAAGCCTTGAAATAGAAGATGCAGGACGGGGCGGATGCAATTGGAGCACTGGAGAAGAGACGAATAAGCGGATACAAACAAAACACAAACACAAACATCTATTTATAACGCGTCGCACAACTACAACTACAGCAAATAGAACGCATAGTTCCAAAATGGGTTAGAAAAAGGTATATTAAGTAGAAGCTAATGCGCATTGTTATTGTTTAACGAAGATAATGAAATTTCACAATACACAGAAAATAGCAATGCATAAGCAAACCAAAACTTACCGCCCAGCAAATCTTCAGTCGATTTTGGTGTCGTAGACATGTTGTTTAGTTATTTGTGTGTGTGTGTGTGAGTATATGATAGGGCTTTCTGTGTTCCGAGTGTTCAACACTTGTACACCAAAAGATAACTCGTTCTCCGCTGGTATTTAGTCAGATTAAATTCCACTTTAATTTATTCGACTAGTTTTTGCCAGACTACCGTGGGCCCTTTATTATTATTCGCACGCTCGCCTGCTTATGTGTGTGTATTCGCTTTTTGTGTTAGTGTATGCGTGAGAAAATGCGTTTTACTTTCTGTTTGGCGCTGATTCTCCGTCTGTGCACTGATTGATCGATGCTATTGTTTTTTGTTATAGCCAAGCTAACAACTTGCACTTTACTATATTGCAACTTTGTCCAATGCTTAGCCGAAGCGCTTTCTTTTAGGACTAAATTAAAAACACGGAAAATATATTCTACGCGCCAAGCTTAATGCGTAGTAGAGGCGTCAAACCATCGAGAGCACTATCGATAGTATCGATATTTTACTGCTAGCCTCTACTATCGACGGTTTTGCGACTATCATGATAGTATCGAGCTACAGTCGTTGCGCTTTTGATATGATATATTTGGATTGGCTGCTATAAAATACGAAGACACATTTGTAAACAAATCGACTGCCACCAATCCAAACATATCACAAGCACAACGACTGTAGCTCGATAATTTCTAATCTAATCTAATTTTTACAATGGACAAGTTCCCAAAAGGCGCGTACTATCACGATAGTATCGATTGTTTTTTTCAAAACATTCAACGTTGATATTCCTCGAATTTGATATTCCGTTTAATATTACTAGCTAGTTGGCCCTCTCAGCCCTAAACAAATAATTTTATCCAATTCATCAATAAATTTTGTTCAGGATTGGCTAGTTTTCAGAACATTTTTTCATTGGATTTTACACAATACACAATAAGGTTCAAACAAAAACGGCCAAAGCATAAAACTTAATTGTGTACGAAATGTGACGTCAGTGTTGCTTGTCAACCAAGTTTCTTCTATGCGTATGTACTTTTGTATACCTTATTTCCTATAATTTATGTTAAATTTGTTGTTCCAAGCTCCATTGAAACATTAATAATGATTTTATCCTAGATTGAAATGTTTTTACCTATTAATGCATATGTTTTGTGTTTTATAAATATATTTATCCCGGTTCTGATACCTATTATTGGTACCCACGAGCTGCAAAATTTCGTTAATATCTTTAAAACAATAATTGGAGCCTAAGATTACAAACATTACCTATATTCGATTAAATCAATTTTCCCAAGGTATGCAGATTGTTGCCCATTCCGTGCCAAAGTTGCAGAACAGTGCTGCCAATTCATTTCCCCATTTTGCTGAAAGTTATCCCATACAAATCAAATGTATCTTACGGGAAACGTACGGAACGTTGCAACAATGAATTTACATTCAATACGCGTTCCCGTTAGGAAAATGCGGCCTCACACCACGAAAAAGAGGGAAAAGTCACCAAGTCTCTTCACCTCGACAAAGAGAGCAAACAAAATTTTAAAAAACCACCACGATTTGAGAGCGAATGGTGTGACCATGCCAGGGCGAACGGAACCGATGTATCGATAGGACCACCAAATATATTGCAATGCACTCGACGTTTATTGCTATCGTGTTTTTAAAAACAAATCGAACGTCTCCAAATCACTTTTTGCCACATTTCGCACAAAATAAAAGTTATTTCCCTGCACTATTGTCCTGGGCGAGATGTACAAGTCCTTCTGCGGATCGTACTGTGCACGGCCCAGTAGTTTGAGAAACTCGTGACGTTCGCGCAGCCGAAATTCGCGTGAGGCCAGTAGCTCGGCGCACTGCACTATCTGGGAATGCGGCAGGCCCATATCCTTGTGAATATAGCTGAATCTCTCGACCAGATCATCGGGAGCTGCAAGGATACACATTTGTTAGCTCATAAGTGCGTGCGGAGAGGATTGGCCAAGTCCACTTACGTGTCATCATCAGACGGGGCTTGCGCACGATCAGAGATTGCAGCTCCTTGGCAGTGAAACCCATTTCTTCCCGGAGGGTAAACACAGATTTACGCAGGTGTTCCATATTATAGGTGATCAAATTTGGCTCCTTGGTGGCCATCAGACGCAGGTCGTGCCCACTCAAGCGAAACTCCTTTTGGAAGTAGCCCAGGCGGCGATCCACGCGCTTCGTGGAGAACATCAGCCAAAACGGATTCTGTGTGAAGATGCGCTGTCTGGCCTCGTCCGAGAACCTTTTGCTCTTCAGATACTCCACGCGCGTCTGCAAATCATCCAGATCTTCTTTGAAGAGCAGCGGATTCTTTGTGATCATCTTGCCAAAGTCATCGGGAGCAATGCCTTGGTCTGCGAGAAATGACAGACACGGCTTGATGTTCTTCTCAAAGTCCAAGCGCAGCACGAACTCGCCCAACCCCTTGCGCCTCTCTATGCTGTGCAGATCCACGCCCAGGCTAACAAGTTGCTGCAGTGTGCTCGAGTTGTTGACATAGGCTGCCAGATTAAAGGACGGCACGTGCGCTTCCCGGCTCCCAAAGTCCAAGGCAACTTCACTGGCATTTTGAGGCGTCGGCTCCAGTTCCTGGACATTGGGTTTTGTGGGCACGTCTATGGATATGAGTGTATCCGGCTCACTTTGTATGCTTCGGTTGGCGCGTATATGTCGGCATTGTGCGCCAATTGCTTTGAATTGCGCTGCATTCTGAGAACTTTTTATAATAAAGTTACGTATTGTCGAGCCAAACATGTTAACATATCGATGTATCGCCGAATCTGAGCCATATGTTCTCAGTGCTGGAAAATGATTAAAAATAACTGCAGCTATTCGATATATATTGATATACATCGGAGGCTGTTTGTCACATTCCCGATCTTGATTTTTCTTTATTATTTTTACGCCGAAAGACGGTGACATATTTGTGAAATTTTTGTGTGGTATCACTCGCGAAGACATTTGACATTTGAAAGACGTTTGGGTTTGTTGGACAAACTGGACACCATGGACAAGTTACGCCGCGTTTTGAGTGGCGATGAGCCCACACCTGAAGAGGAGAGCAGCATAATAACACAGGTGAAACCCATTGTTTATGGCAGCCTCCATTAACCACTGATCCCATTTGCAGCTGAAGATGGAGGGGGTCACGCTTTCTGCCATACACCCCCACGATCACATGAAGACCGAGCAGCTGTGACTCAACGCTTATCAGCCGTATTAATTATTGACCCTCCCCCCATTATTTACAAAATTCAGATTAACGACATGTCCACGCTGAGCTGGTCCACACGTATCAAGGCATTTTGCATATGCTTTGTCTTGGGCATCTTCCTATCGCTGTTGGGCTCTATTGCTCTCTTTCTGCACCGCGGCATTGTGGTCTTTGCGGTCTTCTACACATTGGGAAACATCATCTCAATGGCCAGGTGAGGCGTTCTGTTTGACATCTGGCTGTTTCACATGAACCAGCTAATGAGTTTATCTTCTCCTTCTAGTACATGTTTCCTGATGGGCCCCTTGAAGCAGATCAAGAAAATGTTCGCCGACACGCGCCTGATAGCCACCAGCATTGTGATCGTGGCCATTGTTATGACATTCATTTCCGCCATAGTGGTACAGCATGATCCCATTTTATCCCATTTAAAATTATAATTTCAGTTTTGATTTGTATTGTTTTTTGTTTTTGTTTCGTTTATCCATTTTTAGTTGAAAAAGGCTGGACTCACGCTTATATTCATAATCATACAATCGTTGGCCATGACCTGGTATTCCCTCTCTTACATACCCTATGCTCGGGATGCGGTCAAGAAGACCGTCTCGGCATGTTTCGAGGTTTAGAAAGAAACGTTCTCACTGCGTTTCGGTATTTGTACATAACTCGAGAAAATTCAAAATACGTCTCTTAATTTAATTAACAGAAATCGATTAAACAACTGTATTAATCTAGCATTAGCACGTAGATATTGATTTTAAATGTACTATTACTTTACTTTTGCCCATTAACAAGTATTGCCTTTGGTTCTTCTTTTCTCAATAAATATATATATATATTATATACATATATTTACATATGTTTTGTATTTAATTTAATCAGTACAGTTTTCATTGAGTGTATGTACAACGTGTGTTTCGGTTCTTTGATTTGCTTTTGTCTGTTCCACATTGTTCTTTTATTTAGTTTTTCATTTATTTCACCTTCTTCTCCTTCTGCGGCGTCAAGTTACCTAAAAGAGCGGAAACGAAGCGGTTTTTAGATCGTTAGGAAAGTGACGGTGAAAAATGAGTTAAACTATTTTAATTTTAATGTCGTAGTGCGCAGTGCTTGGGGCATCAATGGATTTACTTCTCGACACTTGTGCTATTTATTTATGGTGGCAATGCAATCCAAAAAGAGAAATAGAGAGACAAAATAGATAGAGAGAGAGAGAGAGAGAGATGGCAGGGAGAATTCAAAGGTAGAATCATGAGTTCAGAGAGACGGCGAATTTGCGATTAAAACAATTGAAAGAGAGCCAAAATTAACACAAAGTCAAAAAGTGCTGAGCAAATAATTTGTTAGTAATAAATCTGTGACAACATTGGAAAAGTGAACAATGAAAATTGGTTCATAAATTTAAGATTTTCTACCACCAGTCAAAGACTGAATTGATTATCACTTTAAGCGTACATTGTTAATCTTATCTTTATTCCCCATTTTCATTTGTTTCTAACCAATGTTGCCTGCTGGCTTAGCCGCAAACCGGGACATACCTTTCGATGGCGATAGCGGAATGGCAGGACTTTGGTCTTTTCTCTTGGTGGGCGAAGGGGTTTCCTTTTTCAGCTGGCGTTGCTGCAACAAATAAACCAAAATCATTTAGCATAATGAAGCAATCAGACAAAGTTTCTAGGCCACAAACCTGCCATAAAACAGCAACTGCCACAAATGCCACCGAGATGATCACTTGAATCGACAGCCACAGGACAATGTTGATGGCTTGCGTGCGCTCAAACAACTCCTTGCCATTCTTTATGCAAAGAATGGCCTCAGAGACCATGATGGCGCCGTAAACCCAACACTGGGTGCCGACTCTCTTGCAGCGCGTATCAGTGACATATACATAATATTGCCTGTGAAAGATACAAATTTAGGAAAGGTTTTTGGGGTTGGGCAACTAAGAAGATGAAGACTCACCTAACCGATGGCGCCACAAAGAGACCAATGAATATGAGACGTCCAATGACAATAAAGTGATCCGGTGGCATTTCGAAGATATGCTTCAAGAAGAACGTATTCAATTCTGTGACCTGCCAGAAGATGACCAGCTGTATGACGGCCGCGAATCTCATTGCTGTTGACTTTGGATCCAGCCAGCGAATGGCCGTCCAGCTCTCCGGAGTAAACTGCAGCATGGCACGCTTTATCTTGCCCGTTGTGGTGGATATATCCTTAATGCTGGCCCACTTGTATTCGCGCATTTCGAGCATTTTGCATATCCATAGGCCCACATAAATGCCCAAGCCATTGCAGATAATGACATCCAGGATGAGGGCATCCCACCAGCATTCAATAAAGTTGGGCAGCAGATGGGCAAAGGTGATTTCGGTGATTTCCCACATCACCGAAATGGCCCACAGAATGCCCATGTGGCGGATGAGGATGGCCTTGAAGGCCCAGCCCAGGAAGTGACCCCAGGCGAAGACATCCAAATGTCCCTTGACACGGTCCCAGCTGATGTCCGTACAGTTGACACCGTATTCCTGAGGGAAATATACAAACAGATATGTAAGTACTAGAAGCCATAGCAGTGCCATTGGGATTATTACCTTCTCCATGTCAATGTGAAAGTTCTTCAGTTTGGGATCGATCCAATAGAATATGCTCCGTATGGTTGGATAGTTTTGGAACATCAGAAACTGCAGCGTTAGCAGATACAGCACCGAACAGCCGAACAGTATCCGCCAGAAGGCCGGATGCGGCCTCGTAAATGGTCCATTGGGTAATGCCAGCACCGAGATGATCAGAAAGAAGAACACAATGCAGAGTAGGCCGGCCCAAAGATTGTCGTCCACATTCGTCTCGTTTCTGAAAGGATACAGCATGGGCATACGCATACCCAAAGGGTAAATCAATGGTTCTCTCGAAATGCTGGTGAGTGGTGGTGCTGCTGCCTGGTCTGATAGACCATTCGCATTCCTTATCAGCATCGTCGCACGTTTTGGTTGGGGGTCAATGATTCGTATGGATGTTGTATATAGGCGTAGTGTGTCGTTGCTTTGTTGTGGCTCTCTCTATGTGTACTATGTGTACATATGTACATATGACTATATTATTTTAGTTTTTCGGACCTTGAGCCGACTGAAATGACACATTTGGCAGTGCGTGTGCATGACATTTACCCGTTTGCCTCAAAACACACTTTCGATACAAGCAAGGTCCGACCACACAACACAATCATGAAACGAAAGATCAATAGGTGGTTGCTCCTTACCTGACAAAGGCGGTGTACATCACGGCCAGGACGGAGACGGCCAGCAGGGTGATGGTGTGTGGCTTGTAGAAGAAATCCAGCGATATATCATCCACAGGACGTTCGTTGACGATGACAAAGGTCTGGGCGATTTCCTCCTTGCGGATGCGCTGCGCGCCAGCACTGTTGTTGCCATTGTCGCTGCCCTTGCGCTCCTTCGTTGGTGTGGCAGGAGCACTGGCTGCTCCCGATTTGTACGCAGGTGGATGATCGCCATCGGCCGACGGCGCGCCACGTGAGTTGGAACGCTTCTTCATGGCGCCTTTTAACAAGTCACTCTAAATTCGATTATATTATCAGATGTAAGCGGATGGCGTGAGGTGGTGGCACTGGCGCTGGCGGCGTTGTTAGGCGGTCTGATTTCTGCTGGTGGTAGTAGTGGTGGTGGCTCAAATACATGCGGGGAGAGCAGCGGGTTGCGCAACATTCGTTTGTCGGATTGACTTCTACGGCTTTGCCGCTGCCAAAATCGCCCTGGTCCGTGTCCTGTGTCTGCTGTCAGCAATGCCTCACGCATAGATGACCGATTCCCGTTGAATTGAAGTGATTTTATTTAATCTTTTGCCAGCAATGTGTTTTGTTGTTAAATTAACATGCGCGCGGCGCGGGCAGCGACTGAAAATCGACACTTGCCGGCGGTGGAGTGACCGAACCAGTGCTGCCAGAATTTCATAGTCAATATAAGCTTCGCAAACGAAAATAGCTAAAAGCAGCTCAAATCTGAAATAAATAAGCTAAAAACTAACTAAAACCAAATACACCCCAAAAACAGAAAATAGTTTTATTGATTTTATTATACAAGCGATAACTTCAATAATTATTAATTAAAAAAACCTTATGTTTAAGATGGCATTTAACGTTTTTGTATGCAAACTGCTGCGCAATTTAGATTGAACTATATTCATTTGAATACTCGCGCCACGTCGCATTTTAAGCTGAATTTATATTCCCCCATTTAAAACAATGCTAGATCTAGCCGTAAATAGGCTAAACTGGCAGCACTGGGAAGTACCCGTAATGTGATAAGATAGCGTTGCCAGACGTCCGGAATTCGGAAAACAGCTGATAGCTCAGGCACTTGTTGACGAAAAACAACTTCAGGAGTTTGTTTCCAATTTTAACGTTTAAATTAATGCAAGATAATGTTGGACAAAGTTAAGAACGTGATTATAGTGCTCTCTGGAAAGGGTGGCGTGGGCAAGTCAACTGTGAGCACACAACTGGCGCTGGCACTGCGACACGCCGGACACAAGGCAAGTGATGGGGCCAACTATTTCACCACAAGCCATGGCAAGAGGGATGCGTAATTGTTCAAGTCTCTTTATAGGTGGGCCTGTTGGACATAGATCTCTGCGGTCCCAGTGTTCCCTTCTTGCTGGGCCTCGAGGGCAGCGACATCTATCAGTGTGACGAAGGCTGGGTGCCAATTTATCCGGATGCGAGCAAAACGCTGGCCGTAATGTCCATTGGATTTCTGTTGAAGAGTCGCACGGATCCCGTGATTTGGCGCGGTCCCAAGAAGACCATGATGATACGCCAATTCCTCACCGATGTCAAGTGGGAGGAGCTGGACTATTTGATCATTGACACGCCGCCCGGCACCTCCGACGAGCACATAACCGTGATGGAGTGCATGCGGGAAGTGCCCTGCAATGGTGCCATTATTGTGACGACGCCACAGGGTGTGGCCCTGGACGATGTACGCAAGGAGATTACATTCTGCAAGAAGACGGGCATACGGCTGCTGGGCATCGTCGAGAATATGAGTGGGTGAGTGACGGGCCCTCCTCTTGCTTCCTTTTCTTGTTTGATCAACTTATCTGAGACGCTTTCGTTTGCTTTTCACAGCTTTGTGTGCCCCAATTGCACCAACTGCACCAATATATTCTCCTCGAACGGTGGCGTTGAGCTGGCTAATCTTGCCCAGATCCCGCATCTCGGCACTCTGCCCATAGATCCACGCGTGGGCGTGCTGGCAGGCTCGACAGCTTCTGTGCTGGACGAGCTGCCCGATTCGACAACGGCCCAGGTGCTGAGGGGATTAGTTCAGCATTTGGATGGCCTAACAGCAGCCGGCCCATAGATTAAATAGTGATTAGATTGTTGGTAAGTTTTTCATTAACTTTGGTTTTATTTTTTTGCATTATTTTGCTTTTGCGTTTTACGACAAAATTTGTGTAATAATAAAATGAAATGAAAAAGGGAATGCAGTCAATGCGTTTGAGGGGAACAAACAATGTATATCATATGTATGTATCTATGTATGTATGTATATTTTATATATATAATTTATGAGTGAGAGTAACTGTATCTGTATAATTTACAATCAATCTAAACAGTACAATTTTTTATTAATACTTAATCCAATCTCCAATATCCTTTCCGTTTCTTGCAGCTCTCTTCTATCTTTTCTTTTCGCTATTTAGAGTTATCACAAAAATAACGTAAACTGTCTTAATGGAACTTTTAACTAAATTAAACTTAATTGTTGAATTTGAGCATAGCCTTAAGATCAAGATATACATATAGATAGATATATATATATACTCTATATATATGCGTATGTGTGTTTATAAATATATGAAACTTAATAACCTTTGCAGACTTTTCCAACAACTCTCTTCTCTGATAGAAATACAAAATGAAAGATCTATTGACGGATATTCGGAGAATTTTTCTCCCAAAAATACTGGAACCGTTGGTCTACTTTCTACTTTCCTTCCTTATCGCTTCGCTTCGCTTCGTTTCGGTTTCAATGTCCGTCTGGGTTCGTTTTCGCCTCCTTTGGCGCAAAATGCTTTCTTCTTTCGGTTTTATTTTTCTGATGGATCTGATAAGGTTTTTCTTTCTCTTCATTCTATGTAGTATCACTTTTGTAGCCATGCAGACTTTTTCCACTGTTTTGGTTTAAATGTTCTAGATGGACTGATGGACATCTAGATGGTAAGATCAAAAATCAGTCTGCAGGGAGGATGATAAAGGAACCACATAGCTAATGCTTCAATTCTTCTTTGATCGGCTCGCTGCCAATGGCCGGTAGCAATGGATATAGCCCCGTGTTGACGATAGGTTGTGGATTGCTTTGCGATACCACATGGTAGGCCGGGTTTTGCACTTTGCTGTTTCTTTGCTTCTTCACAATGTAAAGCATGGCAAAAACCAATAAAATACCCGCAACGACAGCGGATCCAATAATCCAAATCCAACGCCCAACACCATCCTTCTCCAGGGACACAACGTTATCGTCGTCGTCGTTATAGACTGTGCGAATGGGCCTACTGTCATTGCTATTGGAATCAAAAACCAGACTGGTCGACACGGGTGGCGGCGGTGGGGACTCCGATGTGCTGGGATAGTCGCTAGCCTTTGGCAGCGCATCTTCAGTGGATGAGGTCTCCTCTGTGCTCATCTCAGCGAGCATCTGTCCGGGGGTGGTCTCTGCATTGAACTCAATTGAATATGACACCGATTCGTGTCGCTGGGTAATCTGATCTATCTCTATTGGGGAGGCATCCGTTGAGGTTTCATAGATGTCTGTGGGGCCGTCCTCATCGAGCGGGGCAGAGCTTGCACTGAGATCGGTGCTTGGCTTTGTGGAAGTGGCATCCGATGTTGAATAATCATCAAACTCGAGGGGAACTAGGGGGCCCTCGCTGGCTGTGGCACTGCCGCTTTCCGTGGAGCTGGATGGGCTATAGATCGTTGTGCCGGAGCCCAATGGAACAACACTTGGCTCGTTTTCAGTTGAGGAAACTGAACTAGTAGCTGTTGTTGTGGGGGTGCTGGAATCATTTGCTTCATCTGGTATTGGGGTCGAGGGATCAATCATCTGCATCGTGTGATCTTCGATCTTCTCAGTAGTGCTGGCATTCAGCAACAGTAGTGGACCGCTGGTGGTGCCCCCCATGGAGGGTCTGATCACTTCCTCTTCCTCTTTGGACGGACAGACCGGACAGCAGTCGCCCTCTCTCTTAATGGGATTCTCACAGTCCGGCTCCAGGCATTGTATGGCCTTGCAGGATCGCTCACTCTGCTGATCACATTCGCACGTGGTGCAGCCGTCATTCTCCATCCAGATATCACCCTTCATTTTGGGCTCCTCATTGTAGGTCAAACAGTTCAACAACTGCTCCGACTCGTTCATTAGGCAGATGGACAAGCAGATGGAGCAGGTATGGCACTCAATGCACGCATTCGGATAGTATCGAATGGGAGGGATCGACCGATCACAGACGGGCATTTCGCTGACGCATTTGTAGCGAGAACAACAGCTGCCCGGCTTCCCGGTGCCACGCACCACCTCAACGAGCACCTGATCCGGCTCACATTCGGGCCTCTTCTCCGGACAGCTCTGGCACTTGCCCGTGTGCGGTATAATGTCGTTGTCCAGAATGGGTATGGCTGCAACGGAAGAGAAAGGTGTCAATAAATGGTGCACATATTTGCTGTTTTATTCTATTAATACTCGGGCATAGTTATTTTGACAAAGCTGAAATGTTTTGCTAACAACAAACGACGATGGCTGGCAGGTGGAAAAGCTGCCAAAGTAAATATTCTTTACTTGTTGGAAATCAATGCAACGACACGTATTTGGCCGCATTAATTATCCATTCTAGGGGATTCTCAATGGGTTTCGATGTTTGGGAAGTTCAAAGTTTGTTAAAACCTGAAGGAATACAACAAAAAATGGGAGCTTATACGGATATACAGCTGGAATCGGCATCTCTGCTTTTCCATTCTCGCTCCCTCTCCATTTGATTTTCTGATCGCGTCGACTATACACTCGGAGAAAAATGGCATAGTAAATGTCCATGTACTCGTGAATATCAACAAAAATGCGATAAAGCCTTGAACTAGAATATAAAATTGCTCTCATGGCCACCGATCACATAATTATAATCAGAATTTAATGAATTGTTCAATATATATTTAAGCAGCAATCAAGACTATACCCTTGGGCTAGGATATACATTTCCTAAGACCACAAAAAAATTCCAAAACTGATTTGAATGCCCTTCAAGTTCAATACATGCTCGTATTAGCATATCGTCAGAACGATCTTGAATTCCAGACTCTAGCACACAGCTAACATTCTATAGAGTCACTGAATAATTCAATAAATCTGGAGGTAAATTTATAAAAATTGCAATTTAATTAGGGGAGAGTTTCTCTCGCCAAAGGAAAGCCAAAGCAAAATGAAAACAGAATGAAATTTATTTTTGAGGGAATCCAAAGTACGCGAGTGACAATCTCGTTTATCATTTATTTATTGTTATTGATTTTTGACATTTTATCATTGAATTAGTAAGGGGAGAGGCGAGAAGGCAGGGAAGGGGGCTGTGGAGCGATAAAATTTTGTTTGGGGGAAACGGAAAAACAATTGCAATGCAAAACAAAACAAAACCAAACTGAAAGATTTCTTTTTGGATCGATTGAGTCAATTTGTTTTGGTGGCGGGATAGCTCCAATTTATTTATGTTATTGATACGAATATTACAAAATTCCATCCCAAAGAGTTACAACTACAGACTCCCTCCCTTGCTGCCTTGCCCCTGTCCCCTGCGATGAACGATCAATGATCACGAAGGTTATGTGTAGAGAGAGTATTTTTTCGATATTGACGTCACTGTCGAAGACTTTGTAGGTGAAGCGCAGCGCAGCGCATTTAATTGAACGTAATTTAAAATAGATATAAGTTGTTGTAGTGGTTGCTGCTTTGTTTCGATTCTTTGGCTATCAGGTTGAAGCGATCTATATGACAGCCACCAGACGATTCGACGGGATGGAATGGGGTGGTGGCAATTATTTTCGCTGTGTGCGTGCCACACGTTTATTTTTTTTTTCTGATGGAGAAGCGCATAGAAGGGCACACACCACAAATATCAGGGGTAGAGCCTTGCGTGCGATGATCAAAGCGGTATTTTTAGTTTGGAATTTACATAAACCGTCATGTGAAAAATAATAAGGATAAAATAATGCAATGCAAAATATAAGACGCTAGAGCAAACACCTGAAAATGAAATATATTCGAAAACAAAAACTTTCCCAGCCTTTTTTTTGCGTATAAATATAATTTTGTTAACTCCACGCTTAGTGCAAAGTGATGGGGCTCATCGAGTCGCGAACGTACGAAAAGTACGTACGGCCATTTGGCGGATATGCCCATGTTCTAAAAATATAAAAAAGAATTTCTCTATGACGGGTATCTAACAATAAAAATTCCAAAAGATCACGTAAATTTCCTTATCCATCGAGAGAGCACGGAATCCAAGGGGGTAAAGAAATATCTATAAAGAAAACTTTCTGTTTGCTTCAGTTTTTACCTGCAAAAAATACCCGCGATAAACAAGCAAAATACCCGTAAATAATTTCATTCTGATTTAAGTCTTTTGGGGTGTAAAATAATTTTCCAAATTATATTTAAATGCTTAGCTAGACAATAAACTTTATGTGGCGCATGATTATTGCTTTCTTTTCTCTAGATATTCATTATATTTTTCGTCGTTTTTGCACTGCCCCTTGGGGCTGGGGTTTATTGACCCAAACCGTATGTATGGTATAGTAATTCTTTTTATCGCCTTTTGGGTCAGTCAGCAGAAAGTAAAGAAACAAAAAAATATATTTATATACATATATATGAAGAGAGGAGGAGAGTTCCAGGTTCCAACGGTTCCAAAGGTTACTAAAGTGTAGATACAAATTGAATGCAAATTACCTAAGCATATATCCGCCTCATAAATGGGTCGGCACTCATTAGCAGTGAGATCTCAGATGATTATGATGATTATAGGGGATCAGAGACAGAGACAGGGAGAGAGAGAGTCACAGAGCAACCAGCAGAAGTGCGACTACTCACTTACGTCACCTCACAGCCAGCACACAGATACAACAGATACAACAGATACAGCAGATACAGCAGATACAACAGATCTTGAGGCTACACAGGCGCTCAGGCGATCCATATTTCTTTTTGATTGATCTACAGTCGAAGGTTGGCATGCAAAAATGCAATTCAGGGAGCGAGGAGAAGCCTCACACACATAAACCAGATACGCTCCGAGTCTCTGACGTTATACTGACGCGCTATGGCGGCGGCGTATCTCAAAAACGCAAAAATAAATTCCAGTACAATTAGCAGTCGGTTATATTTTTTTTTGACACGCTGCCTGTCAGCGCCGGCTCGTTGACATGCAAAGTTACTTAAACACAGCGCTTGGAAAAATCACACAACACACACACAAAACAAACATTACACGACAATATATACGTACTACTAAAAAACAAAACAAAACAAAACCAAAAACAAGTGGAGGAGGTCGTCGTTTATGTCAATTTCATATCTTAAAGGTCGAGTCTTTTCGTCTGAGAGAGGCGTGTATATACCTGACTGAAACTAGCCATTACATCCTCACACATAAATAGGTTTTTTGTTGTTTTGTTTTTTGTTTTCTGCAGTTGATGGAGTAATTAGAGACGAATGTTGTCGTTCAGATTCTGTTGAAATTTCGTGTGTGTTTCCATTTGGCAATCACGTTGAAGCCTTTGTGGAATTGTCGCATTTTGTTTGTGGCGAATTATCATATTTATGTACATTTTATCACATTTGATGGGGACAGCAGATACTCGGTATGGGCATTAGGGGAGTCATAAAACTGTGACCATGAAGGGAATTACTTGTTAAACTGTGATTTATCAACAGTAATGTGGTAGCAATTAGTGATCAGTGAATGGTAAACTGATGACGGCATGAGAATTAATGTTTGATATGTCAGGGAATTTAGAATTTTCTTTTAAGATTTAAAATAACTTAAATATATTTAATTTGAAGCTTAATAAATTTCATATTTATATTAAATTTTATATATGAAATATATTTAAATAATATATTTTCATATTTGAATTGTATCGCTTTATTCTTGTCTGGGTGTAAGTAAATACAATTTGATGAGTTCTTCGCCTAAGGAAAAAATAAGAAAAAAAACAGTGTCTAAATCTTAGCCATATTCCTAGAAAATAATTTACTCAATCCCATTAGCAATATTTTAAGACCCAAAACGATTTGTTTCAAAAATACAAATTACTTTCATAGACCGAATGACTTAACTCTCCATGCAAATAGTCACAGGTGACGCCACTGCCACTGCCACTGACACTGCCACTGATCAATGAACTATGACAGTGATTTAGAGTGATTTAAGTTCCATGACATGCCTATAAAAATGTGACCCAAAAGCTTGAGCAGCAGTAATCAGTTTTTATAGTTTTCACAAATGTATTCTAAATACTATCGTATAACTGAACTAAACTCAAAGGCAATTAATCTTCATGTGTCGCCGTAAGTAACCGTGATTTATGCGATTTAGAGCATACACGCATACATATGTATGTATGAATGATGTATGTACTCTCTCGCACTCCAAAAGGCGCTCCGATCTCTTTCCGCATAGTCTGCCAATTAAGTGGCAAGGCAAGACATAGACCCCATGATTCCTCTATGATTCCTCCGTGATTCAATGATGATTGTCCACCTCTTCACGCTAAGCATTAACATTAAACATTAGCTAGCAACATTAACGTTCTTTCCTTTGGCTAATAGTATTTCTGGCTTTGCTTCTTCTGTCACTTAACGGACAGAAGTGTAGAGTAGAATTTATGAGTGCTCTGCTAATTCGTTGGAATTGCGTAAACAAAAACATTTTTCGTATGCCCGAGGAAAGCTTTCTTTTTTTTGTTTTTGGTGTGGTACCGGACCCGTTTAAGCCCGCGGCGACAGGCATAATAAACCTTATCTTAATTATAGATCAATTATAGTAGTGGGTAGCCGTCACACACTCAGGACAAAAATATAGAACAGAACATCATTAATTATAAGTGCAAATTCGGTCTAACAGATGTGTGCGAATAGAGGTAGGTAGGCCTTTGGAAATGAACTAATGATGGGGATATAGGTATGTCATATGTTGCTACAACTTAATTTGGTTACCCTCTCTGGGGGTCATATACATATGTTGAATATACATATGTATGTTGGAAAAATGATTTCAAAAAGGGAAGCTATAAAAGTTCTTTGTATTTACTTAACAAACTAATACAATCGATTCCCAAAAGAAGTGAGAAATAATATACATATGTACGTGCCTTGACTTTAATTGGGTTGGAGGCGTATGTGGGCTTCGGGGGACTACTGATGATTATTTCGTATTATTTTTTACAAATTGCACAATTACAATTAAATTATACGCCAAAGCGTAAAATGTCTGATTAATGACAACTGGGTAGGGGGGGAGGGGATAGGTCTCTCCTCCTCCACTGCTCCCCCTCCTCCACCACTCGCAAGAGCGGAACAGATGTGCGCGCTGATATTCAATTTATATATTTTGTATACAAAATAATAATAATAATGGCAATAATTATGGTTTAATAATTACTGTATTGGGGCCCCACAATGTGTCCCCCACAAGCATTCAGTATCATGACTGACGCCTTTCTGCTGGGATTATTGGTGTTCTCGGCGTCGGTTGCCGTTCTCTTGGAGCCCCTGCTGGCCACAGTTCGTAACAGATGTCCCCACTATATAGATTCGCATATATACTACACATAAAATATATGCATGTATCATGTGTGTGTTCTCTCGCCTACTTATAGCGAAACTTTGAGATACGTTGGCGCGACATCAACTGCACGGCCATTGACCTGGCCACAACGGCCGCCTTTCACTGCATGATCGTTGAGCTGCCCAAGCGGCAGGGAAACTTCCTGAACACTCGACTCCTGTTCAATCGACCCGTGCCCAAGATGTGGGTGGAGCTGAGCGTGGGACAGATCAGTGGCAGTGGCAGCTCCAAGGATCGACCTATTCCGAACCTGCTCAAGGTACGCGTGGATGCCTGTCAGCTGTCTGGATTTCGCAGCAAGAATCGCATTCTGAATGCTGTTCTGGGCAAGCTACTCCAATCGGGCAATTATCCCAAGAACTGTCCGCTGTTGGGGGTAAGTTTTGTGCTTGTATCTAACTATCTGAAAATTTGGGTTAATCCTAAAACAAGCAGACACTGATCTGTAGAAGTTCAAGGATTACTTGAGCTGCATTAATGTTTGTTTCTATTGCAAAAAACATTCAAAATAGTTTCCAAAAAATAAAATTTCCGACCTAGGCATAGACCTCTATTCAGCAATGAAATATCCTAATAATTTATGTACACAAAAATCCTCCAAAAGGCCAAGAATTCGGGCAAAAAATATGCTGGCAAATAAACAAGACAAGGCTATATACATATGTACGATTGTTTAAAAATTCAAACATACACACACACACAGACGGCAATCATTAAAAAACGCGAATGAAACAGATACAAACAGAATATATAATCGTATATAGAAACACATAAAAATGCGTATTAACCGGAAAATAGAGCAATTGCAAACTGAAGTGACCAAATCGATTTCTAACTATCATTTCCATTTTGTCTGTCAAAGTTGTGCAATGGCTAACGAGTTTTTTTCAACAGAATGTCAACTATACGTCCACACATTTTGCCCTCAATCCGGATCACTTTCCAGCCTACATGCCGGACATGAAGTTCAACACGAAATTGGTATTCTATCAGAGCAAGAATATTACTCTGATTAGGGCCAGTGTGGATGCCGAGGTAGTGAGGCGATCGTAGAGATTCCTCGACACACGGATTTAATAATTTAATAAAGAGAAAATCCAAAGCAAAAGCCATGACTAACTTGGGGGGTTGGAGAGTGACTAATAGCTTTGGTATGTGTATTATCCATGGCATATTCACTTGATTAGAGGCGTGTCTAAAGGCTAAAATAAATAATAAATCTAAGGAATGTCTTATTGATATACATACATACATATATATAGTTTTATCAGTCTTTAGGCTTTGAGATATGGCTATGCCCCTGGAATTTCACCTGAATTTCACATTGTGTGTGAGTGTGTGCTATAATCCAGTGGTTCATGGCATCGGTATGTGGCCGTTGCTCAGCTTCCCTTCATTTTCGTTGGGAGTGTAAGCGTATCTGCTTGTCTGTGTTGGCTCTTTCAACTCTTTTTCCCCGTTTCGTATTTATTCTAAGCAGCCAGTCTCCCTCCGACTTGTTGTTGATAATGCGAGTGCACAAAAATAATAGATTAAGCGCTAAGGCACCGGGTTCTGCCTGGGGCGGACGGACCCCGAACCGGCAATCAAATTAAGAAATGACGTGAGCCTGCGCTGCTGCTGCTGCCCACCAGAGTAGAGATTTAGCGGTGAAAAAGAGCACAAACGACGGGAGCACATGCCATTGGCTTTCTTTCGGATCACAAAACAAAACCGTCGTCGTCGTCGTTTGCAATGTCATGGTCTGGTCGAGGTAGGAGGAGATTTTGAGATTCTTTCTTGAGTTTGTTTCAGATAAATTCGACGCAACGTATAACGTATGTAGTGTGAAGTTCAATGCGATAAAGTTGATTCATTGATTTACGGCAGGCTTCTTATCGGGGGAATTCGTCATGAGTATTTGAGAAATGTGCCAAAAAAAAAAAACCAAAAGGGGGTTTCTATATATTTTTTGCTATATTTGTATGGAAGTATCCCTATTTGTTTTTGTGGGTCAATGCCATTAGCATAAAAGCCACAACAAAGGTCACCATGGAGAGGGAGAAAGGGTGGTGACAGACCAGGTGAAGACCAGGAAGTCAGAAAGAGAAACACCCACCCTAGCAGCTCTAGCAAACAGGCGGGAGGGGCAAATGTTCGAAATAGCTCACTTAGTGGGTTAGTCACAGGAGGCCACCACATGCCTTTGGCTGGTGGGGGTTTGGGTTAGTCAAGGCGCGAGAATGCAGTGCAGGCCGCTATTCCGGCTGATTCGATTTCATTTCGGTAATGGAAAACTGTTTTTTTGGGGTCATAAAAAACAGGAATGGAGCGGGGTAGAAGTACACCCCAGGTACGACCTATTGGAGTGTAGTTTCTCCTCTATTACCGCTTGAAGAGAGCGCTCACAGAGAGTGGATGCAATAGGTATAGGTATAGAATGTGGTATACTACTCGTACCGCTACTTATGCCTTCGCTATTCCGAAGTTCACTTTATCGTATTCATCTGGATGGAATTTATTTGGCAAACACTGGCACTGCCAGGCCACCAGAACAATAACAACAATCAAATGGGTGTACGAGAAGGTTTATACGTAACAGAAATGTTTGTGTAGCATGCTCGGCAAACTATCTGTAGCTGTAGCTGTAGCCTGTGGCTGTATCTGTATCTGTAGCCTGTATCTGTATCTGTCGTTGTGTCACTCGTTCGCACCACTTTTGATAAGAATTCCACAAGATTAAGATGGAATTCCGAAATAAAAGTGGGTGCGTGTGTGTTTCTTTTTGTGTTTGCACTTCTGTTCCTCCGCCTTCTTCTTCTATAAAGAAATCAAGACTCCACTCCAGCCCTCCAACACTCCAAGGTTAAGTTCATTCGATTCTTGTGGTTGATTAAAACACATGTTCCTTCAGATACAAATCATTGATGGAGTCAGGCGGGTGGGGGGAAATGTGTGCAGGGTTTCGGAGTGATCTGGGAGGAGAGAAACTGCTTGGGAATGGATATTGTTTTTCTCTAAGAGTTTTTCATTTTCGAATGCTCTGACTTTATTTTAGCGTTTCCTGTATTAGATTCTTCATAAAATTTAATTGTGTAGTTTATTCCTTCTCTACTCTCTTTAAACTTTCTAAAACTATTTTATAACACTTTTTAGAGCATATATTTTATGGCTTAATATATTTTAGTTAAATTTTCGAATTTATTGACTGGATACTCGGTAGTTCTATATATATAAGTTTTATAAACTTTCCCTTTCCTGACCCATTTAATCTTTTGCCCCCTCCCACGCACAGCCTTCCCCCTTTGCCCATTCTCTGTGACGATCAAGGGCATTCCGGTTCATAGAAAAACAAACCCAACATGCCAAACGAAAAACCAAACAAAAACGAATCAAATAAAAAATAAACAAAAAAGAAATGAACAAAAAGAAAGAAGAAAACGAAAATATAAATATAAATAATACAATCAAAAATACAACTAAAAATACAACACACATACTACAAACGGTTGCGCCGCCTTTTTGAATTATCAATGAAATTCGAAAACACAACAAAACAAAAACACAACCAAAACAGAACCAAAACAGTAAAGCAAAGAAATAAAGAGCTCTCTATAAACGATATTCCGACTATCAGATACCCCTGCTATTCAGATTAATTTATGATTCAGCGATTGCAAAAGACACAAGAAGATCCGAATAGAATGGAGTTCCTCTGCCCACAATCAGCACAAAAAAAGAATAAGTAACGATCAGGAATAAGTAGATTTCTATACATATAACCATAGATAATAACCTACATATTCTATTCTTCTAAAGAAAAGATTAATTTATGCGATATTTTGGATGCCACAAATGATATTCAATGGTGCAATGGCGTGGGTCTGCCTCGCGCATACCCTAACAGAAACGGGGGTATTACGACGCAACATGTGTTTGCGAGAGAAAACCAAAAACAAAAATCGGGTATGCTGAGAAGAGAGGAAGAGAGCCAGAGCCAGAGCCAGAAGAAATGGCGAAAAGCCAAATGGAAATAGTTTTAGACACGTCATAAGATCCCCACCGTGGGGGTCTATATATAGCCACATGATGCTGCTGCTGTGACGTAGTTCGGGCCCATAAATATTTTTGTTGCTTTTTAAGAAATATCTTTCCCAAAGACCAAACCAAATCTCGATGAGTAAACAAAATGAAATGTATTGAAAAGCCACTTGAACCGAACGTATGAATCAGCTTCATTAATGCCCTGAATTACGCGCTTTTTTATGGAACTATTTTCAGTATTATTCACTCACCTAATAATCCACCAGCCATCCAGCACATAAGGAAGCAGCAAATAATAATGTTTAAATTGGCCATTTCACACGTGATACGTTTTTATATATATCGGATGTATATATATATATATTTATATGAGATATGTTTGCACTATCTTTTCGATTGTTTGTTTTTCTTTAGTTGCTTTCGCTTAAAAACACTAAAACTCTGAAATTACATTAAAAGAAATATTAAAAAAATTAGTTTATTATTGAAAAAGTTGCTGTGTGCTTGCTGTTGCTTGCTTTTTATAATGTAATTAGCTTATACATTTACTTTTATTAGAAGTCAACGTTAACTGTTGCCAACAATTGGCAGATATGGTGAAATATTTGTATATTTAGGTGTAGAATTTCCGCACACCGCAAAAAGGCGCAACCAGCAGTGGCAACTGCGCGACAGCAACTGCACGGATATTTGCAATGCGCTTTGGTATTTATACTTTTCGAGATCCGTTCTCCGTTCTCTTATCTCATGTCTCTTGTCTCATCATATACACGTGCAGGTACATATTGCACTTTGGACATTTGAGGCAGAAAATGAGAAGAAGAGAAATAAAGTCGCCAGCTAGTCGGCCAGCATGTCTGGAATCTGTTTTATTTCACTGCCACTTGCAGAGAGTGGCAGCACAGCTTCGCTTTTCCCTTGCCAATAATATTCGGATCTCATCTATTGCACTTTGGACATTTGAGGCAGACAATGGGAAACAAAGTCCCCAGCTAGTCATGTCTGGTATCTGTTTCACTGCTCACTCTTTTCCCTTGCCAATAATATTCGGATGTTTCATGTTAAGTGCCCCGAGTACATTCTGATTAAAATGTACACACGCCTTTCCCACCTTTCTTATTGTTGTGTGGTTTCTTTATACCCTATAGCCCATGTAGATTAAGAGGGTATGTTGAATGGATATGACAGGGTGAATTGATATATAAATATTCCCGATAAGAATCAGCAATCAAGTAGGAAATATCTGATTCTTAAACTGCATTTTAGCTGTACATTTTTGCAGCTATTTTCCATCTATTTCCCAGTCAATCAACCGGCTGTTGTTCACTTTCCTCTTACTTATTTGGATTTAAGCAAAGTGTCGTGCGGGGTATCAAAATAGTCGTAATACACCCCTCTTTTCGATTTGGCGACCGATAAGTGCCATAACATATGCCAAAACTGATTGCTGATAACTCTTTACGTTTGATACCGAGCCCCAACACGCGGGCTAAGTAAAGTAAACCATACATGTTCGAGTATTGCCTTTTTCTCTTTTTCATTTTCTACATTTTGTGGGCGAGCGGGCTCAAGCACAAGCAAATTGAAACTTTTCCGAAAAATGTGTGGTCCGAGGCAAATACCAAGGCCAATATACACAATTTTTTCCCTTATTTGGCAGAAAAGAGTGCACTACAGATACACAGACAGACAGACAGACAAACAGCGACGCGACACACACACACTCCGACTCAGAGAGGCGGCAGTGGCAGGTATGCATTTTGCAGTTATGTGTATGTTGTTCATAAGTAGTGCTCCTCGATGGTTACATCACACCATTCGGTTGCCATGCGCCTGGGCTTTTTGCTCCTGTTGCAGTGTAGGCGCATGTGCTGCCGGTCCATCAGGCAAGTCTATGATCGGTCACCACACACACACATATAAGGAAATAGCTCTGACGAATGTGGAGTATTCGCACCATTAGTCATAGTCATTCACTTTTTTTTTTTTCGCCCGCACCATTGTAAAAAAGAAATTGCGCAGATTGGTTAAAAAACAAGACAAATTCGCATAGAATCGCGAAATTAGGGCGCTTGGCCTACACAGATTATATACCTACATACGCATACAATACGAGAGCACAACATATAGACAGAGACAGACAGTCAATGTACAGATTTTCTCGGTTTTATATACCCGTAACGTGCCGTACCGTACCGTACCTTTATTTATTATTTGCCAAGAGTCCAACTGATCCAAAAATAAAACGTCATTGTATTAATGTACTTTTTCTTCAATTGCCTTTTTTTTGTTTGTCCATGTTTTTTTGTGTGGTGTTTGTTTTCTTGGCGTTTTTTTTAATGTGCTTTTTTTTATGGCTTTGGCCTGCTCTGCTCTGTATTTTGTTTTGTTTCGTCTTGCCGTCTAATGATAATATTTCGTTTTTGTTTTTGTGGAAGCACGCACAGATACACAACCGGCTTCAATGAATTTTCAAAACGGTATGCGCAACGAAAAGCTTTTTGCAAACAAAAAGAGCGCACATCACGTTTTTATGCAGCGCTTGGCTCTCTCTCACCCATCTCGATCGCAAAGCTCTCTCTCTAAGCAGATCTCGCATGTGATCTTGTTTTTGTTTTGATAAACAAATGTTGGCAAGTGCGTAATTTCCTGCTGGGTTTGTATTTTCGCTTACCATTTAGCAGCATTATCTGCAACTGCAATGTTTGCTTCGTGTAGTCCTTTTTTCTCTTCGTTTCTGGTTTTACGTATACTTAATAAAATAAAACAAAACTTTAAAATCAGACGTTAAACAGCTGATGGGCGCTGCCAGACAGCTGAAGTTCATCTTTTTCTACCGATGTGGCAGCACCTTTTTGTGAGAGTCAGTATTTAATAACAGCGAGCTTTTGTCAGAATGTGTTTTCGAATATGTGTGTCATCTCTAATGTTTTTCAGCAGACTGGCAACACTTAATCCAAAAATTCATGTAAAAATCCTGTAGTTCTGCATAGTTCATGTAAATACGTACAGATGGCACTGCCATTCAGCCAAATATTAATTTTAGATTTTGATATTTTTTTTTTTGTAAACAATTTAAAAAAATTGTTTATTGAAACTAATTGTTTAAAAAATTACGAAAACTTATAAAAAATTGATTAGTTTATCGTATACAAATATATTTTATTTTAAAATTCATGGAATACAGTGATATGGAATTTTTCAATCTATTTCTTTTATTATATTGGATCCCCCATTTAATCGATCGTTTAAATTTTCTATGGTTTATGAATTTGAGCAATATGTGAAAAATGGATTTTTTGAAAGAAAAATATAATACGGGAAAGAAAATTGAATTCAATGGAAGATATCTTCCGTAAAATATCTTGCATTTAATGCTCATTGAATCTAATTGATATTTCATCCAACATCTCGCAGACGCTGACATGTTGACATTTTCCTGGCCTGCCTGCGTCGCTTGGGGGTTTCTCTGCTGGTTGTGGGACTACGGTGGCAGTGGATACTGGGGCTTCTACTGTCACTGGTTGTACGAGTGGAGTAATCTTCCCTCCAACCGCCAACCGGCATTGGTAATTAGCACGCGCGCTGCTAATTAACACTTTCTGGAGAGGCCTCTCCGTGTGTGTGTGTGTGTGTGTGTGTGTGTTGTGGTGTGGTTGTGCCCCTGGCAATTCCCCGATGGCTGCAAATTGCACGCGTGGCACCACCGCTGGACCGCTGCGCGGCATTGCTTCTGGGTTTTTGTGCGCCTCAAAGCGAAAATGCCGCCGCAAATGTAAACCCAAAAATGGTCAAGTTGTGCTTTTTTTTTTTTCGGCTGCTGCCTAGTTGTCCGATTTTGGTGTCCTGGTGGTACTGCACCGCAACTCCTCCGCCCGCTGCTCCGACTGCTGCTGCTGCTCCTGCTGCAGCTCCTGCGCTACAAAGCGTGAAATTTTAATTGTGCCTTTCGGGGCGTTGTCGTTGCTGGTCGATCGTTGGCCTGGTCTGCCTCGACCCGAAATAAAGATCTCTGTGGCGGTGCACACAGCTCATCCACAGGCAGGTCTCCCTGCTGCTCCCTGCCGCTGCCTTGATGGTGCTGTCGCTGCCCCCAAAAGTTGTTCATGCCAAAAAGGTGCAAAAGGCCAAATAGTATTCTGTAGTTTATGTTGTTACATGCCTCGTTGTTGCTGCTGCCGCTGCTGCTGCTGCTGTGTGCTGTTGCTGTGTGTCGTTTTGGATCGGACAAAAATGTCCGATGGAATTTGGTGCCACAACTGTTGAGCTTCTCTATTATGCTCGTATGATCTGCCCCGCTACTCCTCTGGCAGAAGATTTCCCTTACGAGTTGCAGTATCTGCACCTGATGTCATCTATGGAACCTGCCAGCCAGCCAGCAGCAGCAGCAGCAGCAGAAGATGATCATCAAAGCAGCTTTAGGGTTATTTCTTTGCACCGTCTGTTGGCTCAGTGGCTCTGTGTCTGTGGCTGCTTTGTTGCTGTTAATGGTTGCTGCGGGCCAAATCAATTCCAGGCCCAACATGTAAGCCTTGTCTGCCATTTTATTGGTTGACAATAAAAGTGAGCCAAGTGTCTGCTGCTGTCCGAATGCTGTCTGCATTCCCTCCTCCCTTTGGCTCATGCATAATAATTATAATCCATTTAATTTCTGCAGACTCTTGCCATGGCAATTCCATCGATCATTTGGCAGCGCGTTGTAGCGTTGCCAGCAATGGGGTCACGTGTGTGCGCTGACCCCTTGCTCAGAGAGTTTTCCTTTTTGCATTGTACGTCAGTCAGGCCCAGGCAGCGGCAGTGGCAGCGGCAGTGAAAAGCAGCCAGAAAATGCCAAATATCTAATACGCTTCCACCAAAATGATCAAATTCATGGAATTTTCGCATAAAGCCAAGGCACAGACCAGGTCGTATCTTCTGCTGCTCTGCTCCGCTCCGCTCCTCTCCTGCTGCTCCATCAACATTTCTTCTCCTTTGCGTAAAGCAAACAAAACGACGACGCGACAGGTGAATCGGCCGCCCGTTGACTCGCCCCATACGGGGATATTGGACAGACAGACAGACGTACGGTCAAGCCGTATGCCACGACGCGACGTTCCGTTCCATACTTGATTTCGGTTATGGGCCGCAGACGAATCTCCCCAAACCATTCCGACTGGGTCTTGGGTTTTGCGGCTGGGACTCTGCTGGCTGGCTGGCTGCCTGGCATCTTTTTTTGGTGTTCACATGTGCCAAATGATGTCGATGGCAGCGGGCGAGGCAAATCGATGCTACAGTGGTTTGAGTTCTGTTTAAATAGAGTCAAATTTGGTGTAAAAAAGTCATATTTTTTGTGTGCTTTCACTTGATTTTCAATAAGG